GCACGAACCGAAGGACGACTTTTGCACCGTGTATGTACGCATACCGGTAGTTCAAGTACCACACCACCACACGACCTGGTCGTCTTCTTTGCTACACACAGTTCCGGTACAAGTCAAGACAGTGCATGACAGTGCACCGTTTTGGACTGACAGTGTTCCGGGCATCGGTAAACTTGCGGCATTGCGGACTACAAGCACTGTGAAGTTGCCGTGATTCCTTGAGTTCTTTATCAGTTCATCTCGTCGTGGGCGACGATGGCATCTGAAATAGTCAGCTTCGCTGTGACTGTGGATAGCAGAGAGATACTTTCTTGGAACGCTCAACTTGTTGACGAAGGCTTGTCCTTCTCTCAAATTTTTGAAAAGCTGTTGTCTGCCGATAGTGGTGTTGTATTCAATCGACCCTTACCTGATCCGTCCGTATTCTCATCCTTGACCGTGACTGTTCAAAAGGAACCTGCCCGCAGCTCTGCAGTCGTGACGGTTCAGAAAGCTATGCCAGTTGTAGCAACTTGTACTCCTTTCGGATATTTCGTCCGCTTCTCTGTGAATACGGAAAAGGTCGAAGCAGCGCCGAAGCCGGCGAATGCGTTTGCACTCTTGATGAACTCCGCCGAAAAGTTGGCGCTACCTGACTATCGTGGATCAGCTGAGGCGCGGAGTGCCGGGAAATTGCGTGGAGACTGGGCTCTCCGTAATGACCTGATCGATCTTCTGCAAGCCAAAGGTGTAGGGTGGAAATTTGGCGAAGAGAAAACATCTGGAGCGATATTTTTTGACGCCTTGACGAATGTGCTCTTCCAAGTTTGCCCTGGAAGTCGTGTGAAGACACTGAGCGATCGTGGAGTGCATATTCCTAAGTTGTTCAGCAGTCTGGTGGAAAAGGGCGATGTTTACAACGACCCAACATCCCACAAACACAACAAACTGCCATCACTCGGCCAGCGTGAAGTCCAGTCTATGGCTAGCAGTTTGTTTGGCGCTCTGTGTTACCCCTGGGCTGGCAGCAAGCATTGGAGCAAAGTAGTTGACTGTGTGAAACTACTGGCTGATGGCCTTCAGAAGTACTCTGTCTACCTCAGTGCTGCTGCGGAGCGTGCAAACGCAACCAACGAACGACTGGAGCCAGCTTGTTCACCGGGTGACGGATCCTCGCTGAGGGTTTCTGTTGTTGATGGAAAGGTGCGCACAGATGCCAAGATCATTGCACGGTATGCAGACCTCGAGAAGGAGTTGCAAGCCCAATCTGACTATGAGCCTGTCTGTGTGACTCACATAGCCCCAGTCAACCGCCAGAGTAGGTTTGTGTACCTGCATGAAATCCAGCTGCCATTCACAGTGGAGATACTCAGCTACAACCAAGGCGGGAACCTGGTGACGTTGACTTGGTGCTGGAAGGTGCCTACGGAGGCAGCAGATCGTGACGCCGACAAGTCCATGAAAACCGTTGAGTCATTGAAGGCGAACTGCCATGAGCACCACACCCGAGCCATGCGCCGCATGTTTGTTCAGCGCTACGGGCTACTGGCCAAAGTGTCTCCAACGATCCTCAGCGAGATGTACCGTGAGCTGACGGGAGATCACAGCCGGCTCCCCACTGCTGACACGAACGCTGTTGCTGACCGACTTAGACTGGCCCTGGATGCCCAAGACCCGGAGCTGGTATATGACCTACGGGGGAGTTGTAACAACGGCAGGCCGGAGAAGTACCAGCAGTTCTGGGATGGCGCAAAGGCGTTCTTGAATGAGCAGTCGCTTAATGCTGCCGATAGCCGTCGCCATGGTGCTGTCACCCATATGGCTGCCGCTATATCAGTCCGAGACTTTGTAGAACAAGTCCGCAAGCGCCTCCCCGGGGATACCCCAATCCCATCTGTCGAATGGGTGCGCCTACAGTTCTGGCCGAGTAATGCCTACAACAAGGTTGCAGAGAACTACTCCGGACGCCTTGACGTAAAGCACATGGTCCAGTCTCGTCATCTGCACCACTCCCATCCAGACGCCCACTATGCCGCTGCTGCATTCCGGTACTTGCGGGAATTTGCTGTGGACTACGCCAAGTACGCGACCTTGGTGTCCTTGGATGATAAGCACCTCGTTAAAGTGGGGGAGCCTGGATTCCCGGTTGCCGCCGTTGACCGGGGCCGAATGGTGGTCGTGGGAAAGGATGTCCAGTTTCAGGTTGCTGATCATGATTTCACCAAGCTCAAGATCACGCCGTCGGTTGCGCTACTGTGCGACATTCCCGACACGATTGAGGAGTCATTCTACCGTGGCACGGTCTATGTCGGCCTGAAGAACACCGCATTTGCGCCATCATCTCCGCTCCGGCATGGCGCAGAACTGAAGCATGTGCTGAAGGCTGGTGGCGTCAATACTGTCCTGAAGCCGATCTTGCTCCTCTACACAGATGGGGGTCCAGATCACCGTGTGACATACGTATCTGTCCAGGCTTCCCTCATTTGCCTGTTCAGGTCCCTCAACCTGGATTACCTGGTGGCAATGAGAACTGCACCGATGCAGTCCTACTGCAATCCGGTCGAGCGGATCATGTCCCTCATCAACTTGGCGTTCCAATCTGTCGGTGTTATGCGGGCTGAAATGACACCAGAGGCGGAAGATCGGCTGAAGAAGGCCAACTCGATGGCAGAAGTCCGACAGGTAGCTGAGGCAGCAGACGTAAGAGCAGCGCTGCAAGCATCAATGGATGCTCCTATCGCCCTCTTGGAGGAACGCATCTCCAGGCTGCAGCTGAAGGATGAGCCTTTCAAGGTGTTTCCACCTGCATCGGATGCCAACATTGATGAGCTGTGGCAAGAGATGCACACCATCGACCCGACCCTGTCCCGCTCCGACACAACACAGCAGCTGATCAAGTCAAAAGACAAGTTCAACGCTTTCATTGACCACTGCTGTGTGAAGCGGCACTACTTCTTTGCCATTAAGAAGTGCGGTGCAGACGACTGTGAACTGTGTGCTCCACCAACCCTGCCACGAGAGGTCTTCGAGTCGCTCCATCAGTTCCCTGACCCGACCAAGATGACTGGCTCTGACTCGTTCAAGCCGTTCCGTGAGGTTTGGGGGAAAGCCACCAATGAGGATGCCCGGCCATCCACAGCAAGCGTGCCTCAGCAGGATCGGCAGCGTGAGGGCAATGTCGCGCTGAAATCTGAAACGGTTAGGCAGACCATCTCTTGCTCAGAGTGCCAGAAACCACGGTGTGTGTACGCCAACAAGCGCCTGGATGCGTCCCAGTCTGTGGCCGTTGCCTGCGGTACTGAGGATGTCCTCTTCGTTTGTGGCTCTCCGCTTTTGCCAGCTGACCATGCCCTGGCAGCAGATGTGGTTGTGCGGTCTAGCCTCACATGCTCTGCCGATGTCGAGAGGGCCTATTTCTCGGCCAAGAAGGCCTTCAGTCCTGTCTGCTATGTGTGTGGCATCAACGCACCTGCTGCTACACCTGCTGATGTTGCCCGGCAGTATCAGTCCATTCACATGCCTTGCGCTGCCTGTGCCGCTCTGGGGAAGAAGCCCCGCACCCGTGGCCCCAGCTGTGCAGCAGCCACAGCACCATCCAGCAAGAAGAGGAAGCACCAGTGAACTGGACTTCTTTCTGCTTTGGGACTTGGTCTCCCTATTGTGTCATGCCATACTATGACAGATGCAGCTGTACATTGCTGGACTCGCCGCAGCATGTACTGCGCAGTTCATACGTTGCGACTGTTCGCTCCATTGTCATTGGAGCCTGCTGTATTCATTGTCTGGACTTGTCATGTCATGCCATGCCTTATCCCATAAGGTTTCTGTTTTAAATTTTAGCACAAGCGCGCACTTGGCTGTTCTTTTATGTACCCCTTGTATAATAACTTTGGTTTGCTTTCTTTCCTATTTAAATAACATGCAACACTGGACTTCCTCACCAGAGGCCGGTGCAGGAGCCTGGTTTTCTGGCTGTATGTTGCAATTGACTGTCACGCGTGGTGTATAGTCTGATTTTAGGTCATAAATTGGGCCTTTGTAGTGTAAATAGCAGTTTTTGTTTTTCAAACCCTATTTTGTTTTTTTTCCGCCCGCCCGCGTTCCTTTTGAGATTTTCAGGTGACGAGAAACAATGAAATAACTTGGTGTGGCCTTAGTAAAAAAAAACCAAAAAAAACAAACGTGTACAGTGCTGCTCAATGAAATCCAGTCACAGCGTCACTCTAGTACGCACCGGGCGTGGCGCAGCCCTTGACCTGCACACTGGGCTGCGAAATGGTGCAGGGCGCAGACTGGACTCACACGATCAGATTTCATCGTGCAGCACTGTACATGTGCGGGTACACTGCACCGAACTGCACTGCACTACACTACACTGTACATGTGCGGGTACACTGCACCGAACTGCACTGCACTACACTACACTGTACATGTGCGGGTACACTGCACCGAACTGCACTGCACTACACTACACTGTACATGTGCGGGTACACTGCACCGAACTGCACTGCACTGCACTACACTGTACATGTGCGGGTACACTGCACCGAACTGCACTCCACTACGCTGCACTACACAGGTAGTACTCACCGGAGTGACTTCTTGCTGCGCAAGCCAACACTGAAGAGAAACGCTGACGCCAGCTGAATGCACAGCATCGGCACCTCTTCACTTTCAGCCTGCAGCAGCCACAAAACAGAAGGAGAAACAAATGAAGTGAACCTAGGATGGGTAGCATACACAACATACTAGCACCGCTGACCTCAACACTTCTACAGTACACTGAATGCACCGAGGATTGAGGGCACTGGCACACACTCACACACAACCACGCAACCAAGACAACAAGCTACAGTAATGCAGCAGTGAGCATACTAGATGCATATGCTAAGCACTGAAGATACTAGATGCATATGCTAAGCACTGAAGATACTAGATGCATATGCTAAGCACTGCATGTACACATGCTAACTTAATTGCTAAGTACTGAGCATACTAGATGCACATGCTACATTGCACAGCAACTACTAGTAGATATGACAAAAGCATCACTGCTCTGTGCTCACCATGGCCATTGCTCTCATCCGCGCCGGTGAGTTTGCCAGAACCAGCTTCTTGATAAACTGGAAGTACTCGCTGCAAAAGTGCATGCGCAGGTGGCTGTAATGTAGGTTCTCGCGCTGCACAGACATCTGGATGTGCTGCGGTGCACACTGCTCACTCAATGCTACTCCGGGTGCAAGCCAATCTTCTGTGTGGGAGCGAGAGAGGGCAAGCAGAGGAAGCAGGGTTATAGAATAGAACACAGGACAGATATCTGCATATGTACCAATAGAATAACATAATGGATGGGCATGTTCTCGTCGTACGGACATAATCTCAGACATGGGTTCACACTGCTACACGCGTGTCTACAAGCCAAGGAGCCAGAAGAATGGTACCATGAACACAAGCAGATACGCAGTATAGCTACACGACTACGGTCAATCAGTGAAAAGCAGCAGCAGCAGCAGCTACAACAGTAGCAGCAGCAACTGCAATAGCAACAGCAGCAGCAGCAGCAGAAACAGCAACAATAGCATGACAATAGCATGACAATCACTTACTCTGTACTGTAATGGGGGCATCTTCACGCTCATAAAAGAGAATATAAGCGTTCCACCATCTCTTCTGTCTCCGATACGCCATCCTGGGTGGAGGAAAGACGACGGGCACATATACACAATATGCATAACAGGATAGGGAAATGAGAGAACTCATACAAAACTTTGCCAATGGCAGCATTTTCAAACTTTCAAACATTCGGAATCTGGAGTAGTTGTGGCTAGGTTTTGCAAGCTTCTCTGACAACAATTTACAATTCACCCTTGATCGCAACATGTCGTGCGATAATGTCCCTAATAATAAAGTGCTTTCCCTTTGCGGCACGTCCATGTTGGATAATCATTCCCCCAAGGATATCCCAGGCAAAGACCGGTCGACTGCTTATAAAAGGACTGTGCTCGCTCATGGGGCCTTGACTGCTAGCCCAAGCCTACATACACACAGCATTCTTGACTATGCCGGTTGCAGATACCTGGAATCAGTTCAGTGGCACTTCGTACTCGATAAGAGGCATCTTGGTGTGATACTCACACAAGAGTATATCCTAGTCATAGGCTGTGTTTACACGAGGCGTTTCAACCCGGGTCAAGTTTCAACCCGCCATGAACACAGATTGACTGGCGCGTTTACATGACGCATTGCGCTCGACTCGGGTTGAAATTTCGCCCCGGGTTGATTTCAATCCTCCCCTTGGGGGAGAGTTGAACTCGAGAAATTGTACTGCCGTACTTCTGTGCGTATCTCGCGCCAGGTTTGGACAGCACTGCACAGGCAAATTTTGCGCGAAAGCATTCACGCTACGATACAGGACTCTAGAAGTGGACTTTTTGCGGTATACAAGTAATTGCCCCGGGTCAACTGTCTTCATGTAAACACTCCCCTACTTTTTCTACCGTACAGACCTTCAACCCGGGCTGAACTCGACTCGGGTTGAACATTCTCATGTAAACGCAGCCATACATGGCAAAATTGGTTGCATCAAACATGAAAGTGATGACATGGATAGTGGACTTACCGCTTGGTCATGTGATCAAAGACGTCGGCCATGTACTCGCCACCAAAGCACTGCGCTTTCATCTCCTCCTCGTCTTCCATCTTGCACTCTGTCACCTCATTGTCGTCGAAGCGATACCATCGATCAGGTTGCCCGTCTGGTGTACTGTAACCACCACAATCACAGCAACACAAACACACACACACACACACACACACACACACACACACACACACACACACACACGCACACACACACACACACACACACACACACACACACACACATGCACACATACACACACATGCACACATACACACACAACACACATACACACACACATGCACACACACACAACACACAAACACATGCACACACACACGCACGCACGCACCCACACCCACACACCCACACACCCACACACCCACATACACACACAACACAACACAACACAGTACACGCATACCTTAGTTACATGTACGTACATTCACATTATGAAATTAGCCCAGCTGGCACACAGACACATAGACCTCAGGCCTGCCCATCGCGGAAGCGATGATAGCGAACAGCTATGTTAGGCCAAGTAAAAAAAAAAGCTAGATGATCGTCCCCGTCCGCCCCAGTTTTTGTCAGCGCCCCAAGAAATATTTTATTTTTTAAATCGTGAGTTTTTGCCGAAATCGTTGGTTTTTTACCGATCGCGGATGCAGGAAACATGTGCACGCTTTGTTTAATACTTTCTTTACTATATGGACCACATACTAGGGAGGTTTAGTCCCACGTAATCCGTGGGTACTTTACGTGGGTGTACCACGTGATACTCAGTGACCCACGTACAGACGTTTTCTGATTCACGACATACCGTGTATGGAGGCTCACCCACGTTCCGCCAGAACGTGGGTGAAAATCAGAATGGAGCGCATTGTGCGAGCTGTGAGGGTGCTCAGCTGAAGAAGTTTCCGAAGCACGAAATCAAAATATTGGATGAGCTTCTTAGGCCGGGGTAGCTTCGTCTTTGACCAGGTTTTGGCCTTTAGCTACATGCTTTTGTTTGTTCCGTGTGACTAAACACAACATTACAACGTGGGTGCCCTTCATCCACTTTACGTGGATCACCCACGTACGCGTTTCCGTTACGTGGGAACTAAACCTCCCTACTACTAGTATATCACAACGTCAGTATCGATCTGCTGAAGAAAGAAAAAGAAAAAAAGAAAAAAAAAGAAAAAAAGAGAAAAAAAACCTTGATGTTGTTGTTTACACTGTGTGCATGAGAGGGTAAAAAGTAAAAAAATAAAAATAAAATCCTCCCGCCCTCCCCGATTTTTCCAAAAAAAAGGACGATCATCTAGTAATTTTTTTTACTCGGCCTTAGACATAGCAACTTGTGCTGGGATTACACCCACACACACATACACAGACACACACAGACACACACAGACACACACAGACACACACACATAAACACATAAACACACACACACACACACACACACACACACACACACACACACACACACACTGCGTCCATACACAGGTTTGAAACACTACTATCAGCACGAGCATAGCATAGCATGACCGTACACACACATGGCACGTAACCGGTACATGTAGAAGCAGGCAAGCGAATAGTACGTCTAACTCACCGCTGCAGGATGAAAGCATAGTAGTGCCCACCGCTGGCCTGACCACTGTGTACAATGAGACCAGCCAGGCGGTAGCGAGTGCATGGCGGACCTGCAGGCTCGGACGAATCCGCTGCCTTATCACCATTGGCGACTTCACAACGAATCTCCTCCCCTGCGTGCGTGCACGCACACACATGCGCACACACATGCACGCACGCGCGTGCACACACACACAGACACACACACACATAGACAACAATGGTAAGAATGAGAGAGACAAGACGCTGTGCTCAGCGTACAACGTACAGACCGCTCAAGTAGATCATCAACATCATGATCAGCATGTAGGTGAGAGATTACTTAGAGACAACACTGAGAATCGAGATACACGTAGCCGTATACTGTCATTGCTTACACTACACTGCAACGTAAAAAGCATTTGGGTGCATGCAAACACATATAGACCCCACTTGGTCAGAGTCAAACCTAAGACCAGACATGCACATTTTGCAGAAGAAAGGAAAGCGCACACACAGTCACGCAGACAAATCCGACACACACTCACTATGAAAATAATTCACTGTGTTGTCATGTCCACACAAACAAAGAAACGTAGAAAGTTAGAATCCAAAAAGTTTTCTTGTGACCTTCTTTAGCGTAATAACGTCACCGATCAGTAAAATGAAATAAATTTCGTCTCCTTGCCACCTATTTACATTACGTATTGTTTGTCACTCACCTTCTACCTTGGCAAGACCTTGCACGGTGAATGGCTCCATGTCGAATTCGCGCGGGAACTCAAAGTAGTCGTTGAACTTTACCGCACACTCTCTGGATAAAGCAGCACGAGAAAACGACAACACATACACAGTCAGTGAAAAGACGAATGTGTAATCTGCATCAATGCCAGAGGAGCAGAGGGTTGAATCAAGCTAAGCAGACAAGGTAGATGAAAGACAAAGCAGATTACAACAATCATTATAAGCATGTCAAATCCACACTGTTCTCTAAGGCTGGTCAGTTGAATCCGCAAGTAGGTCAATAGCAACACCATAGCTCACCTTTCCCAGTCGTAGTCAAAGCGCTTCAGCTGAATAGCAAGAACCTGCGGCAGCTTCTTGATGCAGAGTCGCTTGACAGTGTCCACTTTCTTGTCACACTTCTCACAATGATAAGCATTGGCACCCTCCAGTAAGTCACCCTTCACGTACTGCTCCAGGGACTCAAGAAGGTGCTGGTGATTACGTACATCAACATTCAGCGATGTGAACGGCTCCTCACGGGCATATCTGTCGGCAACACCACAGTACACACATGCACAAAACCGCGTACACACATACACACACAGACACGTGCACACAGACACGTGCACACACACACACACACACACACACACACACACACACACACATACGCACAAGCACACCCACATGCACGTACACACAGACACACACACATGTACACACACAGACACACACACATGTACACACACAGACACACAGTCAATGACATCTAGGCATGTGTGTGTGTGTGTGGCACAGATGGGCAAGCAGGCAGACGGACGGATGAACAGAGAGGCTAACAGATAGATACATGTGCGTCATGAGTACTGGGCTTTTATTTCGTCCTGCGCTAAAGGTTTGGTCAGCTTATGGTGTGCATATTGGTAATAGGTCATACATGTATCATTCGATAGGCCAAGAGTTCACATAGACTCTTGGCTAGACTTGGCAGTTCTCTTCAGTCTAAGTTTGACCTACATTCAAGGTTGTTACAATTATTCATCGGCTATATCTCTTCTGTACCAAAGAGTTATTTCCATTGCATACATTCAGTCCACACCACCTGCCAAAGCTCTCTGCACAACTAACCGATGAGGACAGCCCTTGCAGATCTTCTGATCAGCAAATGATCCACCTAGCGTGTCAACTACGGCTGGACGATGGCCGAGAGTCTTCAGTGCTTCATCGATACTGTCTACAAGACTGTTGAAGAACTCTAGCGCATCATGTTGCTCTCGCAGGTTGACTGCTTCTCCCCACAAGCTGTGCCCGTACACGCACACGCACACACACATATACACAAACACACACACACACACACACACACACACACACACACACACACACACACACACACACACACACACACACACACACACACACACACACACACACACACACACACACACACACACACACACACAAATGCACGAACATGCACGAACACCCACACACATGTATACAATACAGTATTATACACACATCCATGAATGCACAAATGCAAACAAGCACACAAGCCATGCTGTGCAATACTACAATATAAAGCACATATCCCGATCTGTGTAAGGGTCTAATTCACAGCCGGCATGCACGCAAATTTCAGCCACTCTCCTTAAGCAAGAAATGAAAGAAAATCTGGAAAAAGTCCAGGGTGCATAGAGGACGCAGGTCGCGGGGTACCCATGAAAAGGAAGCTGTGAGAAATTCTGCTGGGTGTGTGTTTCACTAGTGTTGATATCTAGCCGCAGCCGCACTGGACTCGTACAAGATTAATGAACACTACTAAGCAATGTTATTTATGCCATAATGGCCAGCCTTACCGGAAGGTCTTCCAGAACCCTTGTGGCGTGTGGAACTGCAACTGGCTGCCCAGCAGATGGCCAAAGATGTGCTGCACGTGGCGCAGCACGGACGTGTTGTAGTCCTTTCGCGAGCCTCCCGGCGAGTCCGGAGGCGTTGCGGATTTCTCCAACACTTCGTTGCTGTACGGAATGACCTGCTCCTGCTGTAAGAACAAGTGTGCAAAGCATCACCCGAGATACACACAAAGTGCACATGACCTGTACAGTTGGGTGGGAATATCATCATGCACTCAAAACAGTCTGCAAGTGGACTATAATGTTAAAGGTTTGGCAAATGACATCATCGCACATGCTTTCCATGGAGTAGCATACTCATGCCAGTGATGCCACTCCATAGAACTAACTTCAATCATGATGTAACCACTCAAATGATGATGTAATCACATAACCTCTATAGTCTATACCCAACATGTTGAGCTTACAGATGGTAGCGAGAAGCACATAGACAAGGATGACACATCAACAGACAAAGGTAGTCGAAAACATTGACAAAAATGTGTTCACACGATGTACACAGAAATACATGTACTCCACAGCAGCAGCAGCAGCAACAAGTCCTCACCGTTCACACTGCACCACAACTACAGACGTTGCTAACACAGTGAGCAAACAGGGTGGTGGGCACCATTCTTCTCTTTCTTACCTCCTTCGTTGACTTGGTCATCTGCTCATCTTGATCATCCCAGCCAGCGTTGTTTGCCCGGATGATGCAATTGCGAATGGGTGGAATCATGAATAACTGACCACAAGCACGCAACATACAAAAAGACAAACTATCATATTCGTCCACAGCACGCAGTGTTTCATGCAGGAAAGACACCTACATTTGGTGTACAATGACAAACTTACTGCATCGGAATCAGAACAGTTGCAGCTGCAAGAGCAAGCAGAGGCTTCCAACACATGGAAGAAGTCAGCTGAGCCCAACACCTGTCTAGATATCTCACACAGCTCACACCCGTAAGTGTGACAATGCACGTACACACGCACACAGACATGCCCCCCCCCCCCCTCTCAAACACACACACACACAAGCGTACACACGCGTACACATGCGTACACACACGCACGCGCACACACGCGCGCACACACACACACACACACACACACACACAAAATGCAACTTACCGACTGTAGAACTGAGTTCATATAGCACGTGGCACCAGCATTCTTCAGACCAACAAATCCACGCAGTGGCCGGGGTCCTACCGGGGGTAAGTATTCCCACTCACTCAATCCAGGTGAGTCTGCATGCAAACAAACAAACAAACAAACACACACAAACACACACACACACACACACACACACACACATGCGCATACAAACACACACACACAAATACACACACACACACACACCGAGGCACATGCGCAAAATACGCACAAGCAAAAGCATACCGACACGTACGCACAAAAAACACAAAAGACTCTTGAAAAGAGTTGAAAATACAGTTACAAATACATGTACAGCCAAATCATTTGCAAAGAGTACACAGGCCAGAGCCGAAGCCATCCCACACAAAGAGCAACCCAGAAAGATTGTAATGTCACAGTGCAACTCTAACAGGAACACAGAGGTCACCAGCATAATCTCAAAGTGCCGAAAAATGGGTTTATTTCAAGTTATTTGTGATTACTCAGACGACACGGAACAAATGCTGGTGGAATTCTACACAACAAAATGAAGGACTGGTAAGAAACAAAATAATAATAATTAACAAATCCAAGCTGCCACCATGTGCACATGCGCACTCACACACACACACACACGCGCGCGCACACGCACACACATGCACACACACACAGCAGCAGCAGCAGCAGCAGCAGAATCTCACCAGCGTAGAAGAGGCGTGTGAGCAGGTCACAAAGCATGTGCAAGTTCTCCTTGCACCCTGTTGTCAACACTACTAGAAGATCAAATGCTGCAGTCTGCGACTGAGACGTGGAGCAAACTGGTCGAGACTGATCAACAGCCTTGTCACCATTACTTTCTCTACCCTCAGCTTCAAGAACCAGCTTGGAGGAAGCGAAGAGAAAGTTGAAGATTATAGTCTGCAGGACAGAAGAGAAAGAAATCATCATCACCAGTAGATAAACAAGCAGCTAACGGTGGAAAGAAAGGCTTCATTTCCGGGGAAGGGGGGATAGAGCGCTGTTGCTCATGCTCTCCTTGCCCATATCAATATCATTCCACAATAGGTGGCCATCTGAAGCTCAACATACACAAGCGGATGGTATTTCAGAGAAGTCTTGTTCCCCTAACAGCCTCTTACCACTAGCCCAAGAGAAGTATAAAAACTGGCCAGTAGGCAAAAACAATGTAACATCACTGTCCAGACAAATTTCAATGGGACATTTCGTACAGAAATAACCAGAGCAAAATCACAGAAGTCTTCTGGACATACAGAGAAAGCGAAGCCTACCTCAATAAGTTTAATTCCGTTCGGGTCAGAGCCAATCTTAAATTTGACTTCAGGAGTTTGTAGACTAATCAGTTCGGACGTTATGCCAAGGTGACCTTCCAGGAGAGGAGTCGGAGGCTCTTCGCCCGCTCTACTCATGCGTGTCTGTTCACAACACAACAAGAACAGTGGCAATGATATCAGTACAGAAACACAAAAGCATAGAAAAGCACACACCCACGCACCCAGTTGCAACTATATACCCGAGCATAGGCATGTGTAGAGCGTAAGCATGCATGTATATGCATAAGTACCCCCATGAGTATCCAGACATGTCCCAAATAGGACAGCTACCGGTAGTAGTACATCATTCGTGTACGAATAAAGATCCTGGCAGTGAACAAACCTTTGCACTGGTCAACCAGTCCAATTCCTGAGCTACCCAGGCTGCGACATTCTCCGAGGACAGGTATTTACGAGCACCAGCAACATTCAACAGCCTGGTTAACAAAAAGCACAAGGAACGGAGATTGTCAAACTGACAAACTGAGGCAACTCGGATGAGAGCCAAGGATTAAATGACTCGACAAACATGACATGCTGTACTTGACATGTCCCAGTGCAAACATTCAGTTGAAATTTGCTAACAAGCATAGCTTTGTATATGTATACAGTATAGTACAGTTCATAACACAACAAAACAATGTAGCTACACAGATTTTTGCTCGATGATCCTGGCCAACGCAGCAGCAGTAGCAGCAGCAGCAGCAGCAGCAGCAGCAGCAGCAGCAGAACAACTGAAGGATGAGCCAGTATTAGATACAGACGAGTAGCCATTGTTGGGTTGTCAAGAGGCCTTGGCCGGGTACACAAGTAGCTTACCTGCACAGCAGGGTGAAGTACTGCAGTGCAAACGTTGCATGTTCGTTAGCTGTCGTCTGAAAGAGGCAAGGTATTGGTTCACAATACAAAAACGGACATCAAAACTTAGTGACGGCCAAGACAAAATCCAGAATTGCTAATTAGCGTGGCTTAGGAAAGAACTGCCACCACCAAAAAATACTGAAACAAAGCGTTTGTGTGTATGTGTGTGTGTGTGTGTATGTGTGTGTGTGTATGTGTGTATGTGTACACAAAGGCCTTGTCAATCCATAGTCTTTATCCACGATTGCCTAGTAATGGGAACCGGGTCTGAAAGGTGTGTGTGTGTGTGTGTGTGTGTGTGTGTGTGTGTGTGTGTGTGTGTGTGTGTGTGTGTGTGTGTGTGTGTGTGTGTGTGTGTGTGTGTGTGTGTGTGTGTGTGTGTGTGTGTGTGTGTGTGTGTGTGTGTGTGTGTGTGTGTGTGTGTGTGTGTGTGTGTGTGTGTGTGTGTGTGTGTGTGTGTGTGTGTGTGTGTGTGTGTGTGTGTGTGTGTGTGTGTGCATGCCATCTCTTGAATCTGACCATATCACTGTATATCTACCTCTCTAAGTCAGGTGAACACAAGCCACTGATCAAACCAGATTGTAGAAACTAAGTAGGGCTGGAAGGAGCATGAAATATTAGATATCACTGGTTTTCCCAAGGTAACTCGTTAAGGAAGCACACCACTCGTCCACCGGCATACTAGCATCAACGTACAGACAGAAGTTGGAAGAGGTAATCAATGAGAGCCATGAGCGGTTCACGCCGAGCTGAGCACTGCGTTGCCATGAGCTGCAGCTGATCGGACGCAACACTACGAATGGATCTGTGTCAGAACCAACACCAAACACAAAGCAGCAGCAGCAGGCCATGATGAGATGATAGACTGAAAACAAATCTCAATAGGAGGGACGCCTCTTGGTGAAGAAGTCAAATAGTAGTTCTACGAGGTCATCACCTCATCACCTCATAGAGGATCATCGGGCCGGGCACAAACTAAACAGTGATTGCACAACATGTACATTTTCCAAAAGAAAACTGGAAATGGTCACTGAATACAGTGTAAAGAAAACTACACCATGAGAACGACAGGAGTTAATGGGAGAAATCTCGTCATACCTTGGCCGGCATAGGAAAAGCACGTCACTAATGAACTGCTGCCACATCTTGCTGGTCGGCATGCATTGGAAGAATACATCCGGGTTCAGCGCAGCACACAGCGTGAGAACCTGCCAGGCAATCCACCAATCAAGCACAACACACACACACACACACACACGCGCGCGCGTGCGCACGCACGCACACACACACACACCATAAGGCGAACATTAGATATCCACCACAAAGCACAACACGCCATAAAGCAAGCAACCAAGCACAACGCACTAGAGAGCAAGACAGTAATACAGTTGCAGTTGCGCTCACTGAAATCCGACAAGAAGTGTAAAACTGGCGCCCTGGACCAGTTCACATCACTGCACTTGACCATGTGCACGTCCAGCCACATCCGTACCACTTCCAGGGCGTCAAGGGCCGTGCGAGTTCAGGGCGCCAGATACGCACTTTGGCTCGGATTTCACGAAGCACAACTGTACATAAATGTGTTAGTACACCAAGCACTGTAGAAGTAGAACATGTCATCTGTGAAGATGTTCATCTTCATACAGCCCCAGAGCAACGCAGCCTGTCTGGTTAAATGTTTCTTCAGGAACGCTGAAGGCTGGAACGCAGTCTAACATCCTGAATTCAACTAGGCCCCAGCATTCTTTGAATAAAGAAGGCTTAGGCTCCTGCAAATATTGCCCCATAGACAATGACCAGTTCAAAACAGGAGCACTATCAGTGTGGCCATGGTACCATATCGGTGACTGGGCATCAAACAAAAAACGAATTGGACCACGTCTACAGCTACTATGTTGTAGAGAGCCAAGGCCCGGGAAGGCATGCTTTGCAGATCCAAGCACCAGATACGCCGTAAGAGAACAGATGTCACCCAAGAAGGGGACTACATGTACTGACCAGTACAGTACTACAACAGATCTATCTTACCTCCAGACCTTCCTTGGCAACATTCACATCGTCTAGGTCAGCAACCGCCTTAGCTGGCACGCCCTGCAAATACACAGACAGGCGGATGTACATGCATTATACACCATTCACAAAAGAGAAAGAGATTGAAACGGATGGAATGGATATGTCTCCAATGCCGAAGACTTGGGCAGAGATGGGCTGCAATAAGCTATGTTAAGTAGTAATAAGTACTAACATGGCACCGTGAAACAATCGGCAAGCATGCGCAGCAAGCACACAGGTGTACAGACAACTACATGAACGCATGCACACATACACACATACACACATGTGCACGCACACACGCGCGCGCGCACACGCACGCACACACAAACACACACACACACACGCACACACACACACATCAGCCAAGCACCACCAACAACTTCAAAGCAATGTGTGAATAAAACTGCTCAATACAAAGCAGCAAGGCGTCTCTAAAAGCCAAAAGAGGGAAACCCACGTACATGTACCCCAAAACTTTGCTAGCGTACGGATTACTAGTTTCAAACGCCTTGCACAATATTGAGGAGACACCAAAGCTGCCAGCAGCAAAAGTAAAGCACTCACCGAGACGAATACGCCATGGATATCTTCATCTTGTTCAATGCAGAGGTGAACCGACCCGGCTGCCGCAGCCCACACCATTCGTACGACACTATTCATGGCAGTCTCGCTGGGGTTGTGATCACCAGCCTAGGACAATGAGGAGATGAAAAGAACGGGTATTGATATACTAACTACACCGCTATGTAGTAGCACCATCAATACTAAGTCTTGCAATGATTGACATCAAAACCTCCAACTTACTAATATTCAAACACACAAGAATAAGAGGGGATAAAAAAGCGTTTTTTCCGAGTTTCACACACTAAGCGATCATCAGAAAACAATATTCAATATTCAAATATACAGAAAGGAGACTTCCTCTACACAGTGCTAGATAAAAGGTGGCTAGAGCTTCTTAACAAAGACGGCAGAGCAAAGTTTAGCAGGTAGCTAAGCCTTGCTCTACGGTAATGTTCAAATGCATTCATACACACACACACACACACACACACACACACACACATATACACCACACACACGCACACGCACACACACACACCCATACCTGTTTGCCGCAGACAGCTAAGCATTGCTCTACGGTAATGTTCAAATGCATTCATACACACACACACACACACACACACACACACACACACACACACACACACACACACACACACACACATATACACACCACACACACACACACACACACACACACACACACACACACACACACACACACACACACACACACACACACACACACACGCACACACATACCTGTTTGCCGCAGATCGTGCCGAGTCGCTTGGCAATGGTGCGCATCCAGTACTCGGACGCCGGATTAGGTGTTACGTCCAGTGCAGCCTGCAGTACGCTGGTCTCCAGGACAGCAGCGGGGCTGAGCGGCGCCACTGCTGGCTCAGCATTACCCACAACATTGCCCTCAGCATCTACAGCTTCGTTGGCGCTGTGCTGATTGGCCAAGCTAAGACGAGCATATGCGACCACTGTCAGCATGAACTTGCAGATTTTCAGTATAGCCTGAAAGCATGATCTGAAGAAAAACCCAAGATGTACAAGATAGTTTTACTTATCATGTGACTGACTAATACCTTCTCCAATCCTCGACTGAGTCAGTTGGTACAAGTCAGTTCTGGTAGGGCCTGTATCAGATGCATGATGCTGAGTTGCAGATGCAGTGGTGCTGATGAAGTGAACCAGAAGTTCTGGACCTACTAGTAACCACTCTGCTCCAGTGGCACCAGCCATAACACAATCAGAATATGAAGAGGAGAAATCACTTCAAGACGCCCTGCATGGGCTATTCACAGCAGGCGCGTAGCACCGCCATTGGAGGTGGTCCGGCCAGAGGGGGGGTCTCCCGGGAAAATTTTGAGATCAGGGTGCAAAATCCTGTATTCTGAGCGTGGTCGGGTGGTCCGGCCAAAGCCGGACCGGCCGGACCTGCTGCTACGCCCCTGCACAGTACAGGGTTATGCTGAGCACTTGCCTTCTAGTGACAGGGTCAGCGTTGACCAGACACTTATCTCGGCCGTTCAGTAGGCGTAGCATACAGGCGATACCACCACCGGCAATGAAGTGCTCCTGCATACCAAGCACACAAAACGCACACGCAAACACATGCACGCAAATGAAGAAGCATGCCCAGAGAGCAGGAGCCCAATCTCGAGACCCCGAGACACGCATGAACCTCGGAACAATTCTCTCTATGCACCATCAGGTTTTTGAAGTCAAAGTATATACCGTAAAGTCCGCTGCAAACGTCCACCCCATTTTTGCAAGATCTGCTGGCCTATACGCACTGACCCCATGCACTGTCACCCCTGCTGTACGAAAGTGCATCTCACACCGTAACGCGAGGAGTGCTTTGCTACGGTAAACTATGTCCATTTTCCGGGTTTCAAAATGTTTTTGGGCACTAGTTACGAGCTAGCACCTAGTGATTTATGATGTTGGTTGTTTTATTTCGCAAATCCAAACGGCAGTTACTTCGGAATAACAAGGTAGCGAAGAACAGGCTATTGCAGGAACCTTAGTACACTTCTGACGGTGTTTCAAGCCATCATTTCATGATCACGCAACTCGCAAAGGCAAGGGTTTTTTCGAGCACTTCAGAGTTTTCAACAAAATAGCAGCGACTTTGTAGGTGTAGCTTCTGTGACATCCCCCCTGTTCGACTTGCAACTGCAATACTGCGACGTTGAATGACGCTTCGTCAGAACAATCACCCTTCCATTCTGAAAGCGCGACATCGTGGCACTGCAGAAATTTCATGATTTGAAAACCAGATGGATTCTACCGCATTACTTCATGGAGAACGAACTAATAACAAAGACGACTCATTCATCGTATGAAAGGAAATCTGGACCGAAGTTTTTTTCTTTGCAGCAAGATAATGACAATCGCTTTTGCAGAGCCTCTTGGTAAGACATAGGCAGTTTGTAGGCATTTTAGTCGTTCTCGTACGCATTCGACCTTCATGTCAGTATTCTACAACCATATTGACCTGGAAAAGACGAAAATAGTATGGACCGGCTGGGGTGGGCGTTTGCAGCGAAGTGGGCGTTTGCAGCGGACTTTACGGTAGTTGAAAGAAGAACAAAAACCCTCTCTCTCTCTCTCTCTCTCTCTCTCTCTCTCTCTCTCTCTCTCTCTCTCTCTCTCTCTCTCTCTCTCTCTCTCTCTCTCTCTCTCTCTCTCTCTCTCTCTCTCTCCAACTGCATCTTTCCCTCAAACCAGTGAATAAAGCTCTCTAGCAATTTGGCTTCCAGCTCACATAACATCGTTTCTGGTCAATACGAGGAGGAAACCACCAAGTCTACTCTCATCGGTGATGCTAGACTGACTTTCCATCGGAAATCCTCAATTGCCCGTACTAATCAAAAACCTGCTGGAGACAGTTAATTCAGACACGTTCTCCCCATACTTCCCTTAAAAACGATAAAATCAAAATATCCTAAAATACCATAAAACTACTTTTTCAACTGGTTACCTGGAAATCCAAGAGGTCCTTGTCAGAAGTGTAATGTGATGGCATCAAAAGTGACAAAGTAATCTGTCAGCAACACAGAGCAAAAGAACAAGATATGGTTGGCCCACTTACTCAAAACAACCATGCAACAGTGGCCAGACAATAGCGTAGCTGTTCGTACTCATATGCATTAGCAATGAGAGATTGACTGGATTACCAATGTGCATGCCGCACGTTGACGGGTCAGGACAGCATGTTCCAGGAAGCGGGAGTGATGGCTCGGGAGTCCATGGAAACACACATACACTTAGTATGGTACATCCAAACCTTGCCAGATAGGTTTAACATGTTTTCACGATGACAGCGTGAACAAGGCGGAGAACCCACTGTATGGGAAATAGTGTTCCTGACTGCAACCATAAACCAGTTGGTAGAGTCTCGGTCTTGCGACCATTTACCGTATGGGGCTGTGCCCCGGTTCGGACCCTCATTATTCTAGAGGGGGGGGCATAGGGAAATAGTTAATTCCCTGATCTCGTACTCCTCCGCGTCATTAAATTTGTCGCTTCCCAGAGCGATTTTTCAAATATATACAGTCACAAGAATATACCCCTGTCCGTGGCGTGCAACTCCTGAGTTCAATATTACAAGCCACACACGCCATAGTCGTGAGTATACCTCCAGATTGTACAGGGCCTTGGCAGGTCCATTACTGAAGAACAGGGAGTTGAATTTGCCCTCAGAGTGAGCTGATGCGCCATCAGTATTGCACAACATACGGATGGTCATCACACGGTTAGTATCTGCACAAACAAAATTTAACAACAATGGAAACAAGTACATGTACTGTAAAACATGTAATTTTAGGTGCATTAAAATTTCGGTGCCAGGGACCTGCCAGGTTTCAGGTGTAATGTAGAATTAGGTGACCAGCTTTCCCTTCACATGCAGTGCATCCTCTAGTGCCGTTTAGGTGTAATTACCATTTAGGTGCCTGTCTTCTCTGCCGAAATCACCGAAATTAAAGCAACACCGGATATTACATGTTTTACAGGATATACGAATTAGACATGTAAAATGGCAGCAGAACTGAGGCGCAAACAACATGATGAGTTCTTCTGCACACATAGAAAAGAAAAAAATGGGCTTAGCATATGTCATCCACACTATGCAGGTCCACTTGCAAAGTTCACGGTTAGGGTCGAGTAAAAATCATCTACCAAGGAAGAATCTTCTCTGCTTGAAATATCTACCATCGTCCCTACTCTAACATGGGTAACTTTCAATTGTTGGTACATGACATGAAATTATAAGAAGGAAGTTAAGTTTCAACGAAAGAAACATCTTCATTATAATGAAATACCCGCAATGCATATTATCAAAAGCATACAGTCCTCAAGTTAAGGTTATGTAGAAAAACACAACAGCAGCCATGAGTCTTACCAGAGGGAACACAACAGCAGCCATGAGTCTTACCAGAGGGCATGATCTTGAGTAGGTTACGCACACTATCGCGGAGAGCCGGGTGGTTGTTGGCGATACCGTAGTCAGCCAACGAAATCAAGAAGTTGCACAGGGCTGCGTTCTGGGAAATGATCTGCATCACGCCGGCAGGAGAGAATGAAGAGGCACACGGTCAACCACTACACAGACTACACCGACAATACCACTTCACGTCATATAGCTCGTCATCATGATCATCATGAAAAGGATCTATAAGTTACTAGTTATGACTAACAGTCCACCAAGGCAACGAGATAATATACAGTCAGATAGTGCGACAACAAGGCACAAAACTGACAGGGATATTGAGACATCCGATGACCTGAAACCTAGTTCCAACACATCTACGATAATAACAACAACGTCGACGCCGACACCGACACGATTGCTGGACTACAAGCAACGACGCATAGAACATGCATTGGTAGTGGGCACCATGCACAGTACATGTGCCTAACTCACAACTCCTGGCAACTGCTGCTCGAGCTGCGTATTGGGACCCTTGCTGGTGACACCCCCAGAGCCGTTTGAGTCTTCCGAAGAGGAGTCCGGTGAAGATGGAATGGTGCTGGTGGTGGACGCTGCAGCAAGTTACAGGCACCGCCAAAATAGAACATGATAAACATCGTCTTCACTCACAACACAAGAAACAACAGATATGCTGCACAGTGTGATACATGATGTCAGTCATTGGCTACAGTCAGTACATGTATGCCCAACGTAATGGTGGCGGCGGCAGCGGCAGCAGCAGCAACAACAGCAGCACAGCAAACTACTGTTGAAAAGCATTTGGAATACCAGCACTGCAACACAATCATCAACAGCACAGTGCATGATCACACATTCACGCAAACACAGAGCGGCCCGGACAAAAGTAGGCAACACTGACAACGTATGTGTAATACGGTGACGGTGGATTTCTTACCAAGATTGGATGAAGACAGGGTAGATTGGATAGGCTTTGCCGTGATTATGGATCGGTCACGCAGCGGCAAGCTAAACACCAACTTCTTATCATCAGCCGACGTCACAAGCTCATTACCAATGAACAGGTCGACTTGATAAATCACGTTCACCATCTTCAGTCTAAGACAACCAGCAACAAAACAAAACACACAAGCAAGAGTTGGGGCTGACATGTTGGGCGTGAACGAACATGTTTACCTCTCAGGCAGACAAGTCCAGATCAGAGAGAAAGGGTCAGTTTCTTGTTTGTTTGTTTTTTGTTTTGAAGCAGGACCACCACCAGAGCTAGCAATTTCAACTCACCAAGGTCATTTAATAATATTACCAGTATGTGCACCAATTTAAAAGACACACAGGAAAGTCGGAGGCAGAGCTAAAACCCACGGATAACCTTACTTTGCAAGTATTTTTCTGCGCACTGACGCAATCAGCTCATTGGTGTGCGTTGTGATCTCAAAGTCTTCAATGACCTGGTGGTGAGCTGCCGATGGGGAGCGGATGATGAAGGTGAGCTGCCGACCGCGTACCGCTCTTTAAACAAGTAAGTCAGATACACATGAACACACGCACACGCACACGCACGCGTGCACACACATACCCACACACACACGCGCACACACGCACAAATAATCTGAAATTGCACAACATATCCACGTCAAAACTTCAACAACAACAAAAACTTCAAAGTACAAGTAAACCATAGAGGCACCACGAGTACAAGAGCATGCAATGCCGAACAGCAGACTAAAGCACAGTGGAGAACAATACAGTACAACAATACAGTACAATACAGTACAGGTGAGAACAAGGCACAACACAAAGCAAGCCAGTACCTGCTGTGCAGAGGTATCGTCCTCTCGTGCCGGTGAGAGCTGTCACACTCGCCGATGAACTCCTTCAGCAGCGTCAGGCACCTCACCATGTGTGTGACGTGCACCATCTCTACCTCGGGCGTGGACTTGCCAGCTTTCTTTGCCGACTGCAACTGGTCAAAGCTACTATTCAATGTCTCCATGCATTTGGCGAGGAATGGCTTCTGCTGAGCAGCCTAGAAACAGAAAAGAGGGTAATGGTAGTCAGTGCCTGGGTGGAGGAGAGTAAACAAGATAACTATCTTACTAGTTTCCACTACAACTCAATCAAAACTGACAGACACAGGACCACAGCAAGCACACGTGCGCACGCACACACACACACACACGCGCACGCATGCGCGCACACACACACACACACACACACACACACACGCACACGCGCACACACACACACACACACGCACGCAAACACACACCCCCACCACCACCACACGTGCACACACGCGCATGCGCATACACACACACACACACACACACACACACACACACACACACACACACACACATGTTCACACGACACACACACTACCACCACCACGCACGCACACTCACCATATCCTGCAGTAGTGCCGTGCCCAGATTCGTCACGCTCTCCATGAGCAAGTGAATAGCTTGACTAACCACCTCATCTGGGCCATGCAGTATCACCTGAGTGCAAGAAGAGACAGCAGATTACAAAACAAAAAAGGATATAAGTGTGCCGAGTGTAAGACGAGACAGTACAGTACAGAACACAAAGGACATGAGAGTGCAACCCTAACAGTACTTCCAACACTGAAGATGTGCATGATAGTAGTGATAAGAACAATGCTGCCAGCATACCCTCATATCCTGGATACAGCAAGCAGAATATACATTATACAGTAAAATCTGGTTTAAGTGAACACCTCACGGTGCAAGCAAAAGCGGTCGTTAAAGCCAGGTGGTCTTTAGAACCAGGTCCCACAGTTTCTGTGTAGAACTGCCCGTGCATGGAAAAACTGTCGTTAAGAGCAGGTGGTCGCTAAACCCAGAGGTCGCTTACACCAGGTTTTACTATAGTATACACCACAGCACCCTGGTATGCATGGCTGTACTAGTAGAACAGTACATTAGACACCTCAGCACCCTGGTATGCATGGCTGTACTAGTAATACAGTACAATAGACACCACAGCACCCTGGTATGCATGGCTGTACTAGTAATACAGTACAATAGACACCACAGCACCCTGGTATGCATGGCTGTGCTAGTAATACAGTACAATAGACACCACAGCACCCTGGTATACATGGCTGTACTAGTAATACAGTACAATAGACACCACAGCACCCTGGTATGCATGGCTGTACTAGTAATACAGTACATTAGACACCACAGCACCCTGGTATGCATGGCTGTACTAGTAATACAGTACAATAGACACCACAGCACCCTGGTATGCATGGCTGTGCTAGTAATACAGTACAATAGACACCACAGCACCCTGGTATGCATGGCTGTGCTAGTAATACAGTACATTAGACACCACAGCACCCTGGTATGCATGGCTGTGCTAGTAATACAGTACAATAGACACCACAGCACCCTGGTATGCATGGCTGTGCTAGTAATACAGTACATTAGACACCACAGCACCCTGGTATGCATGGCTGTACTAGTAATACAGTACAATAGATACCACAGCACCCTGGTATGCATGGCTGTACTAGTAATACAGTACATTAGACACCACAGCACCCTGGTATGCATGGCTGTACTAGTAATACAGTACATTAGACACCACAGCACCCTGGTATGCATGGCTGTACTAGTAGTACAGTACAATAGACACCACAGCACCCTGGTATACATGGCTGTACTAGTAATACAGTACATTAGACACCACAGCACCCTGGTATGCATGGCTGTACTAGTAATACAGTACAATAGACACCACAGCACCCTGGTATACATGGCTGTACTAGTAATACAGTACAATAGACACCACAGCACCCTGGTATGCATGGCTGTACTAGTAATACAGTACAATAGACACCACAGCACCCTGGTATGCATGGCTGTACTAGTAATACAGTACAATAGACACCACAGCACCCTGGTATGCATGGCTGTACTAGTAATACAGTACATTAGACACCACAGCACCCTGGTATGCATGGCTGTACTAGTAATACAGTACATTAGACACCACAGCACCCTGGTATGCATGGCTGTACTAGTAGTACAGTACATTAGACACCACAGCACCCTGGTATGCATGGCTGTACTAGTAATACAGTACAATAGACACCACAGCACCCTGGTATACATGGCTGTACTAGTAATACAGTACAATAGACACCACAGCACCCTGGTATGCATGGCTGTACTAGTAATACAGTACAATAGACACCACAGCACCCTGGTATGCATGGCTGTACTAGTAATACAGTACAATAGACACCACAGCACCCTGGTATGCATGGCTGTGCTAGTAATTGCTGATTGAGTTCCAGCACAGGTGACTTCACATCAAAACTAACCAATACACGTGCCAGTGCCAGCTTACCTGCCACAGATAATCGAGCCCAATCAAGTCCATGGTCTCCGTAATGAATCGCCGCCTCTTCATCGTCATGCGTCGGAGGTTCTGGTTTACCACCCTGAAGAACCGCTCAAAACACCTACAAACAGGAAGAAAAATACAATGATGATGATAATGGGGTCCCAACTAGCCGTCACTTAACCAGTATAGGAGAGGAGAAATGCATGTACCGGCGCTAGTGTATTATCAGCTCAATTTACCAGTAAGTTACTACTACTAGTGGTTTTGCAAGGTCATTCAGGTTATGCACCCGTAATAATGGTGTCATAAATTGTATTACAAGAAAAGGCGACAACCGGTAACTACAATCAAGAGTACATAACCCCCCAGAGTGTGCAACGCCGATCCAGCTCCGCATAGGGTCTTGGTCGAGCGGAATCGCATCTTCTGATGTCATGCGTACACTCCACACCAGCGCAAGGCCGGTCTCGAGGCAGGGCACCATTGTTTTTGATCCGAGTGTACCCGCGACTCCCCGGGTTCCCCTCAGATGTGTACGGTATTATGACGCAAAGATCCGATTCCGCTCGACCAAGACCCTATGCAGAGCTGGATCAGGCGTTGCACACTCTGGGGGGTTATGTACTCTTGCTACAATGTGTTCCATATTTGGCTTAGCCGCTAAGAAATACCAACTACATGTACATGTAATCCCCTTCCCATTGAACTTTCAGATCATCTTAAGGCATACTCTGGAGTTTAGCGGTTCGAATTGAAGTGAATTCAGTGTACAAACAGTATATGTAACACACAAGCACACATGCGCACGCACACACGCACGCGTGCGCACGCGCACACACACACACACACGGGCAAAGGCCTGGCAGAAAAAACACATCAAGCAAAACATTTGTAGCACAAGCTGTCTCATTCGATATTCTACGTTATGCGTGTGCACACTCACTTCAAGCCTGCCTCTGTCAAGACGGATGGATCCAACTTCAGAACGTTCTCCTCCATAAAGCCACACGTGCTCTCGGGGTCTAGATCTGGCTCGTCACCCAGAAGCTAAAAACACAATCACACAATCACCCACACGACCACAATCACGCATGTAGAACCATAAATACAGTCTGTATCGGCTATAGCGTACCCTTTTGATTTCCGTGATTTTATCACTATAATCGATGCATCACTATATGCGATACGATCGGTTTCTTTTTTCTTTTTTCGATCGACACATGAAAGGCAAGGAAATACTTCCAGCATGGCGTTTTGACAAATGAGCATGCTGCATAGTTGACAGTGCCCGCATTTCCATAAAAAAATTCTGTACAGTGGTATGTACATGTACATGTATCACTATAAAAATAAGCAACGTGAAGAAAGTAAAAAAATAGGGCCTTTGATATTATTGCTACATGTATTTTAAAATAGAGGTTGCGACTTCGGCGATGATATTGTTTAGGAATGGGTTTGCTCCCACATTGGAGCTCGCGCTATTCCGCCGACGACTTGACACTTTTAGGAATAGCGCGAGCTCCAGTGTGGGAGCAAACCCATTCCTTAACTATGTATTTTAAAGTTATCACTATAGCCGATAATAATATAGTGTGTTATCGTAGTGTTGAAACGAGCGTATCTATAACAAACGAGCGATCAGTTCCACTAACGAGCAAGCTATCGAGCGAGCTAACGAGTTTCATTGATGTGGCAAATATGATTATTTTTTTGAATAATTTTTTTTCTAAGTTCGATTTTTTTCAGCTGGTTCAAATTATCACCGCCGGCTTTTGGGTTTGCTGCTGCTTCACTTCGGACTGCTGTTTGGTGTCGAGATGTCTTTTCAGCGCCGTCGTCGATTAGCCTTTGTAATAATAGACCGTTTTGCAAAGATTGCAAGTAGCCCTGGTCTTCGCTGCATCGCGGGAGAAAACTTCCAAACGACTGAGCGTAACTTTCACTCGAATGGAGAGGTGACCGAAGCATATCCTGCGACAGGTCAGCAGATGCGGAACAAGACATCAGTAGAGTCCACCAGAGCTGCAACGACAACTGAAACAACTCAAGTGTCGTGCAGGCATACAGTCACCTGTAACTGCGAGTGATTTTCACTTTGCGCGGGACTGGACTCTCGATCGACCAGGGAGTCGTAAAATATTTTACGACTCCCCGGTCGACATGTACTGCCATGTGTACGGAGTACGGTGTACGGTGTTCGTTAGTGCAAACGAGCTGGCCGCACAAACGAGCCGAGTTTCTGGCGAGCGAGCTAACGAGTATCCGGTGAGATCGTTTCAACACTAGTGTTATGCATGTTTTGATTCTTTGTTGCCATCATAATATCCGATATATCATTACATCCGATAATATTGGTTATAGTGATATTTTTTATACTGGATAAAATACGTTTTGCTGTTGATATTTCATACCAATATCACTGTAGCCGATATATTCTTATATCCAGTCACTCTATAGCCGATACAGACTGTACTTGGTAGGGACGAGCATGTAAGAACAGTAACGCTCTGGCTAGTACATAAAGCACAGCAGCTCAATGGCAAACAGCATCGCGTCGGCGCTGCATCATCAAGTTTCATGCACATACACGTACACCTGTTCTGCACATCAATAATGAGAACTAGGTTAGCCAAAGTCGTGCTCCTGCGTGGCTACAGCATGGTGGCTGTGCCATCCCAACACCACCACACAATAGTCCAGAACAAATCCAAAAAGCGCTCACCTTTGAAAACCACCGGAAGCAAATGCCTCGATCGGCTGGGAAGACGGCATTTTCAGCAAGGCATTTCCAAATCTGTCAACAACACGCAAAATATAAATTTTATAAATGTTGAATGTTGTATCATACTAATAAATTATGAATGATAAGGACACAGCCAATGCATAGAAACAAAAACATGTTTCAATACTTCAATTACATTGTAGGAAGGACATGACAGTTAATAAGGAGGTTTCGCTCTACGTAATTACGTATGAAAATCCGTATGTCGTACGCGCCGGGGAGCGAGGGCAACTTTCATACGTAAATCTCTCTACGGATTTCCGTAGGAAAGCTCTTTCCTACGTTGGGTCCTCCGTAGGACTTTTTGAAATATTTTTTCGCATTTTCCGCATTTGTCCATGGCAACATTCAAGCCGCGCGAAACACATGGTACACACACCGTACACCACGTGCATAATATCATGGAAAACGCGGTTTCGGTTCATGGTGCATACGGTGGGCGCATGCAGCCAACGCGTCTCCAAAGCAACAACGCATGTTTAGCAGTCGTGGAGAAATCACGTAGAGCGAAACCCAACAGCTCTGATTTTTACGTATGAAAATTCCGTGCAGTTCATACGTTATTTTCATACGTACTTCCTCCGTATACAAAAACTTCGTGACTTTTTTTTTAAGGCTGCGCATAGCTCTGGAATTGTTCCGTTTGACTTGGAATAACACTCGTGGCATTGTCTAACCTGTTTACAAGCTATATACAAAGAAAAGAGCAACTCAGACGAATGAGATTGAGTTTATTCAGAGTCTTCGTCGCTCCTGTCATTGTCACCTGACGACGCTGACTCCGCATCGCCAAAAGTCGCTGCTTCGCTCGCATTTCGTTCAGATTCTTTTCAGCTGCAATGATGATCCGACGCGGGACTTTGGCTAGCGTACTCTTCATTCCCAGAGCTGTGTACGAATCGGTGTCGACTATATTCAGTCGTTCCAACCCGCGACCTCCATTATGCCGTGAAACGAGTCGCTCAAGCACATCCACACGCTTCGCATTTTCTCGGCAGGAGAATCCTCCCGAGCATTCTACAACGGCTGCGACGAGGTCCCTGCGATTCCCCTCCTAGGCCACAACGGAGACGTCTGATTGTAGTGGAGAGAGGCGAAGAAAGCCAGGTCGTCGACATTCCGATCCGGAGTCTGCGCTGGTTGCACGACGACTGAAATGTTTCATCTTTCCGTGCGAGCGGAACCGATTTATTTTCTCACGCTGCGTATGGGGCCGCGCACCGAAAGTACGAGCCTGGCCAGTTTCAGGGCAGCGAGTGCCGCGTGAGTCGTGACTCCGTGCTCCAGGCCGGCGCGAGCTCCACTTCGTCACGGTGTCAGTTTCGAGCAAGTAAGTCACACTAGTAAGTGTTAGTTTGTTTGATATTTGACTCGTGAGTTCCTGTCGGCAACATCCTCACACGCATGGCTTCCGTGGAGAATCTGTTCGAGATCAACCAAACCTACCTCAACATGAATGTGCGTTGTCGATGACAGCCTTTGGCGCGGTTCGTTGAGCAGGTTCTTGCTCAAAAACACCGTTGAAAAAAAGTCACGAAGTTTTTGTATACGGAGGAAGTAATTCCGTAGAGCGAAACCTCCCTAATGACAGTTTATGTGCATATAGATCAGATTCAAATCAGCACACCGGTTAATCACCACACTGAATCCGACTTGAAAAGTAATGGTACGAAAGGTCTAGTCGAAACTATAATGGCCTCTGTGCTTCGTGTGCTGATTTGTTTCCCTCCAACCAAGAATCTATTAGATGGGATTCAAGACTAGTGAGGCAAAAACCTCAACAACTGCCAACCTGCTGAGCTTGGCGTCCAACGAGCCACAGCTGTCCATCACGCAAAACATAGCGAATGAAGTTGAGCCGCTCCTGCAAGTGTGCGACATGAGTGTACCGCCCGTCGGGACTGTACACATCTGGGTCCAACTCGTCCACTTTGACTAAAGAGCAGCATGGTATGCACATAGACAACAGAAAACAGACCAGATAATTATATGAGAGTTGGCATAGCTAGGAAAGGGAGCTTAACACGGTAACACACAAAACAAGATGAGATACTCATGGAGCCAGCAACACGCACGCACACGCGCACATCTCATTCGTTAACAAGAGAAGGTGGCTAAGGGAAACTTGAAACACATTGCTCATACAATTGCTCACACAATGGTTCTGTTTATCAAGCTGCCATGGTGGAAGCTCCTCTCCAGTTCTGTGCACACCCTGACAGCTGTATGTTAGCACTCACCTCCAACACGAACTCGAACACTCTCCATGTACTGGCACAAGTTGTTGCACACCAGCGTCAACAGGTCAGCGTCGGTGTTGACCGTCGAGAGAGCCTCGTTGCGGTATACGTTATGACGCACGGTGGTGCGTGGCTGAGACATGCCAGCTGGTGGCTACAAGTGCATACCCGCAGATGAGCAAAGACACACACACGCGCGCGCGCACACACACACACACACGAACACACACACACACGAACACGAACACACACGAACACGAACACGAACACACACGAACACACACACGAACACACCATGTACCATGTACACGCCCGTCGCAAGAGAAGCACGCAAATCTGCAAATGCACTGGATGTGCACCCACAGATTTTCTCTTTATAGCAACGATAGCGGATCTGATTCTGATTGAAACAGATCAAGACAAGTGCCAGATAACTGTCTAATCCACACACGAACACACACACACACACACGAACACACACACACACACACACACACACACACACACACACACACACACACACACACACACACACACAAGAAGAAGCACATCCACGGTAAAAAACACGGGGTGATCGAGCCAGTGCTGGGGAGTATGGCTCTCAATTCTCAATTAGAAACGAGAACAATGGAAACCAACGACTGAAGCATATCACAAACTGAAGAGCACTGCACATAAAATAAGCACATTCACTAGTCAGGGGCGCCGCACACGGTACGGTCACTACGGTATTGACCGTACCACTTTTTGCCCCAGATACCCCGTGAATCAACAAAATACACTTTGATCTGGGATCTAAAATTCCCAAAAATTCAGAAAAAAAGCTCAATCACCACTTCCCCAGGAGTAAATTGCACTTCAGATGGCTGACCGTACCACACTAAAATACCTTCCGACGCCCCTGCTAGTAAATCAGAGTTAGCTGTGGTTTCACAGAACAGCACACAAACTACAAAGCCTGCAGCAGCAGCAGCAGCAGCAGAGCTTACCGGTGGGAACACACTACTGATGTCCTTGATCAGTTTCAAAGCCGGTAGGACCCACTGGTTAGAGCGCAGTTCACCCACGCAGTCCATGATCCACCCCATTTTCTGCTGCTCAGACTCCTGTAGATAGGACAGCATCACGGCAGCAGTAAAGTAAGCCAATTCACATCAGCATCATAGGCATTGGCAAGCACTCATGCTAGCTTTCACATCAACAGGGCGGCCCCATGCTTGTTGCACTACCCAAATGGCAGGTGCTAACCACATAAGTAATGCCAGACAAGAAAGAGAGAGGTTAAGGCTAGGCAGTAGGAATAGAAACAATTCTAATTTCAATCATGCCATGGCATGTTGCTGCACAAATAGTTCGAGGAAAGAAATGCATTCAACATCTGTAATACAAGCATGCATGCATATACAGTGTGTGCATGTATATACCGCGTACGTGTGTGCATGTATATAAAGTGTGTGCAAGTAACCGCAATGTAAAGCAAAATTCATGGCAGCAAACAAGGAAAACCGACCAGGCACTACACCTATCAATGCCGTTTTGGTGCTCGAAAACATTGAATCTGAGAGGTTGGAGCAGAGAACAACTTTCGCATCCCACAGCAGTCATCTGAATCTCCATACCCTCATCTATCTGTCCTTTCAGTGTGTCCTTTTCAGTGCATCTCCGTCACTTCCTCTCTCCTCTGTTCTGCTTCACCAAGGTGGGCTTTGTCTCCTCTTCCTCTTCTCTCTTATCCAACTTGCCTCACCAAGTTGGGTTTGGGTATTTCGTAAAAACAAAACAAACATAACGCCAACTGTTAAAAGACTCGCCTGTGAACAACTGTAGTCCAAGATCTTGACCAGTGACGATAGGGCCTGGTCCATTATTTCTGGTGGGCAGTCCTCATCGTGGGCCAGGTTCCAAAGTAGCTTCAGCACCTATGCAAATAGTCAGCAACCCAAAGAGTCAGCTAAGAGAACACACAAGAGTGTTAAAAACCAATGCAGGCTGGCTACAAATCTCTATCAACACACACACACACACACACACACACACACACACACACACACACACACACACACACACCGCATGCACACGCACCGTGCACACGCACCGTGCACACACACATACACACACACACACACTCGCGCGCGCAGCGCACATACACACACAGCACACACACACACACACACACACACACACACACACACACACACACACACACACATACACGCAGCACACACACACACACACACACACACACACACACACACACACACACACCTCAGACCTCACATCTCAGACCTGCCCATCGCGGAAGCGATGATAGTGAACAGCTATGTTAGACATAGCAACTTGTGCTGGGATTACACCATTCAACAGCTTGCAAGGCTGATGAATTGACCGCCACTATTCTTAGCCTGGTATCCACCACACAGCTGATTCAAGTGACCTTTTCTGGCCAGTGAATGTGTGTGAAGAAAAAGAAAAAAGAAAAAAAATCATTTTTCATTTTTTTCTTTTTTCTTTTTCTTCACACACACCACACCACATGCTCCGGCATACACTGGCTGTTACACACACCGACACACACACACACACGCGCGCGCGCGCACTCTCTCTCTCTCTCTCTCCACTCTCTCTCTCTCTCTGATAAACAAACTGATAACGGAGACAACATACTTTGCCAGCCATCATTCCTTCTTTGTCGTCTTCGGCCAACCTGCGTATCAGTTCCAGCAGTTTTTCACGGCCTTTCTTGGATGCACTGACCCAAGATGCCTGAGGAGAGAAAACAGCGGAAACGTGTCACACAACTTCCTTCAGTTCACACGCTCTCTCAATGCTGGATCAGCGCATTGTACAGGTATGTACGGAACACATATCGTCCTAGTCTGGGTTGAAGGGCCAGTATCAGGGGAGTCTGATTGATTGTAGAGTTTAAGTACACTCGTTGATACCGACAGGTAGCTAGGGATCGCCTCAATTACCTGAAAGCACTGAAAGAGATGATCCAACTGTTCCGCTGAGAAATCCCACGCGAGATGGGCCAACAAGTCATGGACGTTCTTTACAATGGCTTCATGCTTGCCAGCCTGCAGGGTCACACCGTACATAGATACACACGCACACGAGCGCGAGCGCACACACACACACACGCACAAACACAAACACGCACACACACGCACACAAACGCAATTCAGCATATAGCTTTGTTGTTGACTGGATTCCCATTGCGATTGATTCGGCCAGTGACTCCGCGCTTCGCTGAGGGGACCTAACAAGGTTCGCACAACTAGCTGTCCGGAGATTTAGTATAGTATTAGCCTATACATGCATTCAATTCCTCTCATGATAAAATATGAACCAAAGTATTACATGCACAAAAAAGCAAAAGCAAAAACCTAAAAGGTCACTGCTCCTGACCTGCGCTGCCCAGATGTTGTCCAGGTCTTTCAATGACATCATCTTCTCCTTGATGACGTAGCGCACAATCCTCTCCAGCTTCTCAACGTACTGCGGCTGATGCAGATTGTCACGCAGCAGAATGGACAAGACATCCCTTGTCTGAATCCACTCCTAGTAAGCAGAGAAAACAAGAAAGAAATGAGCAAAATGTGGGTCAGAGTGAGAGATGCCGAATTGTTGAACCACTAAAGCATAGATCTAGTCCTATTTTAGCACGAGCATTTCAGCACGAGCATCTTAGCTGATGGCATTTCAGATCGAGCTGTTCAGCGTTACAGCAGCTCAATGCATTCCGGTGCATGTTTTATGAGCGCCACTCATCGCCACTCAGTGCTACGTATGTTGAAGTATCACAGCACCGCACACATTGAACCCATCCCAATCTTACAGCCAGACGTGCTGAGGTGAGCCAATCCGAGTAGTCTTGATGACGATAGCCTGACAGGCTGTTGATCATCTTATTGATCTAACACACACAATACCACACACCCACACACAGACGCACGAACACACACACACACACACACACACACACACACGAACACATACGCACGCACATACGCACGCACATACACACACACACACACACACACACACACACACACACACACACACACACACACACACACACACACACACATGCTCGCGCGCGCGCGCAAACCATAGATGGACACAACACCAACATTACATGCTAGAAAATACAACCAAACTAGTTTTATTCCCGTAGCTATGCAGAAGACGTTACTTCAGTAACGTCTGGCGCTAGCCAGGGTCCACACAGCTTTAATTTTGGTATTTGTTTGTTTGTTTGTGTGTTTGTGTCACGCCTGGCGCTATCCCGTATCTGTCCCGTACCGTACCATCAAACACAGCTGGCCACATACAGCTGGCCGCAATATTCAAATAGGGCTTTCAAACGCAAGATCATAACGTGAAGCAACTTGGAAGAATGAGTATGAATGCGAAGTGTATGGGGGAATGCATGTAGGGCGATAGTGCGGGTTCGAATCCCAGGTTATGCCTGAAAAAATAGGAGAATTGAAAAATGTATAACATCCCTATGCTTTTTTTGCCTAGGTCATCAAGGTGGTAGGCGGTGTCGTATTACCCTCGACCGTACCTGTCCCGTACCGTACCATCAAAGACGGCTGGCCACAATGCATATTCAAATAGGGCTTTCAAATGCAAAATCATAACGTGAAGCAACTTGGAAGAATTAGTATGTATGCGAAGTGTATCGGGGATGCATGCAGGGCGATAGTGCGGGTTCGAATCCCAGGTTATATGTGTTTTAAAAAAAGGAGAAATTTATAAGAAATTAATATAACATCCCTATGCTTTTTTCGTCTAGGTCATCAAGGAAAAAAAGCATAGCGTAGGGCCCTGAGCTTCCAAGCTCTCTCGTTTATCTCTAGGTCCGCAAACTCCATTGCCGACGGGCCACGCCCAGATATTTGGTGAACCTGAAATGACGTTTCTAGCTGAGACCCCACATGTGCGTGTTTGGATTGAAAAAGAAAGCAACGTGTTTTATTTAAACCGTACTTTCTCTAATAAAAGCCCAGGTCTCCAATAAAACACAGTCTCCAATAATCCAATAATAGAGTTTGTAATAGTAGTACAGGCAGACCTGTCACTGAACTATAAGAACACCGGGCTCTTATTCAAGAAAATGAGGTATTCACCATTCACTCATCAAATGCTCAGTGTACAAAGTACAGCTGGTAAGCTAGCACCAGTAACGTACCTCATTGATCGCATTCATCTTGCCGTTGAACGAGGAAGTTTGCAGCAGCCTAGCGGACGACACAACATACACAAAGAGACAGGCATTGGCATTGGCAGCGAACAGGCAGTTCTTATACATATCACCACGACATACCAACCCTCAGTGCTTCTTCCACGGGAACAACCAAAACTGGATCACTTTAGTGATGCAGTACAAGAAAAAAACTATTGGGTGGACACACCCACCACTCACGTAACACTGCAAAAGGGAACCAGTATATTAAATCGCAACGGTTCAGCTCTTCACCATCCCTAGAAAAATATATAGTGAGACAGTGAAAGCCAGAAAGGAGCAGTCTATATACTAGGTGGTGTGCCGAAAAGATGTGTTAGCAATGCGCCAAAAGCACTGCAAAGTGAAAACAAAGGTGTGAAATGCCTCGACTCTAGCACCAATGCATGCAACGTGAAAGTGCAGACTAACAAAAAGATGTGAAACGTCTCACATTTAGTACCAACGCACCGCAAGGCGAAGGTGCAGGCCAAAAATACATGACATGTGCATCGTCTTACATTTAGAGAAGGAGACGCAAGAGGAGAAGGTTACGCGCTATTACAAATGCACTGTGACGTAAAGATTCTGGCCAAAAACACGTGAATTTTATCACATTTCGGGAGGCAGAACCAAAAACCCATGCAACACTGCACTGCGAAATACAGTACTGGCCAGAGAAATCCAACCTCGTGAATAAAATAGCGTTGCCGGGCGACACGCAGCCCTAGCACTACACACACGGCTATGTGTACTCAAACACGGCGCTGCTATATTCATGACGTGAGTTTCTCTGGCCAGAACTGTGAGGTATGTAGACAACTCAGATGCCACTCTCGCTGTCACAGTAGTTCTTCATGCTACATTTCCCAATTCTCAACCAGGAATGAGGTGCCAATAACAGAGTTTAATGACAGGCCTGACAATGATGCAGAAGCAACTGTTGATGTGGGTTTTTACTGTCCTATAATAAGACCTATCTGGCGCTTGTATTGACACCAGGCTTGGCATCACGAATTTCAATCACCTGGCGCAATTTGCGACAGAATCTATCAGGACCTTTTCCTATGACTGCCAATGGCCCATTCAACAAACAAATCCAGGGCTGTAGTACTGAGAACTCAAGTGGTCTGGCCAAATAGGATACTTGACCCGAAATGAACTTTATTCACGAACATCCCGCTTTGCACGAACTGGGTGGGTCAACGTTTCGAAATAATGGCCGGACCGGCCGGACCGGGTGCTACGGCCCTGAATCTCTCTAGTAGTGAACCGTAATACTAATAGCCATCACAACAAGACCATACCTGAGGTACAGCTGCAGACATACTTCCTCCAACCGCTGTGGCATACCCTCTCTTGCCGGACAGCGAAGGCAAAGGTTGCGACATGACTAAAGCATAAAGCAAACAGGATAAAATTGATAGTGAGAAACCCGTGGAATGAGAAACACACGTGAATTCCTCCTTCAAACTGGCGATTATTCCTGGGCCTTGCTGAAGGCGTATGACGTCACCATGTGACGTCATACGTCTGGCATACCCCAGCAAACAAGTGTCAGGCAAACGGGGGGCTACAGATGTGCACTTTGGACGAAGATAGCGTACATATATAATTATGCGCCACAATCTTGGGAAGCCTGCCGTGGCTGTTAGGCAGTTTTGCAGCTGTCACAAGGAGGCTGCACTGCACAATGAAGATCAAGCGCTTGCCCATGCTCACATAATTTCATCTATTGTGCGAACTTCTTCGTATAGCCTAACCGCTATGGCCGGCTAAGCTAGGTGCCAAGAGTGTATGCCCTCTCGTTTCACGCTTCTAGTTGGGCACTGTAACATCATGAGCTTACCCGAATGATTTGAGAAAAGGTGTCGGTGCGTGCTTCGTTCTTCGACTCTTTCTTCAGGTCAGCATCAGATAAGCCATCCAGGAAGTCCACAATCCGATCCTATGTATACAAAGGCCAGAATCAAGCACAGCATGGAAAATGGATTCAGTCTCCAGCAGCAATATAAATTTCACGGACCTTCCCTAATCTGAGCAGCGGGCCAGTGCATCTCAGGTCACAACAATACAACATTTTTCGACGAGCTGCTCTGCACACACAACTCGTTTCACCAGTTCCATGCACATTCACCTGTAGTGTGCTTAGCTTACCACACATGGCATGAGAAACTCTTGAACGCACTCCTCAGTCAAGTACTCGGCGCAGTGACCAAATGGCCTACAGAGGACATGGAGCATACACAACAATGAATTCTAATATTTTTTTTAAAGCGTGATACGGCAAAGAGTAAAGTGACCAGCCAAGCGCGTGTGCGAGTGTGTGTGCGTGCGTGCACACACACACAGCCAAGCGCGTGTGTGAGTGTGTGTGCGTGCGTGCGTGCACACACACACACACACACACACACACACACTCACACACACACATTGCGCGGGCACGCGAACACACCCTCAGGCACACATGCATGTGCGCACAGAATGATTGAAGCGAGCGAGCTGTTTTCCAAACACAGTTACGCACGCATTCGCACACACACCACACACGCACGTGCACACAGCATGAATTGAATTGAAGCCAGCGAGCTGGTTTCCTAACACAGACGTGACAGAACAGAGAAAGAGAGAGAGAGAGAGAGAGAGAGAGAGAGAGAGAGAGAGAGAGAGAGAGAGAGAGAGAGAGAGAGAGAGAGAGAGAGAGAGAGAGAGAGAGAGAGAGAGAGAGAGAGAGAGAGAGAGAGAGTCATTCGTGTTGCTCTGGACATACCGTATACAGGCGGCAATGGTCGACACTGACAGGTTCTCGCCAGTCTCGCAAAGATGGTCTCGCAAGTCAATAAATCCATTCAGATTTCCAAAGTGATTGATTGAATCAATCAAATATCCCTAAACACCAAAATAGGGAAAAAGACAACACATGCATACATATATCTGTTCCTGAAGATGGGCCTTGCCCGAAAATATGGATAACTATATTTCCAATTGATTGGTGTAGCACCGAGATCGTAAAGCACGTTGTATATCAGAGTCTTGAAAAAAACACAAAAAAAAAACAAGAGCAAATGCGCCTCACGGGCAGGAAGAGATGTGAACAATATCAGAAACCAGGCACACAAGGAACACTGTAAGATTGGAATGGGTACACTGAAGAAAAGTCAATGACTGATCCATACCCGTGTCATTCTCGGGTCAGGCCTGGCATACACAACCTCAACAGTCGGCTGCAGGGAAACAAATGAACAAAATTACGGCGATAAGTACTCAATCTCCTCAACCAACCGCATGCGCGCGCCCACACACAGACACATGTCACACGTGCCGCACATGCCGCACATGCCACACACACACACACACACACGCCCCCCCACACACACACACAAGCGCACACCCGCAGACAGGCAGACAGACAGACAGACACACACACAGACATACACACACCATGCCACTAGCAGTGCAAGCCCCATGAGAACCAGCTGGACACTGTGCGTATATATCCAGTCCTACAGTTTATAAGAGATCATCCGGGCAACACTAAAGTACTGATGTGAATAGATGAAGAAGAGAAGTGCCAAGCGACACGACTGCCCATAGACTGAAGAGTAGGTGGTAGATGAAGCTGGCTATACCGGTAGTGTGTTTCAAAAGTTCAGACCTCTGGTTTCAAAAAAACGTTAGGCCAGCATCTACACATAAAATCCGCGATCGCTTTGTGCATCAAATTTCCGAAATTGGGCGTTTGTTATCCAATCGCTTAGAAATTTATATAAGAAAAATTGCGGGGGCTGCCTGAGCAATATTCCGAAGAAATTTCTCAAAAAGCTCCAACCAAATTTGAATTATTCGAAAAAGTCTCGAGGTCTATACTTTTGAAACGCACTATGGAAGGGAAACCGGGGGATTAAACACACACACAGGTGGGCATGCCGCCAACAGAAAACTGTGCAGAAGAGTATAAAATAGAGACCGACATACTGCCTTATCCAAGGGAACGGTCTCAGACGGCTTGCCATAGTTGTGTGAATGGAACCTGCAGAGAGAAGATAAACAGCGCGACGTTTATATCAAAGACGTTTACACAGTGCTGCATAATCCGAAACATTCAGCTCCTCCTGTCCGGAACACATTCTACATTCCGTTCGTCTGACCTATTTGGTCACGTAAACCAGTGCGCACATAAAGCAGTACAAGAAGCTTTGAAGAGCACACACACAACACACCGCACATACTACCCAGTACGCCAAAAGAACAATTGCAGCCCCGACTACACCAAACGGCTAACAATAGCACCAGAACTACGCAAGGAAAGATTACTCCAAACGACATGAAACTTGACACAGACGCAGACATACATGTACACGCACACACACAGACACACACACGCATACCACACACGCACACACATACGCATACGTACTTGATGTTGGGATTGAGGACCATGGCCAGGAGGTCTAATAAAATGATCCAATTATCCTTGATCTTGGCGGCACACAGCTCAACCAAATCCTTACAATTGTAGTAGATATAACGCTGTAGAACAACAAAAGATGGAGGAGGAGTCAGAGGATCAGCTAGGAGGTAGGGGAGAGTGATTTCCCAACAAAAGACGGCGGGGGAGTCAGAGGATTTACAGCTGGGAGGTAGGGGAGAGTGATTTCCCAGCACCAGTAGCAGCAGTCACACATGTACATGATAACGAGTAAATGTAACAACTAACAAGACTGGTTAAAATCTGGCTTTGGGTAATCCATTGTTCATTGCTACCAGGTCCGGCCTCATTTTCTCTGTGCTGCGCTGCCGAGTCTACAAAGGACAGAACAGTTCTGTCTGCAGCTTGAGCATGATAACAAGTATGCGCTAAACGTGCACAGTTTGTCCATCGACAAGAAACAAGTGCAGTAGCCAGTGGTCCAATGAAGCCACATACCTGAATCTCTGGCTTCCAGCCAGTGACGGCATCATCTGTGAGAATCTTGTTGAAAGAACTTGTCAAGCCGTCGCGAAAAAACCGTTGGCATGCACTACTCTTCGTGTCCAGTCCTAAGGAAACACGCCAAAAGACAAAGGACAAAGCATTTATCGTTTACAGCCAGGAGCCAAATGAGCATCCCAGTACAAAGGATGCAAATCTAAAATAGGACAACATACTAGCAGAATACGTTACAGCTATGCTGAACGCACTAAGGGGTCGTCGCAAGAGTTTTTTTGTCGTCCCTGAAATGAACATCATTCGTGGGGGGGGGGGGGGGTGCGTGCGAGCCAAAATCGCAAGTCGACCGACACCCTACATATGACATGTACATGCATGCGATTTTCGTCGTCCAGCATAGCAACCTGTGTTCGTTTCAGAGGAAGGGGGTCAGAGTACGAAATGAACAATGTTCGTTTCAGGGACGACAGAAGACTTTTGCGACGACCCCTGAACACAACATATGATCCTGGAAACGACTTGCAACTTAAAATCCACCTGCATCGGTACCTTGGAAAGCAACCAGGGGACTGTGATTTAAGGTCGGTAGTAACGTAGGGCATGTTCAGGCTGACATAAACATACAGACCAACGTGAGTGTCCTTCACATTACACAGCCTACACGGCACAGCGATGATAGCCGGGATAATGTGTGGAAGTTTTGAAACTGTGTAAGGCTCTGTTGTTTCAACCCCCGTTGAAGTTTTATCTTCATGCATGTACTAATCAAAGGACCAATTGTGCAGTGTTTGGTATGGTTGGAAATGGCGGACACAGTGAATTAACTTTCGGCAATGAGACTTTCCTGTCAGTAGAGCCCAGCTGCAGCATGACTGCTGCTAGTGGTGATCACTTTTATTTACACCAGGGAGTCTCAGCATCTAGGGAGACCGCATGACTCCACAGTACCCCAAACCATGTTTACGTCGACTCTGGATCTGGAAGTCCTATGTGATGTGATCAACGCAACTCGTGATCGCGGCCTTCCTCCCCAAAAGTGGCCAACGCCAGCCATGCCAGATTAGAGCGTGCTCTGATCACGGAGACTCAGGAGCAAAGCCCACATTGATTTACGCTCCAACGATCTGTATCATCTCCCTGGATGCTACAACTTCGCGATTTACCCATACCAGTTCACCAAGCAAGCAACAGACTAGAGTTGAGCAACATGGAAGAGGCGGAGTAGCAAAGGATGGCACATCAAACCCGACAGGCACAGCGATGCTCCAAAATATAAAACAAAATACAGCTCCAAAAACTCACAATCCTCCCAACACACTCTCCAGAACCCCATTCCAGCCCTCTGTGAAGTCTCGTCAACAGCTTTTCTACCCCATTTCCAGCAAGGTGAACGTCACGTGGGCAGAGCACCGTGACAACCTTTTCCCATCAAACGCACGCTCAGGCTTTCACAAAAAAAAGAGCAATTCGAGTCGTATTTAGGACGTGCGACGCCTTCGAGTACTAATTTTTTGACCCCGCCAGTCAAAGTTACTGGCATGTACGCCGGTACGTGCCTGATACGCGCTGAAAAATACAATACGTTGGAATTTCCACTTCGGCGAGTTTCTATGCACGACACCCCAAAAACTCCAAAAGCCAGCAGAAATACGCACAAACGCAGGGTTTCACGCATACACGCGCCAGTTGTGAACACAGCTTTAAGATCCACCAGACTGAGCTGGAACGGTACGGGACACAGTTGACATCCTCTGAATGGTGTACCTACGGTATGTTGCATGTGCATGTTGGCCGCACGAATCAAACGTGCTTTGCATTACATAAGGTGCCATCACAAAAATCTCAAGGATGTGAACTTGTTCCAGCAACCTACTTTGAGACTGCAGAGTATACTGGAGACAGCTCGAAACAATTTATAATATGAACATTCACTCAATCTGCGGACAGAACTGGTTCGTCCTTTGTGGACTCATCAGCACAGCACAGAGAACATTTATAAACTTGATAATATGCCTATTACGAAGGTTGCATCTCGCAAGCTACAGGTAAACATTTCAGAAAGTGATAAAAGAAATGACTGTGTGTTACAATACATGCTGCAGTATAATGAAATCAGTCATTATCCATCACGACGTGAACTTGAACGGAAGTATAATTATATAATTAATTATGTTCACAGAAACCTTTGAAACCATCATTTGACATCAGCATAGCAAGGAGTCAAGTAAGGCGAGTTTTGCGCCCTGCACGACTAGCTTGCAAGAAAAAAGGTTTACGACGTAAACAGAACGAAAAATTGTCAGAGAATTCCACTTTCCAACTTTCCACTCAAGAGCACCAATTTCCCTGAGCAAATTGATACCGAAAATATTCGAATTCATTAACACAATTTTGTCCTCCACACATAAAAGTACCGAGAGAGTACCACAGAGATAGATAATTTCCAACACATACCTTTCTTGGCAAGCTCGGTGGCGGCCCGCATAAGCTCCTGCAATTGAGCATCTGGCTGAACCGGGACGACCCATTTGACACGCTGCACCATTTCCTCGAGCTCCTCGAGGAGCTGCACAGGGAACGGAGGCTCTGCGTCCGCTGACTCTGACTCGTCTTCATTTGAGAGTACAACATCTTTGGCTGAGGCAGGAGACACGAGCTCTTTCGCCTCGCTTGGCGAGGGCTTCTGCTTCTCTTCATTACTTTCCTTGACAGTCATATTCAAAACTTCTCACAACTGAATGCCAATAAAGTGGCACGTTTTTCACGGAGAGGCAACTGCCGTAGGGACGGAAACATAGCACGAATCATTAAAGATAAGCTGGTCTCGAACTTCTCTTCTCTACACTTACTTAGGCACACAGCCCACCGACAGCCAAAACAATTTGACAAACCAAGTTACTACCAGTGGTATGTTCTGAAAACATACATCGAAGTAAGTTAGTTTTGCCTTCTCTGGTGGACAAGAGAGATGGTTGATTTTTTCGCAAGGGTCGCCATTTCACTGCATGCAGCTCGGCTGTGTGCACAGATTTCACAGCATGATTTCGACGTTATGCCGTCATTTTGCGTCATCGATGTCAGATTTTGATGATGTGACATCGTCATCACAGGTTTGGAAGTTTTAGGAATCAGTTTCCCTCCGATTTTGATGATCAGCCTCGCAACTGAACCGGCCGGCCGGCCGGGTCCGTGTCCGAAGAATGCAAAAATCCATCAGAATTCCGGTACGGCCACGGGGACTCCACCAACGCCTCTTGGCTCAGTCTACTCATACAAACCAACTCAAAAGTCAGACAGAAGCAAGAGTCCATAACTCATAAGGCATAACCGGGGGGTTATGGACTCTTGATGTAATGCATGCAAACTACAAAACTCAAAAGTAATCATACCAACAAGACTTGGCAAGAATATGGGGTCATATCATACATGTCATGTTTGCAAGTGTGAGTAAATAAAATTAATTTAGTTTATAGTTGATGAACATGATGAAGTGTGATGGATCGCGTGGTTGGCAACTGGTTGCAGGGATAGGGCAGTTCGGACTCATCCATGTATCGGAGTGATCTCTTGAGGCTTGAACCGATCACGACACGAGTCGTCTTGACTTGACTCATGTCTTCTTGTCTTGACTGTCTGTGTAGTGTTGTTGAGTCTTGTCCCTCTACTGCTCTAGTCTTGACTTGGGACAATGGGAGTTGAGTGTGGCGCTCGATCGTGTATGTCACTATGTGTTTGGGCTTTCCTTTTTTTCACTTGAATGAGAGTAAAAACAAGAGTCCATAAATGTATTATTTATGCACTCTTGGTAAAAACTATAAAGGTTTTGGGAGGTGCGAAAAAAATCCTACCCGTACCGGTATACCGGAAGTAGCCCGTCCCTCCACGTTTCTCAACCACTCCAGTGAGAAACTAAAATTTGGTAGCCTAGATCTGCGAGAAGGTTCCCTTACTATATTGCGAGTCTTTATTTGGCTCTCTGCTCAACAAAGAACCATGCCTTGCCCTCATTGTAGAATTGGACCATCCATCCTCAATGCTGACCTGTCCTGCCTCGCAGAGCAGTCGCAGGCATTGCTGGATAAAGGTGCAGATTACTTGCACTTGGACGTCATGGATGGGTGAGGATTCGACTAACTTACTTTAATACCTAGCATGCAGATTCGAAATAAATGAATGAAGTAACGTAAATAGTTTCATAGCTTTGCACTGTCTACTACCCATGTAATACTGATCGGTAATATACACGAACCTTATTTATACAGTGTACCTGAAAAAACCCAAAGATCTCTAAGGTGCACATTGTGTGTAGGACAGCCAACAAGAGTCTTGATCACGTGCCTCCAAGTATGCACCGGCACTAAAGTACATGACTGTATAATATGAGCATTGGTTTCAAAAACATTTTATCTACGACGCACGATTCACAAAAGCGCTTTCAGTGATACGATGCGCTACACCTGCGACAAGCTGCAACTATGGCACATGATTCACAATCATAGTGCGTTTGTTATTGCGACGTCTATATGCAGTGCATGGTACGTACGCATGATGTGCGTCAAACGGAGCACGTCACAAAAGTTGAACTTGGGTCAACTTCTGCCACAATGCGCAACGAACTGTTGCCGCATATATCTGTACGTCAGGGAGCATGTCGAACCTTCCACTCCCTGCTCAATCCACAGTGTTTTGGGGAATTCACTCATCACGTGATCTTAGACTTAGGCATGCTCCTCATGTGCTCCGTAAGTCAGTCGAGTTTTGTCTCCAATTACCGCCGGAGTTGCTACTTCTAAGTTCAAATTTGAATTACATGTACATGTGTATGAAAAAGTCTGATGGTCTTGACTTCTGACATGCGCTGTTGTGGCGTCGTACTTGGATATTCGGTGGTTTGCAGTGCTCATATCTGGAACACAATACCATGAATACTAATCATGGCATTTAGGCTATTACACTTCCAGTCACTCCATGTCATGTGGTTTGCCGCTCGGAATGGCAACTGTACAATACTAGTACAGGTGGAATCATGATAATTCGAACCCCAAAATGCTGGAAAAAACTTCTAATTATCCAGACATTCTAATTGTCCAAACATGTACCCACAACCCAATATGTATGTCAGAAAGCCAATTCATGGCTTGTGTTCGCTAGCACCAGCGCAGGCTTGTCTTTCTCGTAACACCTGAAGTGACATAGCCTTTGCGCGTATCTGTGACCGTGTGCACGCTCCGTTCACATTGCTGTTGATTTTGATTGTCCCCATAGGCACTTTGTACCCAACATCACGTTTGGCGCACCATTGGTGAAGTGCCTTCGCAAGCGCATACCCGATGCATTCTTCGGTGAGTTCAACACTGAGTTGTACTGAGATCGGATTTATGGTGCAATTGCAGCGTTATCAGAGTCCATTTGTTTGTTTTTATGACGGATGGACAGTGTAAATTTGACAGACGTGTTGCTGCAGTAGTAGTGCATTTGGGCACTTCCGTACAACACTGTGTGCAGGTTTGATGCAGCAGTAGGTCACTTTCCTAACATGTGTGGCTGTTGCTGCTGTTGCTGCTACTGTTCAGACTTGCACATGATGGTGGCCGAGCCAGAGAAAGTAAGGCAGGTTCAATAGTGTACCACCTCTTGGTGGGTTAGTTAGACTCCTGCATTGCCATTGTACTAAGGTGCACTAGATAGAAAAATGTTTGTAGAATCAGGATCCTATTCGGATGAGTACTAGTAGGCGACTGGTCCCTGTTCGTGCAGGCAACACTGCTTGCTTCCTGCGTATGAAGTTTCATGACCTCCTGACACCACCTACGCATGGTCACTGCACGTCTTGTAAAGGACTGACCAGGTACTTCGAAGTATCATTTTTTTTGTTTTTTTTGTTTTCAAATTGCTATGCTGAGTGAGGTGTGCTCTTTGGGTGTTTCTCTGTTTGTTTGTTTTCTCGTCCTCTCTCTTTATCTGTCTCTCTCTCTATCTATCTATCTATCCCTATCTACCTCTCTCTCTCTCTCTCTCTCTCTCTCTCTCTCTCTCTCCCTCATATCGTAAAAGTGGGTGGACGACATGGCAGATGCTGGAGCGAACATGTATACGTTTCACCTGGAAGCAGCAAGTATGTTGCATATAATGATACTATGTTGGATGGATTCTGTTGTGCACTTTATGTATTCATTTACATTACAAAGGGAAGTAGGGGAAGTGCGCACCCACGGGATTTAGATGTCGAATGGATTTGGACATGTTTGGGGTACAAGCACTTTGATCTGTCTTATTAAATTCTGGACTGTAGACAATGTTGTACTTTTTGAAAAAAATATGCGTGAAGAAGAATCTTATAACTCTCCTTAAAGGGGAAGTTAAGGCAAAAATTAAAATATCACCAGTTGTAGTCTTCGGGGTGCTGAGTCGAATGGTCTTGGTCCGAGAACGCTGAGACGCTCCCTTCCTACTTTAATCCCAATCGAACTCGCGCACTTCCACCGAAACTGGGTGACTGCGCCCTACTAGATGGGAATTTGTATGCAAAATGTCACTAAAAGCGCCATTTCGTTCTTATAAAAGCACGGATGACCGCGATTGGCCCATATGTTGTACTCTTTTGGACGCTGAGTCGACTGGTTTTGGTCCGAAAAGGCTGCGATGCAGCGTTCCTCCTTTATTCCCAATCGAACATGGTTGAACAAGCAGTCACGTGCTCCTGGGTGCCCAAATCACCTGGTCACCACGCCAGCAGGCGACAACTTTCACACCAAGGTTCAACTCGAGTGACAGGACTGCACCCAAAAAAGGTCAAACAGGCTAGTAAGTTGTACCCTGCAGGCACGGCGACCAGGTGACTGGCGTACGCAGGAGCACGTGACCGCTTGTTCAACCATGTTCGATTGGGAATAAAGGAGGAACGCTGCATCGCAGCCTTTTCGGACCAAAACCAATCGACTCAGCGTCCAAAAGACTACAACATATGGGCCAATCGCGGTCATCCATGCTTTTTATAAGAACGAAATGGCGCTTTTAGTGACATTTTGCATACAAATCCCCATCTAGTAGTAGGGCGCAGTCACCCAGTTTCGGTGGAAGTGCGCGAGTTCGATTGGGATTCAAGTAGGAAGGGAGCGTCTCAGCTTCCTCGGACCACGACCATTCGACTCAGCACCCTGAATACTACAACTGGTGAAATTTTAATTTTTGCCTTAACTTCCCCTTTAATCGACAGCTACAGCATGCGAGATTCGGACCAATGTGCACTTGCACTGCTGTAAGGCAACTCGGCAGTGACATCGTGAATGCCTACATGAGGTCAGCGATATCGGCTCAAGGTGCTAAAAAATACACGTCGGTTCAACTTACAGCTGTGCTTAGGATATGGATACTGTATACCTGAACACCTCTATTTTCTTGTTGTGTGCACGCATGCGCTAACAGAGGATCCCAGAGCCCTCATTGATCAAATCAGAAAGGCAAAGATGCAGGTAAGCCATGCGGTCTACGACCAACTGCACTCACACTAAATTGAGTGTTTGCTGAGCTTCAGATGTACTGAAGCTATCCGCCTTCATGCCCTGCTTGCCGTGTTTCTCGCAGTTGGAGGACGCTGGTGTTTGAGCCGATTTAAAAATGCTTTTGTTCGCTGGACCTCATTGCGTTCGGTTCGCCCACTCGCTCTAAGCTCCACTGATGAGACCAAAGAAGGTCGAATGAGCTAGGTGTCCAGGAATTGAGCTTCACATTTATTCATTTATTCCACATCCCATAGCATGTTACTGTCTTCCAAACTTCACTGCTTGTACGGTCTTCAACAGCTGTGTGATACGGTTACACGTTCCAAGGCGGCATTCAGCTTCTTTTCTTTTTCTTTACTTGACTGTGTGAGCAATTATTCAATGTAGTCTTTATGATCTACTTCTGAAGTATTGTTTTTCTGCATGTGGTGTTCTTCTTCCAGGTCGGCATTGCGATAAAGCCTAACACACCTGTTGAAGATGTCCTGGAGCTGGCTGAGCTGGCTGACATGGTGCTTGTAATGACAGTCGAGCCAGGGTTTGGCGGTCAATCCTTCATGGAGCACATGATGCCCAAGGTGATGACTCTCACTCACATTGTCCCTGTTTAGCAAGTTCTTCTCTCGGTCGCCTGTGCGTGTGTGTGTGTGTGCATGTCTGTGCACGTGCGTGTGCGCGTGTGTGTGTGTGTGTGTGTGTGTGTGTGTGTGTGTGTGTGTGTGTGTGTGTGTGTGTGTGATCCATCTCCGGACTATGGCTATGTGGGTCCTGAGAGTGTTTCTCAATGCGTACATGTTTGCTGTTTGGAGCCCTAAAAAGCCACCACTGAGAGTAGATCTAATCTAGGAAGTTAGAATACACTATACTACTAGCCAGTCAAATACAGCAGATGTGAAAGAACTCTTTCATTGCCAGTGCGATGTGTTTCTATGTATTGAACCGTTTGTGTTCATATCTGCTGTTGTCCTCAGGTTGAGAAAATCCGTGCCCGCTATCCTGAGAAGCTCATAGAAGTTGATGGTGGCGTTGGTCTCAAAACAATTGGCCACTGTGCAAAGGTGAGCCATGCATCATGAGAAGCAAGCTTCAGGCGTTCAAATCGAAGCTCCTTCTCTATGCTCGTGTACAAGTGCAGGTGGCTGTTTGTGCTGCTATAATATATTATGTATTTGAGCACTCTCAGTAGGCTGCTCTAGTGCTACTGCATCGCGCAATGCCCGCTACTTTTTGTAGTTTGAGCACTCTGGCGCTAGAGCGACGAGCTAGCTTAATGTCTGTGGTGCCTCCTTTGCACCATGGCTGGTAGCTCGACCTATTTAGCTCGTAGCTGTACTGATGAGGCCTTTATGGCCGAAACAGCTTGCTGTCTACAGCATTGGGTATTATGTATTTGTCCATAATATGTTACTTGCGTATACTGTATGTGTCTTGATAGCCATGTACCGGACAATAGAGATCTGAGTGTGGTATGTGTCTGTAGGATTTAGGGTCTATCTTCGTTTTCTGTGTGTACGTACGTATACAGGCTGGTGCCAACATGATAGTCAGTGGCACAGCGGTTGTGCGCAGCGATGACCCGAAAAGCGTGATGGATGAAATGCGTTCCATGGTCAATCAAGCGCGAGATAGCTGGCCGCAACCATGATGTCCTGCTGCTGGCCTCTCTCTCTCTCTCTCTCTCTCTCTCTCTCTCTCTCTCTCTCTCTCTCTCTCTCTCTCTCTCTCTCTCTCTCTCTCTCTCTCTCTCTCTCTCTCTCTCTCTCCCTCTCTCTTTGCCACTGTGCTCACTTCAATCCAAGTCCTCTGAAGTAAACTACAAATGTTCTCTTTGGAAAGAAGGTACCCGTAGGACTTCCGCTAGTATTCATACTACTAATCGTTGCCATCACTGAGCAGAGTGTTACTGGTAGGTATACAATTTTTTAAATGCCAGTTTCTAATTGCAAAACTCATGAAACAGTAGTATTCACTGCATTCCCATCCGCTTCATTTGCTCTTGCTGTCTTGCTAGCACTGCAACCCCGGTAGCAATACGTTTCTGCCCATGGCCGCCCACTAGTAATATCAACAGTAGCATTTTACTTCTTTCTGGAAGACCTTTTTTGGTTCGCTTGCTGTTTGTTTGTAGAGCCATGTTCAGGATTTTGCGACAATACCTGAACATAATCATAGATCGGGGCATCATGCAAGCCACCCCTGGTCCATGCCTCTGTATTTTGCTGCTAACACACAGTCTTATTTCTAGGCCGACCAATTTCGCCAAATGTTAACTGTTGTGTGCGATGTGTCATGCTATAAACACATAATGTGCTGCGTGTGCATGGTGGGCGCAGAGTAGCATACCTGGTAGTTTGTTCAACCTGAGGTGTGTGACTCCCTGGTTCAATTGAGTTGCAGATGTGCCTGAGCCTCTACTTGTACGTACTGCATGGTGTCCAGGGAACTCGAGTGAAGCAGCATTGTCCACACCTCCATATTTCAAAGGCCATACAGTTATGTACATCAGTGTTACCCCGGTTTGTGTGGATATCATAATCATACATGCACAAACAGAGCTGTATGTTGTGAATCTATGTAGAATGACGAGTTCTAGATCACAACATTGCGCACATAGTATCCGAGTATTGTTGTGCCTTCTGCTTGTCCATGCATGGGAACATATCCCACATTACTGCCAAGCTGTGAAGTAAATCATACCATGTACACTGTGGCACACTTCGATTTTTGACTGATCTGTACAAAATACAGTTCCGTCAATCCAACCAAAACCTATTATTATTTTTTAAACGAAAAGTTATTTTTCAGACCCACCCACGTGCCACGGCTACCTTTCTGCAAGCAAAGCGAACTAACTAACTTCAGCAAATGATTGAAACCGATATTCAGCACTCAGTACAAGCAGTGGTACCCAGCAGGGAGCCCTACGCATACCAGCAAGAGTGTTTATGCACTCTTGATACCAGGTATGTGTAGGGTTCCCTGGCACCTGCATTCTCCATGTGAATTCCATAAATTGTTTCGAAACCTAAACCCACCCACCCCCAAACAAAAACTTTTCATTTGAACAATTGGTAACCTTGGACAGCTCCTTTGATAGTACATATGGTATGCAATGTACATTAGAGAACGGCGTTTTCGTATCTTTCGGCAATATTCCGCGGCATTTCCTAAAATCTGCACGGCTAAATTCTGCGTCCGTGGAATCAACGGTGGGGGTAGAACATTGAAAATGAACCGAGCACCACAACCACAAGTTGCACAGCACACTGAGTAACATAGCGGTCTTAGCTGGAGAATGACAAATCAACTCGAGAGTACAATTCTCACATGATACATTCAGTCAGCAAATAGCTTTCGCAACCCTAGGCTATGGCCAGCATTGCAACCACTAGCAGATCTGCACCGGCAATTCTCAGCACAACACAACCAGACACACAGCACCAATTATCAGTGGATTACTGTAAGAGCTTGAATCCATCGCTGATGAAAACGTATCAGAATGAATTGCATAATGGAATACTCAACAGTTCTACTACGTTCGGTCAAAGTGACTATCGCGTAGAACAAAAAGGAAGGAAACAAGAAGAAGAAAGTGACGGGAGAAAGCTAAGACACGCCTGAGAAAGATGAAGAATCAAACTGAAATGTTGTCAAATTATGCAATGGAGAAAGTGCACAAAGGCGGGCACACAAGGCAAAGACAACACCTATGTACTGTGCACATGATCAAATCAAAACTTAGCAATTTTCGTTAATACGTTTAGCCAACTAACTTCCAACACAGCAGTTGGCAAAATGAGTCATTTTATGCATTCGAATACAATCACACAATGATGTACAGGGACGACAGCCAAGCAGTTTCTTGTGACAAGGGAGATGCAACCGAACTGTTGCGAAGCGAAATAACATACGGAATGAGCACTAAGCTTACAATACCAGGCACTTAGACTTCTTCTTCTTCTTGACCTGCAAAGCCGCTCTTGTTGCTGTTTCAAACACTTCTCGTACACCCTCTTTGCTCTTGGCTGAGCATTCCAAATACGCGAAAGCGCCGATTTTCTCGGACATTGATCGTCCCTCCTCGGGCTTGACGGGTTCCTGCTTCATCTTAGCCAGCTCCTTCTTGGTCGCCTCGTCATTACGAAGATCCTTCTTGTTACCAACAAGAATGATCGGTACATTAGGGCAGAAATGTTTGACCTCGGGCGTCCATTTCTCGGGGATGTTTTCCAAACTGTCGGGACTATCGACGGAGAAGCACATAAGAATAACGTCGGTGTCAGGGTAGGACAGGGGTCGTAGACGATCGTAATCTTCCTGACCAGCTGTATCCCACAAGGCAAGTTCTACACTCTTTCCTTCAACTTCGATATCGGCAACATAGTTTTCAAACACAGTTGGGACGTATACTTCAGGGAACTGATCCTTGGAGAAGACGATCAACAAGCATGTTTTTCCACACGCTCCATCACCGACAATTACGAGCTTCTTACGGATAGACGTCATCTGTACCAAAATACCAAAGGACAAGAGGGGAAAACATCAGCATGCAGGGACACACACAAGGTTTTTCTGGAGATGCAGGTCAGAATGGGAAACATCAAAGCGCAAGAGGACAAACTTTGGCACATAGCACAGCAAGCCAGGCAACAATGAGGGGACGGTGCTTACCTTCCTAAGTGAAGGCGATGTTCGAAAGCTCCAATCTATCCAATGGTCAAAATCAGCTACTCTAAGAGACTATAAGGTGGACATTCAAAGGACAGGTTCGCGGAGCAAAAGAAGAGGCCGCGAGAAAAGACAGCAACGCCAACGCCAAGACTGAAGTCTAGAGTGAAGACTGAACGCAAGGCTTGTACGCACTGGGGTTGGAAGATCAACGAAGCCATCTTGATCTGACGTCACCAGGTAACTGGTATAAAAGGCTCGTGCCGCTCGTTTCAAAAAGGCATATGCGCGTCATGCATGCAGCCTTGCAGGGTTGTGGATTGTGGAGAGCTCCACTCGAGAAGAAAATGCTAAGCATGAAAGTAACGTTAGTTCGTTGTGACTGTATTCACGCATATGCATCTCGGTACTCTAGACTAGAGTCTAGTGAGGCAGACTGCGCTGATGATGGCTCGGATCTGAAAGTGAGTGGGATCATGAAGTAACAATAGTTGAAGGTTACGATGGCGAGGCGGATGGCATGATGTACCTGTACTGCACCTCCTCAGCACAAAATCTGTTTGATATTCGTATGCTTGCAGTGAAGAAATTGTTTGGCTTGCTTTTCAGCCTTCGCTGATCGTGTCTACAAATATAGACAGCAGCTACACTACGCTGGTAATCATGGTAATGGATAAGTACAGTCATAATTATATGTAGCCCGTGACTTTATTTTTGTTGTGTACAATACTACATGTAGCTGAAAGAATATACTTGTAGATGTATATGTACCGGTAAAGAGTGTTATCAAGAGTCCCATATACTCAAAAATCAATCGATCAATCTTGGTGTTACCAGTAGCAATGACGTGTTTCAAGAGCCTCGGTAAATGTCCGGTGTCCTGGTGACCAAAATAGAAGGTTATCTACTTTAGTACAAAGATTGATGTGACATAATACCGGTGCATGTACTATTAAATACATGTATCAAGACAAACAGTTTTTTTATGGACTCTTGCTTACATTTAGCAAGAGTACATAAAAACCAGAGTGTGCAGCTCGAATGGGTTGCTGTCACGGCGAAATTCCGTGATTACATCATTTTAGTGATGTAGTGCGTTCAAGCAGGTCTCTTTCTGCACAACTGCAGCTCAGTTGTACGCACTACGCCATTTCCCGCCTCAGATCTGCACCAAAATGATGTAATCACGGAATTCCGCCGTGACAGACACCCATAGCAGAGAAGGCCCCAAGCTGTACACTCTGGTTTTCATGTACTCTTGTTAGGGGTCGTCCGTATTTTTCGAAAAATTAAAAATCCGTCCTCAGGCAGAAAGGGGGTGGGTGGTCAAGAGCGCTGGCGGAATTTAATTTTTTGATTTTTCGTACTTCAAGTACTTTTTTTTTTCTTTCTTTTTTCGTCAGTGACTTTCATACACTTGTTGCACTGACATGTAGTGCACTGTAGACGTAGTGTGGGATCGCAAACACCAGTATGATATACCGGTACATGACTCTTTTGTAGTTGTAGGACTTGCATGGCCGTCGGTAGATCTACTCACTTTACTTAGCTACTAGTACTTGACATACATGTAGGTGCAATCAGTGAACATGGGGTCAGGAGTTCTTTTTTTCGAGCTGGGCATCGGTAAAAATCAAAACATTAATGGAAAAAATGGGGGGTGGGTGGGTGGGTCAGAGACAATTTTGAACGAGGACGGATTTTTTAATTTTTCGATAATTACGGACGACCCCTTAGTAATAATGAGGGAGTTGTAAAATGTGTGTGAGCAATTCTGCAATTCAAACCGTCCACCTACATTGTACCTGTAGATGTGCCTCTAATTTCATGTTCCGTAATTTTGTTGTTTCTTGCACAAAAAGGGTCCCTGCATGCAGTGCAGGCCTACGTACATAGTGAGCAATGTTTCTGCATTTTCAATTTTTCAGATTTTATAATTTTTGGTATTACAGAGTACTAAGACTCGGTGCTGAAAGGCGGGCCCATGCCCCTACATGGCCCCCGAAAAAATAAAAAAGACCACAGTTTGTAGTACATGATTTTATCAAGAGTAATAAGCTCCCAAGAGTGTGCGACTCCGAATAACCTTTCTATTGGGTACGCTGACGACGAAAACTCACATCACGTGCTGTAGTGTTTTCGTTGTATGTTCCCAGCCCGCTTTGCAACCAATCAAGTTGAGAAATGGCACTCCCTGGCAGAAACCCACTCAGCTTATGCGAGTTATCAGCATGATCTTGGCAGATGCCGTTAAGTCTTGTATAAAAGCTGCACTTGAATAGAAGCCGCAATTTTGGGCCCATCAAATCACACATAAGCCTGGTTTTAGTGTTGACATACATAGAAATACCTGTCTTGGACTTGTATAGAAGCCTGTCTCACAGAAGCCTGCAAATTTTCACCAAGAAAGTCATAGAAGCCGCGGCTTTTATACAAGACTTTACGGTATTCGAACTGTGCACACGCTAGCCTTCGTTATACGTGGTCGTACTTTGAACATGTGATTTGAGTTTTCACCGTCGGAGACCCTGTATGCAGAGTTGCACACTCCTGGCCATGCTTATCCCGTATTCAAATGTCCCACATGCTCAGAAAATAATAATAATACTAATAATGGAAAACACAGCCACACATACCAGTAGGTCTTCGTCCCTGTCCACAAATCTGTTGAACCCATCCAGGGGTGTCGAACCCGCTACGATTTGGGTGACCAATTCGCTTTAGGAGTTTCGTTTTGAAAATATATTACATGTATATTATTGAATGCCCAGGTACTATTGGATGTTGGAAAATTTGAGGCCACGACAAATTCCGTGATTTTCATAGGATTCCACGGATCTACAGAAAAATCCGGCCAATGCAGCTTATGCTCCACATGGTACTCAATACTTGACTGTCGATGTCATGTCGTGTTCAACAGTGGCCGGATTTTTTTGCCAAGTATAGTAGTAATATCAAGAGTACTCTTGGTAATATCCACAGACACCTTCATGCTTGAAACAAAAAAATGGCTTCCTATTTTCATACGGCAATCAAGAGTACTGTGCGGGAACCATGCTTTATTACAATAGTAACAAACATGCGAGAGAAATGTGAATGTGAAATGTACATGTAAAAAGAAGAAGAAATTTTTAGAACGGTTTTCTCGTTACGATCTTCACTGCTTTGTGTGAATCCACCCGGTTGTATATGATATCCATGTTTGCACCAATGTGCAAGTGGCTTTGCACATCGTGTGAATAGGCTTTTACCAGGCTCCAAGAAAACACACAAGCATTCAGTGAATACCTCCAAACACTGACAATCGTATTCCGTTCAAACGTCATTTCGCCTGAAGCTTTGCACGAACATGCCAGGCTACCCCACTCTCTTGCAATTCAGATCTTCACGGAATCAAATTCCGCTGGTTCTGACGTGAGGGCCAGATTTCTTTGATGTACTCACTCACATTCTATTTGTACATGAACATGCTCCACTTGATCTCTTTGGTCATTCTGGACTTTTCCAACCTATGCCCAGAATGTGCAATGGATATGCCTATCGTATACGTGTGCTTGGTTCGCTAGTTTTGTAACTGCGTATCCCGGGCAACAATAAAACAATTTCAACTGAAGAAAAGAAACACACTTATGATCAAATAATTATGCAATATTTCCTCTTCTGTCTTAAATCCTACTCTATTTTTCTTTTAATCTTTTCCTTACATTTGTGTGCCTGTAACTTTAGTCGATCTCATGTAATAAGGCAACACTGCCTGTTTGTTATTCAACGTTAAATAAACCAATCCAATCCAAAATCCAATCTGTATCGACATACATGTAATACGTATAGATTATAGACCGGTTAGGAGGTCTATACAGGATATATAGACCGAGTAAAAGACCGAGGTCTTTTACGAGGCGATAAACACAAGTACTGCATGTTCATTACGACAATAATAACAATCATGTCATGGTGCTTTCTGATGGTCCCTTCAGCTTCTGCATGCAACTCCACCCAGGCCGGTGTATGGAGCACTCTATCGCTTTCTAACTACCACACCTCACTCCAAGAGCAAAACGTGTATACTATCAAGAGGCCGACCACCACTGACTTGGTGCACAACAACTGGACAGGCCATTTCGCGCATGCACTTGCTCACATCGTTCACGATACATGTACTTCAAGTACAGCTGAATAAGGGTCTTTCGTTCATGATTTTGTTAAATTTGTTTTCTCTTGATTGACGCCGCTACGACCACTCAGGGTTACGAGTTTTACATGCATACATGTACTCAAAGTGCTTGAAACATAACTATTGGATTCATAACAAACTAGAGTAGTAATTTGTAAGAGGAATAGAAATCCAGGATAAAAAAATACTGAAACACTGAACTATGACAAAATTTATAGTAGAGGTGCATGGCAGAAAGCTGCATTTTACTTGTAGAATAAATGCGTCAATAATATTGGCGCACCGCTGCTAGTGCACAAGTAGGCACACTATAGCATTCAGAAAACTGTGCTGAAAGCATAGTTGGAAGCGTCGCCACTTTTTGAATGCATCAGCTCGGGTCAAATCAGTCTGTAAGACGGTGACGAAAGTGTCAGAACTAAACGTTTTCGTTCCCTTCTATTCCCATCATGGACTCGGGCTCGGACAGGGAATAGGACGAAACGACTAAGGCAGCAATTTAAAAAAAGTAATGTGTACAAAATAAACAAAATAAAAAATTTCACGGTTCGCGTGAGACTCGGCTGGAAGCCGAGTTTTCCGCATCCGCCGTGGGAACGCCACCACCCTCTAGGATCAAAGGCACAAAACAAGCCACAACTAAATGCAACATCAGACTGGCTAGGAAAATCTATGGAGAAAAGGAGCAAGAAACCAGCAAGCCCTATTGGAAACTAGTCAGAGCTGCAAAAGCAGAAAAATATACTGCCAACAGTACCCTTGAAACGGTAGAGCTGTTCTGCTACAAGTGATGATAATTCGCCGCTAAATTCGGACAACCTGCCATGACCTGTGAAGCTTGTACTTCGAAGTAGATGCACAGGATTGGCAGGGAATACTGGCAGCTGTTTCCTGGATGCACAGACTGGGAATGTATAAGCAGCTGCATGCCAAACGCGCACCATGTTAGCTCATGGCCAACAAGAGCACAGCACCTGTGTGAAGCAGCCGTCCAGGCGCATCTTCATTCGGCAAGAAACCCTCAGGGTGCATGAAGTACTTGTAACCATGCAGAAAATGATACACGTGCTGTATCTGTGTGGTGTGCTGCACTTGTCACGTGCAAGTCAGCAGAGCTGTTCAGTACACTGCTTCAGAGAGGTCAATGTGCACAGCAACTAGCACTGTCTGCGGGTGTTGGTGGTGCCGGTGCATGCGCAGACGCTGTCAACCAGTCGTCAGTGTATTGCACTTGGCCAGCGGAGCAATGCTTGCAGGCGGGTGATTGTCAACCCAGCAGTGTCTGTGCATCGTCACCACCGCCGCTGCACTTAGCGTGTGAGTGTGTCCGCCGGTTGCGGGGGCAGCTTGCCACGGCACGGGCACACCCCGCATGTGTGGCGTAAAATGGATGCGCTGCCCAGCAGAATCACGGGCAGGTCTGCACGCGTGTGTCTACTCCATGAACGGCGGCAGGGGCAAGCGCTGCTGGGCCTCGTGTGGCAAAGCAGCACGGCGTGGGTAGAACACATGGTCAGTGGTGTAGTGCATGAGGTTACGAAGGTCCGATGTGTACAGGTCGGAGAAGCGTGCCAGGCGGTTGAACAGGTAGGAGTGGTTTTGGTGTGTCCTGAACAATGAGCCAAAGCGAGGGTTGAACGAACTCTTGAGCTTGTCCCTGCAACAGATGAGCACACGCGGAACAGTTCCGTTAATGTAGCAAAAGTGTACAAACAGGATTAATAAACAGAAAACCTTGATGAAGTCTTGCAAAGTACAATGCGACGTGTGTTTGCTATGGGCATTTTACACATACCTTATCTCATCTCGTTCAAGAAGCCACTCCTTGAGGAGAGCCTGTCCGGCTCCGTCATTGCTGTGATGCATCTAACGTAGCAAGGACAACCAATTCGAGAAACAAAATTAATATCAGTGACAGTGAATGCAATCTACCGTATAGGCGCGAATAGAAGCCCCGGGGCTCTATTTTTTCCAGGAGACACATCGAGGGGGGCTATATTTGAGAGAGGGCTCTATTCGAGAGGGTTAAACATTTTTTTTAATAGAACATCAATTGCTTCACCCTATTCTGGCTGATTAGTGCATGCAGTGACTGCACTCGATCATTGTACGGTAGGTATCCATGACTGCAGTTTGGGTGCAATAAGTGCAACATGTTGCACTTGCATACCGTACACGGTTCATGTACTGCACTGCACTGTACACACTTTGTACGCTTGATTATAGCCCCGGGCTTTTATACGAGACGAGGATTTATTATTTCGATTCCCTCTGACAGACGGGCTCTATTTGAGAGGGGGCTTGTATTCGAGCGCGTATGGTATGTACGCATGGAATGAAAGAGAACATAACCCTAAGAGTGCACAAACGTGCAGAGAACCCCAAGGGTGTATATCTACACCTAGACTGCCATCATGACTTTGTTTTCAGAATCACAGTATTTCTTGGAATGAACCCCGACGGCTTATCTTTTCGTCCAACCTTTTGTGTGCCACAGGGCTTCTTACAGACAGAATTTTAAAACGCATCAGCTCCATACTACGGTAAAACTGGTAATGTTTGCAGCATACATCTGTTGACGATTGTAGCCAGATGCCACTCTCAAGATCGGGCCACGAGGTGAGCCGTCGTCAGAAACCACAAAAGCTCTCAACCACACCACACGAATAACAACTGTGCATGGAAACAGAGAAACAAGAGCAGTGCTACTAGTCGAAGAAAGGGCGCTCCAACAGCAACACCAACAACACTGTACCTGTAATCTTTCCAAAAGTTGGTTGAGACCATTCAAGAACTTCACCGTGCGCACAAACTCCTCAGAGTTGCTCACTTCCACCTCATGCTAGCAAGCCGCAAACAACAACACAAACAGAAAAGTATGAACGAACAGAAAAGAAACAAAAGGCGTTTTAATTTTATTGTAGTGCCCTGAAATTAATGTACAAGCTAAGAAGAATGACACAAGTCGATGACAACAGGAGTGGCAGTAGTAGCAATGAGCACATTTGAATAGTCACCTCAAGCTCAGGGACAATGCAGCCTGTTCGAATGCCGGCATGAAGAGACGGGTCCTGCATAACAAGAACAGAAGCACCACAATAAGGCTGTGTTTACACGAGAATTTTCAACATGGGTTGAAAGTCTGTACGATCACTATAAGGCCATGGTAAAAATTATCTTTGATTCTCAAGTACGCGCGCACCGATTTTTGGCGGCGCACCGACGATTTTTTTTATTTCTATGCATGCATATGCGCACATGAAAACGGTCAATGCAAAAGGCATGAATCAGGGAGTAGTAAAATACCGGTATTTTTTTACTCCCTGGCCTGAATAATAAAATAATTTTTTTTTTTTTTTGAACCTGTGACGTACATATGTGTGACCCTGTCTTTGGAAATAAAAAAAATGTGGGAAATAAAATAAAAAATCTCTCGCTCGCACCGATTTTCACAGGCTCATGACCTGAGAATCAACTTTATTTTTTACCATGGCCTAATAGGTGGGTGTTTACACGAAGACAGTTGACTCGGGTCAATTACTGATACGCCGCCAAAAGTCCACTTCTAGAGTCCTCTATGGTCACGTGAATACTTTCGCGCAAAATTCGCCTATGCAGTGCTGTTCAAACCTGGCGTGAGATACGCACAGAAGTATGGTAGCATGATTTCTTGATTTCAACCCTCTCCCAAGGGGAGGGTTGAAATCAACCCGCAGCAAAAATTCAACCCGGGTCAAGCGCAATGCGTCGTCTAAACGCGTCAGTCAATCTGTGTTCATGGCGGGTTGAAACTTGACCCGGGTTGAACTCAACCCGGGTTGAAATGCCTCATGTAAAACACAGCCTAAGGCCTCATTTACACGACAACGATTGAAAAACGTTTTTCAATCGTTTTCGAAACGTTTTTGCTGTTTACACGAAAACGATAATCGTGTACACTGCAACACTTTTTTCGGCGCGCAATGGTCACGTGCAAAAAGTTGGCCTGGCGCAGGCTGGCGGCGGCATATTTTGAGTACAAGGCTCGTACTAGTAAAACGTTTTTGCCGTTTACACGAGAACGAAACGGAACGAAAACGATTGAAAAACACTTTGAGGCCGTTTTTCGTTTGAAACGTTTTCGAAACGTTTTTCAGCGTTGTCGTGTAAACACTCTTATCAAAATCTGTGGAAGCGTATTCTTTTGAAAACGTTTTTGACAAAAACGTTTTTCAATCGTTGTCGTGTAAACGAGGCCTAAGTGTCGACCAAGAACACTGGACAGTTTCATAGCATAGCCAGCGGCACGCAAAGGATTTGGTTGAGGGGGGCACTGAACCCACTTTAGGATGCTCGTTTCCGGCCACCCGTGCCACAGCCAGGCCTTTTCGAATACGCACATAAACCCAGGTCGAAATGTTTGAGGGGGGGGGGGGGGGGGTATGCAAACCTCCTGAAACCGCTACTGAGGGCAGTGACTTAGAAAGTATAAGGTACTGATATCGACACCCCACAGCACACAATGGCTGCCAAAGGAAGGGATGCAAGGGTTAACACACTGTCCTCGTGCTGAACGGAACACTAACTTGACCAGCAGGTGCTTACGTATGCCGGGCATGCCAACAAGATCATAGTACACAGACAAGGATATCACGGATTTCACACGGTTACTAGAAGCCGTAACTCAGGCACACCCTGGCAAAACATAACACTGTGACATCAGCAGTAGCACTTACCGCCAGGTCACCATACACATCATCACCAAAGTACAGAATCTCAGACTCCTTCCACCCAGTCATCTTCAGCAGCTCCTTCATGTTTCCCTGAAAAAACGAAAGCACAGGCAAACATTATACCACCGCTCTTGCAACACGTTGGGCACAGCAAAGGCCCAGAAAGGGCTGCACTGCAAGGCAATACATGTATGTCCTACTTGATGGGACATTATGAGATCTCTGTCAAACAAAGCCTCTTGTATGGGAAATAACACAATGAATGCAATGCTCAAAAATGTAAGGCAACCAAATAATACACAATGCAACCTGAATTGGTCATGGTGAAACTCGATATGTAGAACACAAGAACTGACATAATGTTCCATCAAGTTGTTGCTTTTTCTCGTCTACGTCATTCTCACGTGGTCGCAAGAAACAAACAATGCATGATTGTCACAGTATGGTATACATGTACAGTTGCGTTCGGTGAAAATGCGACCCGAAGTGCAAAGCTGGCGCCCTGGATTAGTACCGATTACATCACTGTATTTGTACATGTGTACGGCCAGACGTATTCGTGCCACTGCCAGGGCGTCAGATATGCACTCTGGGTCGGATTTCACCGAGCGCAACTGTACATGAGAAATGACAAGGTGTATTCTACGTTATGTTGTCAGACCCACATGATCATGACTCATTGCTTGACGACAGCCTGCTATGAATGCATGCCACAACAAACTTCAAACTCTGAACTTTGCCACGTGGCCAGTGTACGTGTCCTTGTGGCAAGCATCGTGCAACAGTAAGCATAGTATGAGCTAGTCAACACACCTCCTGGTAGACATGGTTGGGTTCTAACGACTCAACACGCTTCCATAACGGAGAGCCAGCCGACACATCCCAGGCTCTGAATGGTCTGCAAGCAACAGAAGACAAGGAAACACGGCATCATACATCAGATGACAGGTACAGTACTGCCGGGTGCCGAAGAACGCAGTACCAAAAAAACGACCAGGCTAGAATTTCACCAAGAACAGCATACCAATGTGTACACGATGACTCAACTGTGCATAGACCATAGTACACATGTACATGAAAGTAAGAACGGCCTAGGCTATGAGGCTGACCCCCCCCCCCCCCCCCCCAGTTCTTCAGAACCCAACAGCACTGTGGTCAATAAGTCTGCTCACCTCCGGGTAGCATGGCTCAATGAAGTGAGTACATCCACCAGGGGACAAACTCTAAAAGCCTATTGGCAATGGTGCCTATCTGGCTTGAAGGTGATGATGTCCACACGGAGGGGAGGGGCATATTTACGGTCTAAATGACAACCTGCTACTTATGTCGCATCTCCGTGCAACTTGATCCGTACCATCGACCTGCTTCCAGGAAGGGCGCAAATGTCTCATGTCACCGATGAAGACACCACACCTCAAGAATCTGCAGTGGTTTGGACACACGTTCCGGGTTGGATACCTGACGGCCGCCTTTCGGTAGGCTATTGTTGGGTACGTCACATGGCATGCACGGGAGTAAAACGGGACTGCAGCTATACTACTCACTTCCATTCCTGAGTGTGAAACTGCGGCTTGCGAGCATCGACAATGACCACACGGAAGAAGCTGCGCCAGTCCTCACCAACAAAGTATGACATGCCTTCGTTACTGTAAAGAGCACACGATGAAAACGAGACCGGAACAGAAACAAGCAGTTAGGTGAGTATTACAGCAGAATGGGCAAAGTTGATGGGGAGCACTCAGAACTCAATGGCACTGGCAGCAAGCTATTCATGGTAGGGACCATCGTCAGTTATGTGGCCAACAAGGACATTAACAAAAATGTTGATTGAAAACTTTTTACACTGCTCCAGTACAGTGGAAGCATGATCTCATGAGCATATAAAACAACACTTTTACTGCACTTACATGAAGTTGAAGCTGCTGTTGGTGATGACCACCAGCTCCTTTCCAGCATTGCTCAGTCGCTGGAGCAGCTTTCGCACACCATCATCTCGGTCAACGAAGCGGCCTGAACAGCGGAAGTATCAGAAAATCATTAACAGTGTGCATTCAGAGCAACACAAACAACTAAACGATCCACAAGGTCAGCGCCAGCTAGATCTGCGAAACCGCAGCGGAAAGTAGATTTAAATTACCAACCTGAGAAGGAAAGCTTAGCACGAGGAAAGACAGTAGGGAGGTTTAGTCCCACGTAATCCGTGTGTACCTTACGTGTGTGTACCACGTGATACTCAGTGACCCACGTACAGCCGTTTTCTGATTCGGAACATACCATGTATGGAGGCTCAACCACGTTCCGCCACAACGTTAGTGAAAAATCAGAATGGAGCGCATCGTGCAAGCGATGAGGGTGCTCAGCTGAAGAAGTTTTCCAAGCATGAAATCAAAATATTCGATGAGCTTCGAAGCTTCCTGTTTGGCCAAGTTTGGGCCTTTCGCTTCACGCTTTTGTTTGTTCCGTGTGACTAAAAACAACATTGCGAACGTGGGTCTATTGCATGAACTTTACGTGTATCACCCACGTTCCCGTATCCGTTACGTGGGACTAAACCCCCCTAGTGAGCAAGTAACAACGGCACCGATGGATCAAAGAAAAGATGACTCAAGATCTGTAGTCCACAGATAGCAGCTAACAATACAAGATATCCTGGATACATACATACAAAAAAAGAAAGAAAAAAGAGTACCAATACACAAGACGAAACTCACCGATATCATTCATGACTTGGGAATGGAACACGCCACGGGAGTGTGCTTGTTTGATTGCATCCTGCAGCCATAAACCACGAATGCAAACCAGAAGTTTCAAAACACAACGATGCAGTCACTAAGTGACAGCTTCTATGGTGATATTGCATCCAAATTCAGACCCTTCATGCTATTTCAGACTCATGTGAAGACGAAACCAATCAAGCCAATGTGGACGTATTCTACAAGTACGTACGTTGATATCAGCGACGATACATGATGGATCACAGAACTTGAGATCCTTGAAGTACTGCAAGGACAAAGAAAAACAATAAACACACACACACATGCATGGGCACAAACACACATGCATGTACACAAATGCACATGTATACAGACACCAGTCTGTAAACTGGGAGCAACATTCACGAATAGCGAGACAAAATACGTGTATGCAGTCCTTACCAAAAAATCCTGACAAGATGTACAGTTAACGTTTACGTTTTCAGTGACTGCATCATTGTGTTTTGAAACTTACTGAAGCGTGGTTAGCATTGGTGGTTTATGACATGGTCAATGGTACGGTATGACTAAGAATGTTCTCGCAAGCAGCGCTCGCCTTGAGATTTAGACTACACAACCACAAGCTCTTCGTGATGGTGGACAGAGTGAGGAGAAAAACTAAGCCTAAAATAAGATCATCAACACGTCCAGGGCTATGAAAGACAGCTGACAAAGAGGGATGCAAGAGTTTTCAGTGACTTTACTTTTCAGTCTTACCTCCATTACGTTAACAATCAAGGCTACTTCTGACAGCGAGAACAAGTCATTCAGGTGGCGGAATCTTGGTCGGACGGACTGTAAAAAAAACAGCAGCACACAGAGCACTGCCCTGTCAGTGATTCAATTACAGCCAGACTGATCATATTCCGATGCGTCAATACAAAAGTGGGAGGGGAAAAAGAAAGAACATGCCCGGGGTGTAGACTGTAGCTTGCTACATGACTGTATACATAGAGCCATGCGACAAATGGAAAAAAATTCATCAGGACGGTACCACTATTCAATTTTTCAGCATACCACACACATCAGAGGTAAACTGTATGTACAGTACTGTAAACTGCCTAATATTCGCGACGGATTAATGTTCGCTATTTTCGCGAGAAGAGCGTAACGCGAATATTAACCATCGTGAAATCAAGCTTCAACAGTGGGTGTATGCACGTGACCCCCGTGCTTCGCGAACTTTTGCCATCGCAAACTAGCTGGTTCCAAAAAACCACGAAAATTTAGTGACGCGAATATTGGGCGGTTTACAGTAACTTTATTTTGCCCCTAAAAGAGGCTTTCTTCAGAGCCTAACTGTCTGGTGAAGTGAAGAACGTTTCCTCGCCAGTTTGCTGTTTGATTATTCGCACACCTCCTACAACAAATTCTCCACTGGGTGGCAATGGCACCAGATAAAAGACGCTCGGATAATGTCCGATGGTACAGTACACTATTACGGTAATATCAATAATCACTCTAGTAAATGCAGTGGTATCTGGTTTCTGTGACCCTTGTAGTGTAACAAAATAACTGTTACTTGCCGGAGGCAACGTATATCAACTCACCCTGGAATTGCCATAGAAGTTATTCATGTCCTTGTCAGCAACATGGAAACCACCATAGATATCCTTGACCTTCTCCACAGGAAGTAGCTGACGACCTCTAAAGATGTCACAAAAAAGAAATCCACCAAGAACCATAGGCAGAGGAACACACCGATATGGTCTGAGGGGGAGGGGGGGGGGGGGGGACACACACATACAGCCATTGGGGCAAAACTGACAGGAGAAATACAAAGGAAATGCAGTTCATAAAGTCACCACCGCTCACCTGTATACTGCAGATTCCTGGATGTAGCGGAAGCAGTCGATCTTCAGCAGCAGACCCTGTCCAGGAAACAGCACAGCACCAAATTTAGAACGGGGTCGGCAAGTAACAGTAGACCCAACAGAAATAAATGTTTTTAAACAAAAACCGTATAACCTGCAGTCCAGCAAACGTTGATGCCTGCTATCTTTACCCTGGCCAAGAGCTGAACCTTCTCGTTCAGCCAACTGTCATTGTCAATCAAATGGCTGTGCATATCTTGCATCTACTAAAGGAAAAATAGGAAACTTGGGCACGCTTAGCCAGATTCGTCGATGAAAAAGGACATCATAAGCACACAGAAATACACAGAACTATCATGTTGCAGCAAAGCGAAAGGAAAACAAATGTGACTAGCAAGGACAAGGTGCCGGCAGTTACATTTGTAATGTCTAAGTGAAGTCCACGGATGCCAAAATCCCAGTCAGCCTCCAGCTTTCGTATCTCCTCGGGGTACTAGAAGCAGATAGTCACACAGCAAGAACACAGCGAAACTTCAGTACAGTCAGACCTCGCTTCACCGCCCACATCCGCTTTCCACAAAAATGATCCGGATAGGCGAGGGATCCGGATAATCAAACACACATACTGTATGTACGCATGGCATATGCCGTAAATCGGTAGCCAACGATTTTCTTCCGGATGGCGACGGATCCGGATAAAAGAGGACCGGATAAACGAGGTATGACTGTATTACATACCGTATTATCTCCCACCGCTTTAGGAGCTGTATCTGCGCCTTGATCCTTGAAGGGTGGTGGCGTTCCTACGGATGCGGAAAGCCCGGCTTCCAGCCGAGTCTCACGCGAACCGTGAAATTTTTTATATTTTTTTATCTCTAATATAAGCACAGTCTCCAATAATAGCACGTCTCCAATAATAGAACACCTTGGGGCGGCATTCAAAAAATAAAGTGCTCAGTCTCCATTAAAAGTACACTGTGTAAATTCATTATCTGTACCGGCGAAAAAACCCTGAAATGTGTGTGTCTGACATGAATTTGGCATGGCAACATGCCTCTGAAATGAGGTTGAAATAATAATGGAACGTCTCCATTAATAGCACGGGGCGGAGGTACATTGAAAAAATAAAGGACCGTGCTTATATTAGAGATAATACGGGTAAGCGTATACGCTGGATCAAACAACTAGCAAACCATAACACAGGGCCATGAAAAATAGTACGTTACGGGTCCGTCCAACGTTGATGAATAGTATTTCAAAACGAAAAGTTTTCGCGCAGCGGCGGGTGGGTTTGTGAGATTTTCGTTTCAAAATAATTCTTGAATGCACAAAACCCCAGCCAAAGTTATTATGCTGAAGATTGAAATCAACAGTTTGCTTCATGTCGTTATACATGTACAGTTGAACATCGATTATCCGACCATTCGATTATCCGTAACAGTTTTTTTGGGCGCACGTGCCGTAGAGTACGCACTGTGCATGTAGTGAGCCATTCAAAAAATACGAAAATTTTGAAAAGTAAAAAGTAAAAAGGTCGTGCGGCTAGTAATAACCACTGAAAGTGTGTGAGTGACAGTTTTTTCTTATCCAGAACATTTGCCTTATCTGAACACCGCCTGACAGTTGTCTGCCCAGAAGTGGTCGGATAATCGATGTTCAACTGTACCTGCAGAAAAAGGTGGCTGGGGCCGGGGGCTGAAAACACCCAAGAATATTTCATTTTGAAAATAAGATTATCAATAACACCAGACAGCCCAATTATACACATGCATGAATGCCAACGTATGTTATATCCAGGGCAAAGTTTACTGCCACTTCACCCTAGACTAACACATTAATATTTTCTGTGTAGCACCCTACTGTAAGTTTACTAATTTTCGGCTCATTCAAATTTCAGCCGCAACAAATTTTCGGCCTGTACTGCTGCCGCCTGTATACACTGTCACACTGAACTTTGCAAAACAAAATTCCGCCTGCAACACGTTTTCAGCCAAACATGACCAGGCCGAAAATAGCCGAAAATAAATATGCGCCGAATATTTGCTGACTTGCAACATAGAGAATGAGTTGCAGCCTACAACACACAGAGCCATCTTCAAAGTCAACACAAACACACGGAGAGATGGAGAGCCACAGCGCCACTGCACCTACCTTCTTTTCCTTGACGAGGTAGTCAATGCATGCATCATAGATGACCTGTTGGACATTTCTATTGTACCTTGCCAACGTGAAGTCATAGTCAAAGCCATAAACCTTGATCTCAGACAGATTAAGCTCATTGTTGACAAACACATCCACTGGTATCTTCTGTCTGGAGCTCATGACAGCTGCACGGGATAATTGTAAAAGAAGGCAAAACATTCGCACAAAGGCAAGAATAGAGATGATGGGATGTGCACAGAAGCTTGTAGGGAAGTTTGGGGATACTAGTACCGTAAAGTACCGTTGATCCGCCCCCTGTCAATTTTCTACCTGTGAAGCAACTTCGGCGTATACAACGAAAATACGATGTTGAACCGACGCATGCACTGCTGTACACAATACTTGCCAATCCAGGATGAAAATGTGCACAATCCAGCACATCGAGTCTGAACTTCTACGTTGTTGTACATCGTACTGCACTTGACAGCCTTGATCTAATTCCTGCCCCCTGCCAAAAACCCAGCTGGGAAGCGACATGGCGTGGGGGCGGATCAACGGTACTTTACGGTAACCCAACATTTCAGAACCTGTAGTCTTTTGAATGCTGGGCTGAATGGTCTTGGTTCGAGGAGGTTACGATGCACCACTCGTCAGATATCCCCTCTCACGCTACAAAGGCATCCAGTGAACCAAGTCTAAATAATCATCATCAGCATCATCATTATGGAATGGCAATGTGTTCGATAGGGAATATCTGGTGAATGATGCATCGTATCCCGGCAATGCAATTAGCCCCCAGCAGGGCATGCAAGACCATGGCATACTTGACTGTCGGCCAATCAACCAGCACTAACACCTTCAGATCATCTTCAGATCACCTTCAGGCTTCATCCGTAGGCTTCGACTGAAACCACAGAACACTGGTGGCCGTAAGAGACAGGCGACTATATTAAAGAATCCGTGTGCGGCCGCGTCATCGAGTAATCCACGAGAGACAGTGCACCATAGCCTCACCAAGACCATTATGGCTCTGCACCCAAAACACTACAGGTTCTGGAGCTTTCATTTTATGCCGACGTTCCCCTTTAAACTGGACCGGTCGTTTTCTACCTTCTCAAATATGTACAACCCAGAACACAAGAGTGGTATTCAACCCTTCCAGCCACAAATTCCCCACACAGGCATAGTGAACTCTGAATGCGGAACATGTGGGCCAGTGGTCGGTGGTGACGACCAAGTACTGTATAACATGTAATGTTAGGTGTAGCAAATTGTCGGAATCAGGGACCTGCCAGGTTTCAGGTGCAATGTAAAATTAGGTGACCAGCGTTTCTTACGCCTACAGTGAATACTCCAGCGCCATTTAAGTGTAATCTAGAGGTACAGTATTTGGCTGGTTTCTCTCCAGAAATTTAAGTTTCTGTAAATATACAAATTTTCGGCAGCTATTTAATTTCGGCTATACCGTAAAATCCCGCCAGAGCGCCCCGTCTCTCCCATCCGCCCCTCCCTGACTTCTTGTCAGGGACGGGTTTGATTGTATCCTCGTATGACTCTGTCGCAGTCTGTGATGCCGTACTGCACTGCAGACGCGTGCTCGACCCCGTTGGAAATGTACGCAACAGTGCCCACCCTAGTACCCTCCTGACCAGGGATCGCACAAACCCAGCGTTTTGTCGGGTCTTTTCGACTCCTGGCTTTTGACCTTTGGTCGGTGTACGAGATGCACGAACAGTTTTCGTAGGGTGACTACTTTTTCATGTAGCACTGAATGCGGCAAGTAGGACTCGCCCATCCGCCCCTCCCCACCTGAAGCGTCGAGGAGGTAGGGGCGCTCTGGCGGGATTTTACGGTATTCGGCACCGACCCAAAACGCCGATGAAATTTTTCACAGCATCTGTCGCACTATATACATGCCCTCTACCCCACGCCGAAAATAAATCGCCGTCGAAATGTCAAAAATCGTGAAGTGCCGAAATTTTGCAGCGCCGAAATTTTGTATATTTACAGTACACCGAAAATAGGATGTGACCAAGAACTACTACCGTTCTGGCAATATATGTTGCCGCAGTGAGGCCATGAAGCGTTACATTGGCACATGTTTGCCGCACGCAGGGCGTTACATGCAAAGTCGCACAGGAGCCGTTACACAGGTTTCTATATTGCCGCAGTCCTTTTTTTGCTATTGCAGGACTTCCTGCTGCGTCCAGTTTTGAACTTTTCACCACGCGGTACACGTGCTTTCACAGTTTTCAGCCTTTTTTGCAATGAAAAGATCGCCGCACCCCGCCGGACGCGCGTTACGAACTCAACGAAAATTTGTCGCACTAGCCTGGTCGCGCGTTACGCCGCACCCCCCTGCGTTACGCGTTACGCGGCAACATATATTGCCAGTACGGTAGTAAGTTACTTGAGACCACGTGCGCACAGCGACGCTGTTGTTCGTGTTCGCAACCGGAAAAGGCAGGACAACACAGTGTACATGTACAGTCCTGCTCAATGAAATCCAGTGGTGTCACTCAAGTTTGCGTCCTGCACGATTTCGCCGCCCAGTGTTCGCAAGTCTTATAGGGCTGGGTAACGCCCAGTACGCAGTGTGTACTTGAGTGACGTGACTGGATTTCATTGAGCAGCACTGTACTGGCTGAGTCTCATCACAGATTACAGGTGCACTCTAGACAGTGCACTTGTTCAGGGTAGCCGCGACTTTTCAATTCAAACAGGGGGAAAAATGTACTGTATTCAAGGAATGAATGGTTTGCTCAAGTGCATGACTTTCACAACATTTTTCCACACGCAAAAGAGTTCGAAGACCCTAGGAAATGAATACTAGTGCAGTAATAATAACTGCTAAAATGCTAAAACATTGCTAGATAAACATACCGATACGTTTTTTCAAAGCACTGTAGTCCTCTTGGATGTCCTCCATGCTCGATGCCTGGCCAAACTGCCTGCCAGCAGCACATAGCCGCCAGCAGGACGGAAGAGATGCTAGACAACGCCGCGACGGAGAAAATAGAGCATATGCCATCTTCCCTTTCCCTTTGGCTCAGCTGTGCGTTTCCCAATAGCGTGCCACAATACAACAATAAACTACAATTCTCTTCATCAATGACAGTGACTAAGAAACTAATTCTACGACATTCGAAATCCAGGACGAGTTTGCAATTACAACACACAGAGTGACCAATTATAGTGGTCTACACTACAGTGAACTGAATAGCAATATTATCCATACAACTTCCAAGCCACTGGATGATGGTTGGCACTCGTATTATTTCAAATAATTGGTGCACGACAAATCTACGGTAGTGCAGTCCTTTGAAAGCTTCGGCTTCACCAGTGTTCACTGGCTTTGTGTGTTTTGCTGGTTTGATGGATGGAGTTTGGTTGTTGTGCAACTATTTTTGTACAATGCATGCATGCCATGTGCACGTGGCCATGGCACGCACGTGCGCATGTATTTAGTGCGCGTGCATTTATGATTAAAATTAATTATTTTAGGCCGAGTAAAAAAAATTACTAGATGATCGTCCTTTTTTTTGGAAAAATCGGGGAGGGCGGGAGGATTTTATTTTTATTTTTTTACTTTTTACCCTCTCATGCACACAGTGTACACAACAACATCAAGGTTTTTTTTCTCTTTTTTTCTTTTTTTTTCTTTTTTTCTTTTTCTTTCTTCAGCAGATCGATACTGACGTTGTGATATACTAGTAGTATGTGGTCCATATAGTAAAGAAAGTATTAAACAAAGCGTGCACATGTTTCCTGCATCCGCGATCGGTAAAAAACCAACGATTTCGGCAAAAACTCACGATTTAAAAAATAAAATATTTCTTGGGGCGCTGACAAAAACTGGGGCGGACGGGGACGATCATCTAGCTTTTTTTTTTACTTGGCCTTAGCGACGCGACGTAGATCACTACACTACAGACTACAAAACTGAAAATGTAGACGACTTGTTGATTCCGCGTCGAAGCGTCCTCGCTGCCTAGCGCTAGGTCTACTGACTCGACTACGTTCTTCTGTCTTGCTTGCGATGAAACTACCCGTACGAGCCCGCTGACATGACCAAGGCGTACTTTCGACTGAACTAAAATTTAATGTCATGAGTGCGCTAAAACTTTGTGATAGATCTGGTGTCTACGTCTACGTCTGTGGTGATCACGTTTCCTGGATTCGAAACAAACTGGGTTGGGCGCATTCGAGGCGCTAGGCGTAGATCTACGCGTAGACATTCTACTGCATGCATGCATAATGCGTCATGGTCAAGTGCTCACATGATCACACACGTGCGCAGCTCAGCCGCCTTTTTTTATGCATGCATGCAGGCAACCCTGATCTGAATGGCTGAAGGGATCGTAGTAAAATCACAGTTTACACAGCGTGCACGCGTGGTGTATGCAGCTAGCTTGTTCTTTGCATCTACAGTTCAAGTTTTGTTGCTAGTTTTCTTCCTTGAAGACTTCGCTTCCTTCTCTCAACATTATGTTTACCCCTAATTTATGTGAGCTGTTGGTTTCAAATCAGGTGAACAAAGGCATCTTATGTAGAAACACGATTGTCGGCTACAATCACTGTATAGAATGGTGATCGTACCATCAGACTTTTCCGATTTGCAGTTGTAAGAAAATTATTTTAGCCCGAACTGTCCAACTGGAAATATGGCTGATAGTGGATTTTCTGACGGTGAGGTGTGCTGTGATGCCGACACCATACATAAGTCTGGCGAGGGAAAGATCGGTCCGTGCTCCAAATGGATCTCTTCCTCCAACTTGTGGACGGACACCGAGAGTGACCATGAATCAAACGATTTCAGTGACGATGAAATCCTGTTTGATTCGAATCAGGCGAACTCTAAACAAAACGATTTGCAGACCACTGAAACCTCTGGGAATGATGAGGATAAGGATGAGGAAGAGGAGGAAGATGACGACGGTGAGGAAGAGACCAGTGAAGAGGAGAGCAGCGAGGAGGAAGAAAGCAGTGACGAGGAGGAAAGCAGTGATGATGATGATGACGACGACGGCGATGAGTACGATGAGGAGGACTGGGATGTGGCTGGTGAAACTCAAGACGTTTTCCCAGAGTTTTCACTGCCATGCACCCCTCTCTTATCACCCATTATCCCTAACTTATCCATGGGATCGCCAGTAAATCCTCTAATACAGCAGCTGCGGAGTATGGGCACATCAACACCTGCTACAAGCTGTAGTGATTCTACTTCAAGTACGGAGGGATGTACTGGAGGCCCACGTGTACGTGGCAAACTAGAGCGTACAGTATCACTGTCCTTTGGGCCCAAAATCTTGGGTAAGCTCGATTCCGTCTCCTCTGGCAGTGAGACTGAGGAGGTGCCTGAATTACACATCCGCGAGCGTTTAGAGTTGCTAAAGAAGCGCTATGCAGAGAAGAGAGAGAAAGTATTTATTTCAGATAGTAAACTACATAGAAAATGCTGTGCAAAGCGACCACTACAATCAACTGCTGAGGATGCATCCACATCTGCTCAGAAGAAGGTTCGCTTCTTGCCGGACAAGGACCTTGTCACTGTACACAGAATCATAGCCTGGGATCATGCATATCGTGCCGCTAGAATCAGCGACTGGAATCGCGTACGGCGAGATGAGGTACGCTTCAAGCGACACATATGCCAGCTGGAGGCCGTTATTTCCCCGGTACTCTGCCTGTCCCATCGCACTAAATGCTTGGCGATGGTGACCAAGTCTCTAGAAGCATCCTGCCAGAAGCTAGTGTACCGCGAGCAGTAACACTTTTTCCCCCTCCTCATCTTTAGGTAGAGCTGAAACACAGCCAGGTTTTCACCCCCTCTTTTCTTTTTCATTGAATCCATGTTGTGCTTTGCAAATAGAGCATGACAGTTTAATCTTACCAGTAATCAATTTTTTAAGGTTGAGCTGGCAACAACCTGAATATGGTACTAATAATTATTATTATGACAGTTTATAACGGGACTCTCAATACTCGACTTGTATTCTCTGGCATGCAACTTATCAATATTCCTGGTACATGACAGTACTGCATGATACCAAGCTTGATTTTATGTTTGGCGCAGGCTCATAATTTATATTTATGATCTTGTTTGAATAATGTACGTGCTCCATTGGTAAGTAGGCTAGGTTTTACTGTACTTTCGAACGCCTGGATGATTGTTTTGCTACTTTGGTAGCTTTTAATAGCGTCTTGTTTGCTCCATGTCTCTTTTGTTTACCGTTCTTGTGAGCTGCTCTGCCACTCACTTTTGTCTCCGTTTTTTCATCCTGTTTGTAACCGTCTATGTGTAACCACCTCAACCTCCCACGTATAGATGTCTCAGTTGTCTGATGATTGCCTAACGGCATGAAACTCAGAGTTACAACCAACCTGAACGTCCTCCACTGAGTCTGCGATGTCTCGTGTGTGTTTGTCTAAGTGCAGCACGGAATCATTTCCAAATCCACCTGACGAGTCTGGTGATTTTAAGGGTGGAGTTTGTCGGCGGTTCAGTACCGGGTAGCCAATCATTATTGTCACTACTATTGTAGATCATCTTTCGAAGAATCCCTTTGAACCTCTCTCCGCTCTCCAAGGGTGTCATCGATTGGCGAATCTGGATTGAGCGCGAGCAGGCGGTGTGGTCCGAGCAACGCAGCTACGCTGGCCCAATCGAATGAAGCAGGGGTGTGTAGTATGCAAAAGGTATGCATATCGTACAAAGATTCTGTGAAAGCTATCTGAAAAACATCCATTGCCACTCCCGGTGTGGTTGGATTGCACTCCAACACACGCTCACTCGGAGTGCACTTGCTAGGGATTCGGCCAATCGATCCCCAATTCATGTGTCAAGGAAAGTACAAGCAAGAGGGGTTATGTACTCTTGGTACAAGTGTATGCTGGCCCACCTTTGTTTTTGTGTTTGCCCATACAAGCCACTTACAGTACTGTGCCTTACATGAGTCTCTACGGGCTGTGAAAAGAAATTCTTGGGGCTGTGTGGGATGGTCTGACCACAACCCAAAGAGAGGCAAAGAGTATACCGGTACCAAGAGTCCATAGGGGGTTATGGACTCTTGCCGGTACTACAAAACAGGAATTATCGTACTCCTCGACCACAATCGAGAAACTCAGAAACAGATACCGGTACATGTAGTACTACTAGTAGCAGATGCACATACAATGTATCGTTGGTTATGCTTGGAAGTGGCAGGGCCGTAGCACCCGGTCCAGCCATGGCCGGACCTACTAGCTTGTATTTCGAAAAAGTTGACCCACCCAATTCGTGCAAAACAGGGTTTTTTGGCAATTATTTCCGGTCAAGAATCCCGGGAATTTGGCCAGACCACCTGAAATACCGGCCCTGCACGGAAAGGTTATTTTCCAACCGTGCCACATGACTGGGCACGAGGAGCAATAATCTCAACCAGGGAGTAGTAAAAGGGGTTGGTATTTACTACTCCCTGATTCCAATACATGCACAATGTAGCGAATAGAACATTCGACATCTTCCTGGCCTGGACTTCAATTTACAGTTCGGATGTTCCCGACAAATATTCACGCTCATACAATAGAGCATGACTTGTTGACTACCTGTGATTGCGATGACAAGCACCCAGCCTATGTCGCATGCGCCCACTGAGCAATGCAGTTCACACTCTACAAGTGGACACAGTACTGTCAGGCGACGAACAGGCTATCCCGAGCCGCCAGTTTATCGGTGCCAGACAGTACTGTAATGCTATCACTGTGCTGCACAAATGCCTGGCAATAGAGTCTCACACAGTTATAACTTCTCGTCGAAACAAATACCAATAAGTATTTCAACTGCGCTGCAGTGCCCAAGTTAAAGCCTAATCTGCACATCAATCCATGAGGACTCCAGCTCTGCTGTACATGTAGCTCCAGATCAAACAAATGAGATTTACACCGAAATCATGTCCGATAGAATTGAGCAGGAGACATATTCAGGACAGCAGAACGGTCATGTGCGTTGCTGTATGTCTCGAGCAACCGTGTCCAGAGAATCACCGGCGAAATGGAACATGTAAAACGACAAACTTGTACCACTGTGCGGCAAAAAACGAGACGGAGGAAATATGACTGCATAAAGTGAAACATTCGTATTATGATCAACCTGTCTTTTTTCCTGAATTCTATGTTGCGCATGGAAGTGTTGCGATGTAAACAGGAACTAGAAAAAAGGTCGGTCAGGTTTCCAGAGGATACCAACTCCAGCTACAACCATCTGCTCTACAGGAATATAGGATTCAGCACTCGTTCGCTGGCTCAGAAGCGTACGGCGTTCGGTGTGCTGCGTGCGCAGCGTGCACACACCTGGCGACCGAGGCAACAAATAATCATAATTAAAAACCTACTGGAAAATAGTCAACCTCAAAAAGGTAGTCAGATCCAGAGTGGCTTGCCGCCTTAGTGACAGTCAGTCTCATACTACTCAAACCTTTCACGTCTGATATCACCTCCGTCTTCCACTCCTTGACGCGCTCGAATCGCCTGAATTCGACAAGTAAGAGTAAATCACGGCCGTTGCCATACTGATCAGTCTCTGCTGATTCAGAACACAGATGGTGAGTAACAGCACACAAAGAACGCCCAGTAATGAGCCGTGCTTCAGTGATGACTCAGTCTCCATGTTGACAGCGAGTGGGCTGAATTCTAAAGTGAAATGGCGATGCAGCTCTCCTGGTAGAACGGTGAAGCGCACCTCGGCCTGCAGGCCACTGAAAGTAGAACGAGACAGAGAGCTCTCCACTACATACCGATAAACAACGGGCGCACTTGCGGATGGCAGAGCAGCAAAGTGGAAGAAGGGCTGATTGCCAACACTCACGATTTGCACTGGCGATGATGTCAGGTGCGGTTCCGCAAACAGCATCACCTTCAGCGTCGAAAGGTGTTCGCTCCTGTTTGCCTTAATGTAGCCACTCAGTTCCAACTGCGATTGCGGGCGGAAGACGACAATGTCAGCACCCCTGACATCAGCGGATGACACGGACACGGTGCGCGTGGCAGGAATAGCACGCAGGAGGCCACCAGAGCCATTGTCGCCGACGGCAACTTCATACTGGCAATCGGGCAAGAGACCGCGTAGTCGAAACATCCCGTCATCACCGGATACAGCACTCTCCCTCGAACTGCTGCACTTACCAAGGCCCTGGGCATTGACAGATATACTGGACTCAGTCATACCACCCAAAGAACGAGTGATACCAAAGCAGCTGAACGCCACGCGGTGCGCCGAAATATCGACGTTCACGGTACCACCTTCAGACACATCAATCAGCTTAGACGCCGGATCGAAGGAGTACTCCTTCAACATACTGCGCAGGTAATACTGACCAGGGGCGAGGTTTAGAATGCGCAGCTGACCCTTGTCATTGGTAAAGTTATTGCTTCTGAACTTGCCACCACTCAGCGAGACCAGAACACCAGAAACAGGAGACTTGTCACCTTTGGAGAGCACTGCAATGTTTATTTCACCAAGCTTGGACAACATAAAGTCAGTGGTGGAATCAGCAGCAGATTCAATCACATACCCATCCAGGAAAGCTGACACTGAATACTTCCTGTCACTGTCAATTGGACCGTAGCGGTACTGTCCTTTCGTGTCCGTAAGCAGATCAACGTTTTCGGCATCAGATTTAAATTTCAGCAAGATCTTCACACCAGCCACGGCAGGTGTTACTTTTCCGGCGATGTACACACCACGACGTCCACGGAAGGCAGGAACACGGTCAGGGCAGGAGATGCGGGGAACGGTGACAGATTGAGACGGTGGATCAAAGAGCACATCCTCGAGCTGGGGTGTTATGACCAAGACCTCATCTGAGCGAGCCCAGTGAGTGTAGTGGTATATGAACTGAGGCGAGCCATCTTGTGCCTTGGCCGACGTAGACTCCAGCGGCCCCACAATCACAGGCTTTTCTGCTTCCTTGCCAGGGGACTGCTTGACAACAGAGACGTGCATGCCAGCGCTGCGTTCGGCCAAGATGATAGAGCCGGACACACGGTGAGCGGAAGCAGTCAACGAAACCACACCAGGTACTGCGGTGCTGTAAGTGAACGGCTCGCCGGTGAATTTGTGACATGACTCCGTGGTGAGTTGATAAATACCAGCACGTGGCAGACACACTTGACTGGAACCCTCCACAAGACTACTTTGGCCCTGCACTGAGGGCACAGAATCGGACTCGTTACCATTGCCATTTGTGTAGTCTGCATCATCCGTGAGCTGATATTTCAGGGTCAGAGAGTGTGAAGCTAGGCACTTGAGCAAGTGTCCGATTTGCTTGAATACTGTCGGCTGCACATCTTCCGAGCCGACCATGATGTCAAAGCTGGTCTCCTTCCAACACCACTTGTCATACAGGATAGAGAGCTTGTACTGGCCAGGAAGGATGTTCTTGAACGCAACACGAGCGATGAGACTGTCCTCATCAATCTGCTGAGCGTTGAGAACGGTACGTTTGGAGTCTTGACGCGTCAGAGACTGCAGCGCAACAGGCAAGTCAGTACAGGGTGAGGACATGCAAACGATTTCTGCGGTGACGGTTGCGAAAAACTGAGAGAAAACGACGTCCAGACGAGGAGAATCAACAATTTCTACTGGATACGAGACTGGGTGCAAGAGAAATCCAGCTTTCTTATCTGCAGCTGTGGCCACATACGCAAGCTGCCATTTGCCAGCCGGGACCTGGAAGCAAAACTTTCCTTCCTTGTCACAAGTTGCCGTTTGCTCTTTACCTTGTTGATCGGGAGCCGAGAGTCTAATCTGTCGACTGGAAATGGGTGTAGGGCTCTTGGTTGATGTTGCCAGTGACACCTTTCCACAAAGAGAGAACTCTGACGCAGCAATATCGCGAAGCTGTGGAGCAGACGCCGAGACGGTGACGTCTTCGGACTTGAAAAAATACCCTTCTGCCTCAATTGTGAGTTGATACACACCAGCTCTGACGTGCTCCAGGAAGTACTGTCCTTTGGAGTCAGTCACAGCCGGCCTACTTAGGCCTTTAGCGGATACAGTGGCACCCTTGAGGCCAGATCCACCTTGCTTGTTGAGCACCCGGCCAAATACAGTGAAGCCGTGGACACGGAACGCTTCCTTCAGCTCAAGGCTATCATGGCCAACGGTGAATGAAAGTTTCCTTGGCAGAACATCAAACGTGATGTGCTCGCTGCGATAGTACGGGCGAATGTGATACTCGCCAAGAGGTAGACTATCGAAATGGAAGCGACCGTCCTGACCGGATTTGGCCTCACAAAGCAGCTCACCAGGAATACTGTCGCCATCCAGCTTCGGCTTGTCCACTGTAGGGCAGACTACAGGAACACTCGGTGAGCCGAACAGCAAGAGGCTAACACCAGATGTGGGCTTGCCTTCGTTCTCCACGAAGCCATGTACGTCATACCCCGACACTACAAAGTCATCGGATACCGCAGCGTTCTCCGTTTTCAATTCAACCGTTGTGGAAGACTTCTCGAGTTTCCACACTTTGTGAGAAGCAGAAATAACATACTTGCCTGGCAGCAAGCCTGGGAAAAAGTATTGCCCGTTGGGATCAGTCTGAACAGTACTGATGACGTCATTTGAGTTGTCCTTAGTTACACTGACATCAACGCCTCCTGGACCCTTGGTTTCTCCACGACTGACTACACGACCACTCAGTGCAAATCCTGCAAACACGAAGTTGAGATCCTCTCCACGACTGCAGGCGTCTGTTTCACCGTCCACATTCAGTATAACGCTTTCTGGCAAGAATTTCCAGCCATTTGGCGGCTCCACGCGCAGCACAAACTCTCCTTTATCGTAAAGAGGAATTAGAAAATATCCATTGTTCGGCGCACAGTCGGTGCGATACTTTTCAACGCCGTCCTTGGTGTAGAGTACGACTTCTACTTGGCTAAAGTTTACTGATATGTCAGACTGAATGAAACCTCCGCATCCTACAAGGTCTCCAGCTGACACGGCGGACAGCATGGAACACAATGTGAACAGGATAGCGGTGGACAGTACAGCCAACGCCATGCTGCCTCAAGTGAGTGGAACTAAAAGGCTAAAAGAAATTTACAGCATTGTTTCAAAACTACAAAATTGAAAAGAAGGATAGGATCGATATCGCGATGTGCATGAAAATCGAAAGGCAAAGGGCAAAAAAGCGAAAAAGATTGGCGAGAGATTTTTGTTACGATACGTCACGTGCACGCAGCGGGGCATGCCATGCAGATTCTTCACAAAATGTGTTATTTTTTATTGTTTTTTTTATTTATTTTATTTTATTTTTTTAATCGAACGCACGCGCACTCAGTATCACGTGGTAGAGTAAACAGAAAAAGAAAGAAAAAAGAATGTTTGGCACCTATGAATTCAGGGGCCGGGGATGGCCCACGCGCGTACGCCTGGTAAAAAGAGAAAAAGAAAAAAAGAAATCATAACAAAGAAAACTAAAGAAAAAAGAATGTTTGGCACCTATGAATTCAGGGGATGGCCCACGCGCGTACGCCTGGTAAAAAGAAAAAAAAGAAAAAAAGAAATCATAACAAAGAAAACTAAAGAAAAAAGAATGTTTGGCACCTATGAATTCAGGGGATGGCCCGCGCCTGGTAAAAAGAAAAAGAAAAAAAGAAATCATAACAAAGAAAACTGTTACTAATAGCGAAAACAATACAGCCATATAACAGGAGGTGAGGGTTAACCCAGATGACACTCAGCATTCACTAAAGCTGAGGGGCACTCCAGCTGCTGATCCAAAGGTGCTCGCCTGGATCGATGACCTCTTAAGCTTGCAATCGCCGATCTGATGAGGGCAAACCCTAGGCGGCAACGGAGGTGAGCCATCACCATGGAGAACGGTTCCTTCCGCTTCTCGGCCAGCATTGATGCAATGCGCTTGAGGAAAGCAGAGGCAGCCTTGCCTTGACCACCGGAGGCACAAAACACCAAGGGGACGAACGATGCCTTCTCTACTTCCCTAACACGCTCTTCATAGTGTCGCCGTTTCTCCTTCTCGTGCTTAGTGAACGTGCTGTTGAGGGAGGGAGCGGTGTTCGATCGGACAAAAGGGTTAAATACCCGGACATCAAAGAATGTCCTCTCGAAACGGCCGCCCCACACCCCGCTGGCAGCAACATCTAGGCGGGCGCCATCCTCGCTGATTGCAGTACGATGCCTCATCCGTTCCCCGGCATGCCGGCATGCACGTGTTACGTGTACGTGTACGTGTACTACCGGTACTACAAATACCGGTTTTCCGCGACCGGACGGCGTCCACCGAGGATCAGGCGCGTCTACGTCTGGATGTGGCGGCGAGTGGCGTGTGGGGAGGACGGTTTGAACGCGTTTATCTTGATGTACGGGTGTTTAACCCTTTCGCTCCTTCAAACCGTTCCTCTTCTCTCGCTGCTCGCTACCAGAGCCATGAGCGAGAGAACTTGCGGCGTCGCAGGTATGGTCAGAGGGTGCAAGAAGTAGTTGAGCGAGCCTCCTTCGTACCTGTCGTATTCTCAGCCACAGGTGGAGCCGGTCGAGCTGCTTCCGCTCTTCTCAAGCGAATTGCTGCTCTGTCTGCAGAGAAATCCGGAGAGCCATACGCAATGGTGATGGCGTTGTCGTCTTGGTTTTGGTCTCCTGCGTGCCAGTGTTGCCTGCCTTCGCGGTGCCCGGCGGATGCGCCGCGTCAATGATCAGTCTGCTGTCCTCGCAAACGCGGAGGCTGCATTGATTTAACTTTCTTTGCAACTCCTGCAGCCTAGGTACTGAGTATCATTGTTATCTTGTGTATGTGTGTATGCGTGAGTCAACAGCTTTGATAAAGTTCTTGTGTTTACCCCTCTTGTTTTCTCATCATTGTGCTGCTTTTAATTTGTAATCTTGCCCGTAAAAGAGGCTGTTGCGGACTTAAAAAAAACTACAAATACCGGTACCGCGGTATGCTTGGTGGCAGGGAGTAGTACAATACCACAGCGGCGTCGGAAGGTATTTTAGTGTGGTACGGTCAGCCATCTGAAGTACAATTGACTCGTGGGGGAGTGGTGGCTGAGCCGAAAATTTTGGAATTTTAGATCCCAGATCAGTGTATTTTGTTGACTCACGGGTATCTGGGGCAAAAAGTGGTACGGTCAATACCGTAGTGACCGTACCGTGTGCGACGCCCCTGTACCGTATTGTACTACTCCCTGCTTGGTGGTGCGTAGTGCATCCTGTGATCCCCCCCCCGGCCCCCCTCCCCGGAGTTCCCCCGGCTCCGGGCTGGGGCCGGCCCCCAGTTCTGTAGTGAGCTGATCTGCTAAATAATAGGGCTTGAAAGTGCTACGTCACAGCATAGCAACAATTTCAAAAATTCAAAAACTGGATCCACTTGGATCCAGTTTTTGTATGGATCCAAGCACATTTCAAGCGGTCTTACCCACAGCATGGTGATTTAGCCAGTGAAACTGACTGATTTGGCTACTGGGGGCGGGGTTACAACTGGTGGCGAAATAAAAGTCACACCTGCATGCGACATGAGTGGGTTGCTATGCACCCACATACTTAGGCAATAGCAAAGTCACACCTTAGTGGATCCAAAAATAGAAATCTGATGTCAACTTACTACTCCCTGGCCGTTTTGACGTCATCACTTTCAAGCCCTATTATGGGACTCTCTGTGTGAACTTTGCACTCCGACCTGTACTTGTAGACTCCTTCACTTGGCTTCAAGGTTGCAGTTTCGAACTTTCGTTCCCCTTGCATTTTGTTATCTCCATATTGCCATTGTTGCTGTTTGGCTCTTGATTTCGAGTTCGGGTGTGAACTTACTTTGTTGCTGTACCTGGTTGGCAAGGGTGTTGCGGAGCTGGACAGTAATTTGTTGCTGAGATGTAAACAACTAAGCTGCCGGCAGCCTGCTACACGTGAACTCCATTCTCTTTTCCTGTCCAGCTGCTTAGCACAGGACCAACAGTGCTTCTTCTCCGATACTCTAGCCGTAGAGCCTGATAGCTGTTCAGCTTCACTGAAGCGCAGGCAACCAGTTGATCACTTCTTTACACAGTAGAGCAGATCAGATTCCTCCGGGTCGTTCGCGAATGAGCAAGCGAAAGCACGCTGAAAATGAAGAGGAAGACCTGTTGCAGGAGGAGCTCTTTCTAGATGCTTCGAAATGGGACCCAAAGCTCGTCCTGGGGAAAATTGAAGGCTTGGCAGTGGAACTGACCGAGGCCGTTGCAAAAGGCCAGGATTTCCCTTTGTCTCTGGTAAGGCGCGGTCACTGAGTCCTTCAGCTTTGTATCTACAGCGCAGAGCTATGGGGAAATGTTCGCCTCATTAGCGATTGTGCATTCTACTTCTTGACTGTTGATTGTTCAGTGCCGAAGAGACAGCAAGAATGTGCTCTGGGATGAAGAGGGAAAGCTTCGTTTGGGGACCCAGAAAGTGACCAAGACCATGTTCGGTCGCCAAGGAGTTGGTCTCAAGCGCTATGTCATGTGTAAGTGAAACGCTTGGTGTAGGTCTACATCAGGGATTAGTAGCATACAGGGTGATGACATGTCGATTGTAACACTACATGATGCGGGTTTTGCCCCTGGGGCAGGCAGGACCGATTTATGCAAGCCTCTCACACGGTGTTGCTTGTTCTTGTTTGGCCGCGCTCGGGGTCAGCAGGTCAAAGTCGCAATCACGATCACGAACCACGAAGACCACGTGGAACTTCTTAATCCGGGGTCGAAACGCACATCATTTCAGATACTATGCTCTCGTGTTGTCTCCCTGTATACACTATGATTCCCTGGTGTGCACCAAGGAGTCATAGCCGATTTAGAGAGACTTCATGGGCCAGTGGAACGTGAAGCTATTGGAGTTGTGTGTACATGCACATGTATGCGCAGGTGCGTAGCCCGCATGGGGCACGGGGGGGGGGGGGGGGGGGGGGGCACGTGTACCCCCTAAAACGTTTGACCTGTGTGTTCAGCATGCACACAATGCCCATGGATGACATGTACCAGCAATCCTACACATAATAATATATATGTGGCTGTGCACCCCTAAAAGGGGGACCAGCTACGCCCCTGTATGTGTGCTGCATGTGTGTGTTTGTGTGTGTGTGTGTGTGTGTGTGTGTGTGTGTGTGTGTGTGTGTGTGTGTGTGTGTGTGTGTGTGTGTATTCGTGTGTGCGTGTGTGTTGACTGGCTGGTTGTTGATCTGCAACTTGTGTACCCTGTGCAGTGTGGAAGATCATGGCATTTGTGCAGAAGCTACTCCTAGACAAGCAGCAATGCACACAGAGAGAAGCGTACTACTGTCTTGTCAACCATTTTGCACACCAGGGAGAGTTCAACGATGCTCTTATGGGTAAGTAAGTTGAGTTTTAGTCTCATCTGCACCGCAAGTATTCTGGGGTAGCAGCAGCCCCTGTTTGGTCTCCCGGTAAGCTACGGCGGCAATTCAATGGTGTGGCTCTTGCATTGCTCAGTAGGTATTTGCTGGGAATTGAATACTTTGCTTAACGTGAAGATAATCTATCACACCACGTTTTTTAGATGGTTTCTGAGAAGTCGATCATGGTGCAGTTGCGAGTGTGTTCTTTGGTACAACTGTAATCGGTCTTGCTGCACAGAGGTGGCATCCTTGATCGGTTGCTCTCGCATCTCTTTGGGCATCTGTGCGGCGAGTGCAGGATCAATTGCGGGTAGCGTGCAATGGCTGGTGAGTTTTGTGACTTTCATCATACAGTTGCCACTATGTGCGAGTACAGAACATGTACATGTATATTGAGTGTACGAGTATAGTTGTGAAGTGCCTACCCAGTTACCGTAGATACTCTAGCCTGCACTTGACTCGTTCGCTATGATTCCCCTCCGTGTTTCTTACCTTGCTCCCCCTTATGTTCAGGCTGCCTGTTTTGGACCCATCAGTTGCCTGACGATCGTAGTAATACGTGGAACTCAGAGTTGCGACACAGCTTCCAATCTCTCTCTCTCTCTCTCTTGTGGATACTCCAGCTCATAATTACGCTGCATTGAGGCTGGCGAGGGGATTGCAGGAAGCAAACTGATACATTTCAGCGTGCATGGGAAGTGTGCATATGCATTCTTTATGCGGTCGTCCATGGAACTTATAACTGTTAGATACTGCTGCACGCACTATTGACTAGAGCTCATCATAATTATGTTTTTGCCATCCATGGACATGATTGTGCTCATATTTCGTTCTTGGCATTGGTCTATGTGCAGGAGGGGCAGAATCAACCAGTGGACTGCACACAAGTTGGATCGACAGGAAAGCGGGTGAGCCAGAAAAAATTAGCCAACACAGACTTTAGTGACACAACTACCAGAAAATTAAAAATTGAATTCCATGCCCTTTTTCCATTGGCAGTTTTTTTCCTATGTGTCTCTATAAGTGCACAGACTGGCAGCATTGTGATACGTTGGTCACCTTTCTCCCTGTATTTGTGTTTGTAGATCCCGGGAGACATTGACAATGTGAGGTTTAGCAGTCTGGGAGCAAGGTAACCTCGCAGTTAGCACTAGCCGCTATGTCGCATGCGCTCGTCCAGTGTAACTTCTAGAAAATAACGTACATGCGTAATCAGCCCATATATTAATATGAAGTCTAGAGAGGAGTGCCGGTGTACAATTAGCTGCTTCCCTCCTGATATAACCAGCTGTTACCACCTTACCCTGATTTAGCATGTACTCTTTCTGTTGATGTCTTCACAGGTACATCATTGTTGTGGAAAAAGGTAACCGTTGCGTGCGGTGCTCACTTTTTTTAAGCATTTCAACAGGCAAATACTGAAAGGGCATTTTTGACAGAAACATAACAGTTCAAGTAGTGTCAGCCAAAAAAATGGAAAATCTGATAAAACTCTAAATGAGCAAATCAAGTTTAGTAGGGATGGAGAAAGGTTCAAGGCCCTACCAATGCAGATTCTTAGACTTTTACCACCATCTTCCCCAGTCTCTTTTTTTCCACTTAGATGGATCTTTTTGTAGTTCTCATTGTTTCATTCCCTCTCCGCACTTCTGCAAAATACATGCATGTGTGATTTGTCTGTAGCTGCGGCGTGCCTGAGCACATTGCAGTACTAGAGCTGAGACCACGTGGTCAGTTGCATGAGCTTTGCTAAACTACATGCAGCTAAGTATTCTGTACATGTACTATAAGTAACTTACGAACTTCACAAGTAGTGAACAGAGAATGTTATTGCATAGTGTATACAGGGGCGTAGTTCGCATATTTGTGGTGTGGTGATTTTAAAACACTGGCAACCTCATTAGCCGCCGTTTTACCTATTTGACTTTGTAGTACGTATGACGGCCATTCGCTGGTGTGGTGACCAGGCCAGGCTGACTACACACGAGCTACGCACCTGGCATATGCAAGAGTATTGCCTGCTTGTGTGTCACCACTCCTCCCCTCTGCAGATGCAGTGTTCATGTACTTGTGTGAGCATCGCTTGTGGGAGACAATACCGTGCATCCTTGTGACAGGTACGAGTATCTTGTGTTGTAACTTGTGTATTGCTAGCTGTGCTCTGAATGGTGCAAATACGCAACTGTGCACCGACAATGCCACGTCAGAAGTCATTCTGAGGATGCAGCAGCCGCGCTGACACTAATTTTACTGTCTGTGTCTACCTTTGCCGCTGTGACACAGGATGCGGCTATCCACCTCTCAGTGTTCGTGCCGTGGTCCACAAGCTAAGTGATACGCTACATGTTCCTGTTTTGGGACTGGTTGACTACAATGTGAGTACTGCACACTGCCAAGTCGAAGGCAATCATGAAGAAATATCAAGGAACACGTTTCGCGGGCTGCAAATTTTGTACTTGAAATCACACAAACCTCTGGGTCCTTCCCATCATGCATTGCAGTTGACAATTATTAGGTTGATTTACCCTGCTTTTTTGTCTGCACAGCCCCATGGTGTCCGCATTTTGCTCACGTACAAGTTTGGGTCTGCCCGAATGGGTGCAGAAAGTCACAAGTACGGTAAGGATTATAATTATTGCCTGATCCGAAAGACGTCGTGTCTTGACATGTGAGGAAATCTTGGGTATGCTCGTAATCTGACACTCAACACATGCATGCCCTCATGATGACATGATTGGTGGAAGACGGAGCTAAACTAGATTTCGAGTTCCTTCAGACTTGAATCAGGTTACTAGTTACCTCAAAACCAGCTCAATTTGTTCACTTGGATTTGTTCTACTTTCCTACAGCCACCCCGAATCTTCAATGGCTGGGATTACATCACGGTGACATATTTGGCATGAATCCAGAGTCGGAGCCGACGAACCTGCCTGAAGCCCACAACCAGAGCAGGCGATACTACGAAGAGTCGGTCGTTCCTGAATCTTCCCTGCAGCCCTGGGGCAGCAGCGATGACATTGTCTTCCGTAGCCTGATCTCCTTACCGTACTTCAAGGTAAGACGGTGTTATCAGTGATGCTAGCAGTACATCCATGTCCTTCAAGTACGTGTGAGTAATTCATGCGTATGAGTACGCCAAGATCCAGAATGCACTGTTCCCCACCCTGCACAGAAATACCCATGTGATTGTGTAGGGCGCTGGTGGTACCAGCCACACACGAGTCACTACGCAATGGGCTGGCTCATCACAGAACTGCCTGTTAAAAGTCCGACCAGAATGTTAACAAAGTACACAGTCATGTCGCTTGTTTCATTTTTGTTTCCACCGATCATGGCAGGTAAACGCTTCATACCGGAGAGAGCTTCTGAACAGTGCCCGCGAGCGGATGAAGGCCGAAATAGAAGCGCTGAACGCTAATGAATGGGATGCTGTTGCTAACATGGTCGTGAGAAAAATCCTCCGCCACCAATACTTCTGAAAGTGGCACTGCAAGACACACTGTTGAGGTAATCAAGGCTGTAGCGCAAAGAAGTCCTTACAGAAGAGTTGAACCGTTTTTCGCACTATTCATTCCCCTGGATCATATGGTGTCATAGTTATTCTCTTATGTCCAGCAGCCACCCATTATAATCTTGTTGAACCCACACCATCATCCAAGGCGAGTAAATCTGCTTCGAATATTATCAATCTCACCACCGTGATCTGCTTTGGACTGAAGTACTTGTTCGCTTCGTACTCTTGATTTGAGCAACACCAGTGTTCTGATTCCATTCTGAAGAATCTGTCAATTGCAATCTCCATTCTGATGCAGTATACTATTTCGTCCATTTATTTGACCGGGCTATCTGCCCACACGCCTGCGGGTGCCCATGTGCACGGTCCACAGGCTCGCATAATTACACTGTCTTGGAAGCACCTAATACAAGTGCATTATCCAGGCAGAGACTCATGGAAAACAACTACTCAAAGCCATGCCTACTCCCAGGCTGTTGTGACTGCATACAACTACAGATGTAGAGGTCCACTATACAAGCAGTACATGCAAACGAGAGAGCACAGCTCGGGACCCTTGCTACGCTTGTTCTCTACATCGATGTCATCATCACGATCATTTTGCAGAGCCAACTGATCTGTTGCTTAGTTACATGTCATGGGTGACCGCCCGCGCCTTGCTCTGTCACGTGATGATGGACGTACCACACGCACACACAGAGATACGAAATACAGCGACGAGGACCCAGCACGGCTAGACGCTATACTATGTAACGTCTTTTCACTCTTTTGCATAACGTCAGGGATAAAACACATGTCTACCTCACAGCACTGTGCCTCGTTGCATTGGTGAAAGATTTCGCCGATACGAAAAAAACCAAACAGGACAGGGACGATTTTTTGCAATTGCAACCTAAGTCAAGACAAGGAAGGGGGCTTCTCCCGCCCAGATCTAATGGAATACTAGCACACTACTACTACCCCCCCCCCCCCCTCCCACAATTATGGTACCCGTTGTTACCCAACACAAGTCACCTGTACAGGGCGTCGAAACCGGTGCGGCCAAAGCCGCAGCAATAATTTTAAAATGTGATTTAGGAAGCAATGACTTATGGGCTATTCGGGTCCAATTCTCCAAAAGGTTTCCCGGGGGAGGGACGTCAGACCCCCCCCCCCCCCCTTTTCATCGCTGCACCAATGTAGAATACCTTCCGACGCTCCTGCTGTAACATTGATCACATTGATCATAATAAGCACGAGATACAGCAAGGTGAGCATATTCTGGTTGGAAATAGCGCTTGCCTGCAGAAACCTGCGCGACAAGGCATTGCAGAAAAGAAGACCTAAAGACCAAGTGTTGCCTATCAAAGGTTGGAGTGACACAAATGAGAAAACATGATGCTCGCAGCGTAAAGACATAAGACATAATTATACATAAAGACAATAGTCTCAACTTGGAATGAGCGGGTTACACGAAGCAGATTTGTAGCAGCATAATCAGGAATTGTGGACATATAGGCTGTAAAAAAACAGCAACAGGACAATTGAAGGGCTAGTTGCATACGTACTCAAATTTGATATCCACATTAAAACGGAAAGGAAGAAAAAATGTCCGGTTAGGAATTGCCATTCATTAATAGCCTGCTCATTTCGGGCTGAGGGTGGTGCTGCTGGTGTGGCTTGCGAATGATACAAGAAGCTTATTCGAACAGTAGGGGGCCAGTCGTCTACCAGCAACATTAATACACTGAACATCCAGCACTAGTTTGCAGCGGTCGTAGTTTGGCAAGCAGTTGCCACGCAATCACAGCTAGCTTTCTATTCCAACATACACTATTGCTCACCCCGTTATTGCTGGTGCTGATAACGTTGATGATACGTTGTTGGACTCCAACATCACGCATCCGTTTCGCCGGCTGTTCGCAACCGCACAAATTCCTCGAAAACAATGTCATCATCCATGAACTCATTCACATTCGCTGTTCGGCCAGCCGCTGCCGGTGCCATTGCTGGGCCGCCTTGGGCCGCAGGCATAAAGAACGGATTGGTGCTGGCAAACTGCGGTGCTGGCGCGGGGCTAGGGTCGTCACTGGACAAGCACAGAGCCAACACATCACACAGCAAGTGTTGATAATCTACCTTTTATCAAGAGAAGTTTAGAGTCATGCTGGGCTCTCGCCAAAGCCACATACTGTAAGTCAACAAATATTTGGTGCATATTTATTTTCAGCTATTTTCGGCCTGATCATGTTGGACCGAAAAAATTTGTTGCGGCTGAAATTTTGTTTCCAAGGTTCAGTGTGACAGTGTATACATGAGGCAGCAGTACAGACCGAAGATTTGATGCGGCCGAAATGGGGTTTTAGCCCTGGGAGGCCGAAATTTGAATGGGCCGAACATTTGTAGACTCACAGTAGCGGGGCGGTGCGCCCTCCATCACGTTTTGACCGCCCCCTTTCAAAATGAATGTGAGCTCTTCAGAGTGTTAGCGCCACTACTTTATACGCATGATGATGAGTACATAAGGCGAGACCAAAAAAAAATAGAGATTCCCGGGCCCTCCCGCACCAAAATCGAGCCAAAGCCAATAATTTTTAACAGTTCATACATGTACAGTACTGATCGTGTGAGTAGATCTGTGACGTGGAGTCACACAGACCCGAGCTTGTAAGACTCCCAGATGTACAGACCAGGGCCATCGTTGGCCGAAATATGAGCCCCGGCCAGCGAAAACCAGCACTTGTGTACTTGATATCAATCATCAAAATGTGACGTCAAAGTTTGGGACGCGCAGTGAGCTGGCTTTTGAAGATTCTTTTTCGATCGAGTGGGTGTCTTCCTTGTCAAAGGAGTTTCAAGTGTCTTCAAGTGAGTCTAGTCAATTGATTTCAGCGCTAGGTGAGAGCTCGTCAAACGGAGGTTGAGTTTAGACACAGCGATGGCGACAGGTGTCGCGACAAGGACTTAGGTCCAGAGTTGTCAGCGTGAGACTCCCTGTACGAAGCGGCGCTGAAAGTTAGTTCGCGATCGGAATTATTTCTTTGGTGACGATCTCGCTGAGTTTGTCCAGCAGTGGCGAGTCTCATATTCATAGCAACGAAGAGCCCTCATAAAATCGACACTGGATACTAGTGGCGACGATAGTCAGTGCTGGAGTAATAGCGACTGCGAGGAGAGGCTGAATGTCGACCCGCTGAGCGATCCGTATTTCTACATCGACAACAATGATGTTGCAGACACTGATGGAGGGCTTCTCACGTCGCAAAACAGAGCGTAGTATTATCAGTACTCTACCTTTCCAGACGACGCCAAGCTGGCTGCTGCCTGTGCTGAGAAAGGAGATTCCTAAAAAGTCAATCCGGCTGAACGCTTTGGGGTAACATCTTCAGGTGCTACAAAACGCGAGTATTCACTCATATCATTGAAATACAATTTTGCTGAAATCATGATCAGAGTGAAAGTGTGCAAGGGAGTGGATGTCAGTGGTATTGGTCAGTACATCTATCAGTATGGCAAGCTTGGGACAACGCTCAAACTGCCAGCACAGAGGACCCTGAACACAATTTGGAAGGCCAGCCACCAATCATCGTTTTGCACTCTGGTGTTGTAAAGAAGGTGGTCTATACGGAATATCGTCACACTTCTAAACTACTCATGCCTGCAGCACCAAGAGGGCAAGCCTGACTTGCATTCTATTTACTTACATGTACCTGTTCCACATCACAATCAGAAACTGTAGGATCAACTTGCATGGAGTCACTGGGCATGGATGCTGTGCCAACTGTCCCGAATCTTGACCTGTGTGACTTCAAACTCTATTTTCCATGCTTTCGCTTATCAGATTGTCACCAAACTTGATAACTTGAATGATTAATAGTGAAGAATCAATTTCGAGCGAAAAAATAATTTTTGAAAAAATTACACATGTTCAGGTTTCTGCTGGCTGGGGCTCATATAGAAAAATTGAACAGGTAAACAGCGTATCTGTTGTCTGTAAAAAAATTGAATAAAAATTACCAAAAAATGCTGTAAAAAAAGTTCAACATGGCATGCACACATATAGCCCATGTACACACCGGGAAAAAAAAAAATTCGCCCGCCCGCACCAATTTCACATGGGTCCTGCCCGGGAATCTCGATTATATTTTGGTCTTGCCTAAGTATCATGCAGCAGCACAGCATTGTATGAGTCATTGCTTTCTATGATCATCAATTGCCCCAGAAAACCATACTCATTGCGGGTTCCAGTTGCCGGTGAATAAATACATGGAATGGAATTTGGTCGGTTGTTTGCTGGTGTAAAAGTAGCTGCCAATGATAGCGGTAAAAATCCCCCCAAAAATGGGTCCGATGAGATATTTTCCATGGTGCTCATTTTCCGTGTTAGTTGTACAATTGTCCTTGCTTTGCTTTTTCTCATTTTTACCCAAATGAATACTTGTATTGTTGTGACCGCAAGTAGCTCTGTCCCTAGCAGGGCCGGAGGCAGCTTCCGCGGAGCGGTGCGGCCGAAGGGCCATCTTTAAGGGGTCGTCCCCCAGAATGTTTTTGGAATTTAGACGGCAAATCCTGCATTCTGGGCAACTCCCTGTACAAAATCATACATCGAAACTTTTTCTCCCCGGTTTCGGACATTCCACGTGGACCGACTTTTTGGGAAGTTGGTACGGCCATGGCCATACCGGCCGTACCAGAGGCGCCGGCCCTGCCTAGTAGCGCTGTCCCTAGCAGCGCTGTCCTTAGGGCCGGGTTCCACTGCGGCTCCGCTGTTGGTCTTTCGCGGCTTGAAACGTCATCATTACCATAGTGACCGCGGCTCGAGCTGGAGCAGCGAGGTCGCGGCTCACTGCGAGCTTTCGCTACGATTCTTGACCAAAAACCTTGAGCCGCGGTCGCGGCTCGACCTGTTTCCCATACTTTGAATAGTTTTGTACGCCAGAATTTTAAAATTCAAAATTTAATTCGTTGCGCAAGCCAGAACACGAGGATTCTTTTGATTTCGCGCCGCGCGCGCGCGTGCGCGCAGGCATGTGAAACACAATCAAAAAGTGTGGACCACGACCGCGGTGCCGCGAATGGCGAGTGTCAGTGGAACCGCGCTGCTTCGCTGCATGCAGCCAAGTGCCGCAGAGCCGCAGTGGAACTCGGCCCTTAGGGCCGGGTTCCACTGCGGCTCCGCTGCTCCGCTGCTCTTCTTTCGCGGCTTGAAACGTCATCATTACCATAGTGACCGCGGCTCGAGCTGGAGCAGCGAGTCCGCGGCTCACCGCGAGCTTTTGCTACGATTCTTGACCAAAAACTGCGAGCCGCGGTCGCGGCTCGACCTGTTTCCCGTACTTTGCATTCTTTTGTACGCCAGAATTTTAAAATTCAAATTTTAATTCGTTGCGCAGGCCAGGACACGAGGATTTGTTTGATTTCGCGCGCGCGCGCGCAGGCAGGTGAAACGTCATCAAAAAGTGTGGACCACGACCGCGGTACCGCGAATGGCGAGTGACAGTGGAACCGCGCTGCTCCGCTGCATGCAGCCAAGTGCCGCGGAGCAGCGGAGCCGCAGTGGAACCCGGCCCTTAGCAGCGCTGTCTGTCCTTAGCATCTTCAGTGAATCCTCGGTAGTATAGAACAGGTTTCACCAATCAAACGCCTTTAAAAAAAGGAAAAAAAGGAATGTGCTCCCCGGCCGGGAATCGAACCCGGGTCTTCCGCGTGACAGGCGGAGATACTTACCACTATACTACCGAGGATTCACTGAAGATGTGAATTAAAACAAACGAATTGCATATGCGCCACAGTGACCTATTCCCTACAAATAAGTCTGGCCAAGTGGAGATGCTTCAGCAAATACAGTCATGAGATTGGCACTGTCTGCATTTTTCAAGTCGTTGGGATTTTGTTACCATGGACTTCAGTATAATGTACCAGTCCAAGGCTAAGGGAAATCTGTACCGTTAGTGACATGTACTTGTTGAAGTACTTGGAAGTATATCCAAACCCAGGCTGGGATAGTCACAATCCCAATGCAGGGTTCTCGAAAGTAGTACCTTATATCCCAGACCCATAGTATCTTTCTTATATCCAGGGTGGCATTATACTGAAGTTTCACAGTACACGTGATAATAGAGAGGTTTTGACCCGCGTGATTTGTGCTCTTACGTGAACGTCATTTTTTGCGTTGACGTGAGCTCAGAAAGAGCTTTCGCCTCACGTTGCTTGTGAAGCACGTCGTTTCGCTGACGACAGGAGCGAAAACTGGGAGCGAAAACTTCAAAAAGTGAAAAAGTATTTTCTGGTGAGGCCAAAGTCACACAAATATCATTTATAGCTAGTTAAGGCAAAATCGACAAAATCGAGTCAATAATCCCAACCTGATAGCAAGGCTAAATTTGCAAAACTCGCGTTCACGTCAAACGTGAGTTGACCTCAGCTCACGTCATTAACAAGAGTTTCGACGCCAAAATTTGCCACACCGACGTGAAATTTCACGGTGTAGTGCAGAACAACGTGAAACGAAACCTCTCTAATGACTGGTCAGATAGAATAGAAAAGTGCCCGGTGGTGACGGGTTCAACGGTAACACTTACCCAAGGCTGATGAGATTTCCAACAGCTGCAGGAACAACCCATGCATATGCATAAAGACGGTATGTAGACACGCACGCACGCACATACACACGCACGCACGCACACACACACACACACGCACTGGTATTACCCGACCAGAAGCTACAAACTTAAAAACAACCCTCATGAAATACTAGCAGCACAATACAACTCGAGCCAAACACACATACAGTACACGCATATTTTATAATAAACTCCCTCAGTGAAATGTTGAAAGCAGAGAGTCCACTTCAGTAGTAGCCGGTACTATCTTCAACATCATGGTTTCAGACAAAGAGAGTGCATAAGTCAACCTGTACACATCTCCATGCAATGTCAGAAGCGAGGCACTTACGGGGGTCGGGACGCTGGGCAGCTGATGCTGTGTTTCCAGCAGCTGCAGCAGCACCGCCACCTAAACACAACAAAATTCAATTGCAATTGAAAGTAAGATTAATTTTTAACAACCCTGGCTTAGTCAGAACTGCTTGCTTCATCAGCGTGCTGAAAACAGTATTAATATGATGGGGCAGAAGGTGAACGTCTTTCACTAGTCCGTGTATTTTTAATTCGTATGGTGTCATGGCAAAGCCACTGCCACTAGCTTTTGGTGTCAGCGCTTTGATGGTGATTCCGATGCATGCACGAGCCAAGGTGCTCTTCTGTGGTATCAGTTCTGCTGCTTGCATGTGAGTAGAGGCGATGCATTGTATTGTTTCTGGGCATACAAGCCAACTCAAATCACTGGCTGGTCTTTCATGCTATTCATGACCTTTGTACATAGAGGGTGATGTGGCGTATAGACTGCGCATGTCGCCACATGTAAACTAGATTGGCGAGCTGGCGCATCCTGCGATGGACTCTGCTTGGTCTGTATACTGTACTTCGCTGGCGCTGGCTGTGCTGAGTTGCTCTGCTAGTGTCTTTCCGTTGCCAAGCTACAAGTAAGATTTTGAAGACAAGTTCACTATCCTCGATGCTTGTGTAGTGTAGTGTTGAGAAGAAACATCACTTAGTGTTCACCAGCCTATTTACGGAATATATTTCCAAACAAAGCGTCCCAGATTGCTTTCTAATGACATTTTTATGCTAACAAGTATTTCTTCCCATGGATTCACAATCATTTACAACTAATCCAACTGCTCTGACTCTACTGCAAAAATTTTACATTTTCACAAACATTTTCTACACTTGGTTCACAATGCAATGTCATCAAGAAGCAACAGGACACTTACTAGCCGGAGCTGCGGTTGCGGTTGCAGCAGCAACGGCAGCAGCAGCAGCAGCAGGGTTTGCACCTCGTGTCGGCTCCGCCGTGTAGTGATTATCTGCCGACGATTCCTCAGTGGTTGGTGCTGGTGCTGGGGCGGCGGCGGCGGCTGGTTCGTGAACAACGCGCTGAATGAGAACGTCGTCCGACGGACGACAATGCGTCAGGCCGAACGCGAGCTTTAGCGAAATATCACTGCAGGAGGAGAAGAGAACTAGACGTTGGAATGGAATTTTTTAACTTGCCATTCTAGTGCCCTCTCTTGAGTAGTGCCCCATCTGTGACGGGCTTTGAAAAAATAGTGCACCAGGGGCACTAATCACGCGAGTACGGCACTTGTAGGATGTGAAATCATTGGAGCATAGTATTATGCGGTAGACATACCTGCCAAATGCAACATGAAGCGTGACCTTCATCATATACTTGACAACGATTCCCAAGTCTTCCCGCTGCAAGTCGGTGATGTTGTCCTTAATACTGAGAACAGGAAGGAAACAACAAGCATACCATCATTTAGACTCAGCTAACGAAAGCTTGGAGCATGATACATTGGAGGAGAAATACCAACAGCCAGCATTACTTTCTCTCTCCGGGAAAACACAATGAAATTACAACAGGCAGTTAGTTAGGCAGTTAGTTTTCAGGCAGTTCACTTCCCTGACTTATACTATAATTAATACTAACAATGAATCTTACATTGTTGACGAGGCTAAATTGGTGTCTTCGTGCTTGAGCTGACCATCCACAGCCAAATTTCCTTTGTGCTGCAAGCAAAACAGTTCAGGGACACACCAAAAACGGATGAGAGATAGCGTGCACACCTAAAGAGCTCGTCCGGGTATGTACAGTAAAACCTGTAGCTAAAGGCCACCGTGACTAGTGACCAGCCTGGTACTAGACCACTTCGCCAGGCACGGACGGTCTCACATTATGGTTGCGCGGTGCAAACCTCTAACTAAGGATCACCTGCCACTAAAGACCGCTTTCTCTCGCCCCAGGGGGTGGTCGTTAGTCACACGTTTTACTATAGATGCACTGTTGTACTGTGCAATACGCTCTGCCTGCGTGGCATTGAACACTCTCAGCACACTGGGTGCATCCTCCAGTGGTAGATGCATATCAGTTATTACCAAGTAAGTTTCACGAACTACCGGTAAAGGTGGTCAGCCGATCGTTGGACACAGGTATTTCATTATGTGCATTGTTTGGTGAAGTACACAGCAGTATGCCTTCCTCACTACCTTTTCCACACCAAGTAACCCTCAAGGCAACGAAAGACCTAGTACCAACGTCTGAAGACGGCACTAAAATTAATGTGCATAGACTTATTGTGAGCTCCACGATGGCACTGTAACGTAATGGTCGTTTTCAAAACCTAATGGGTGTACTTTAGAGCACTGAGTTGGAGAAGAAGCTGAAGGGGACAGAGGTTCCATAGGTTGCTTACGTTTTGACAATGTTCTGCGATTCTGGAGTATCTGCACAAGACAGTGTAACCTATACTGGCCTGCTCGGGCCTGTTTCAAACTCGAGGCCGTACCTCACTGCCAAGCAATAATTATTATAACAACATTTTACACTGGTTAAGAGTGCAAAGTGCTCCCCCCCCCCTCCCCAGAGAGTCGTACCGAAAGCAGGGTTGAGGGTTCAGATAGTGTGTTCGGATTTGTAAAGTAATGTGAAGTTCTGGCATCACAGGCCCATACATAGACTGGAGTTGCACATTCATGGGGATCAAAATCGACTGTCACCACCAAGACGTCACACGCGTACTGGACACCCATTAGCTTCAATCCACTCTGTTACATGGGCTTGGCAGTGTAAAGTGCAGCATGCAAGACATAATTATTGTGTTCGACGATGACTGCAAGGATATGTCCTCAGTTCCTAATCCAACCAGGGCAAACAACTACCATCGACTTACTGAACAGTCCTGGAGGCTGGGCACGATGGAGAAGCTCTGCGATAGGTGACTACTCGGGTTGATTGGGAAGCCGCTCCTAAAAACAAATGCAAACACCACAAGCAACAATAATGGGAAATGCATACTATGAAGACATGACCCAGTAGCAAAAATGGATATACAGTGCTGGCAACTGAAATCCGACCCCCCCCCCCCCCCCCTAGCGTCTCGTACGAATCGCTAACGCGGCTAGCGCACCGCTAGGGGGGTCGGATTTCAGTTGCCAGCACTGTACTTCAGTATAATTGTGGAGACTAAGTAATTACACAGCGGAGCACGCTAAAAGGACTATTAAAATGTAATCCACAGATGATGTACCTCCAACAGCCTCCTCCTGCCCCCTCTCCCCAACCCAAACCCTGGCCGCTCTCCAACAGCTGACTTAAGACGTTAGGCTTAAAAACATGTCCAACTCAAACACTCCTGTACACATATGTACAAGTGCAAACACTATCCTGGCTATCCTTACTCTGATGTGAAAGTGGTCACAATACACTTCGCCTTCTCCTTGAAGACCACAACTTCAGACAGCTGCTTGACTGCAACGAACACCGAAGGGAGGGATGGAGAGAGAGAGAGAGAGAGAGAGAGAGAGAGAGAGAGAGAGAGAGAGAGAGAGAGAGAGAGAGAAAGAGAGAGAGAGAGAAAGAGAGAGAGAGAGAGAGATAGAGAGAAAGAGAGAAAGAGAGAGAAAGAGAGAGAGACTGATAGCTTCACTTCCAATATGCCAGTGGCGTTCTCAGCATCAGACATTCTTTCATCAAACACAACACCTCTTTTTTAAACAGCATTACACGTACATGTATCAACGATCACTGTCATTAGTAGGCCCACTACCAACTACAGAAGCAACACAGCCACTGCCCTTACTCGATATTGCTACTGATTTGATAGTCTTGTTCGATCGATTGTCTACGTTGAGATGAACCACGATTGGATCGCCATGGTAGTACATCTACACACAGAGAATGACAGCAACCAAGAGTTAATCTTAAATAATTAATAATAGACCGGTATAAGAGAGAAAACAACATAGGCCAGGGTTGAATCCGAGCTGAAACTGAAGGGGGGGGGGGGGGGGTGGCTGAGCTACTTTTTGAATGGCTTTACAGATGTGCATCACTCCACACATGGAGTAAAAATATGATGCTGCAGGCCAATAGGCACTATGCACCCAATTTCTTATCACAGTGGACCAGTGCAGTGGTATATTCTTCAGCGACTACATCCACCCAATGCATCATGTACATAGAACACAATAGTAACTGGTAAGCCGAGCTCCTATCCGAAATGCATGATGGTACACTCAGCCATCAAAGGGGTGGCCAAAATTTGAATGGGCATGCTGTGCTGCTCCGGCTCCAACCCAGAACGCTATCTGAATTTCGAGGCATAACACAAACCCAAAATGAATGATTCGAAGGAGTTAGCACAATGCCCTGTATTCATAATGGAGCACCACGCCATACTTACAAACAATGACCTGTATTGATAATGGAGCACCACGCCATACTTACAAAGCGCAATGCCCTGTATTCATAACGGAACACCACACCATACTTACAAAGCACAATGCCCTGTATTCATAACGGAACACCACACCATACTTACAAAGCGATCTAACCGAGCTTCAACATTAACAGGGTAAGAGCTACCCCAGAAAGATTTCTTTGTATCCGTCTGCGGCTACGCAAACAGACAAAGGCAGCACAGCACAAACAAGAACAGGACTCGTGTGTTATGCCTGGGGGTGTACTGGTGCCTGCATTGTACAGCCCCGTCGCAGTGTTCCATGCCCACCTGATGTCTATCGGCTTTTAAACAGTACTGCTTTACTGTGGGAATAGTGCAAGTCAACAGACAACTATCAAATCAACATTCGAAGCTGGAGGCCGTGCAAGGTGCTGTGGATGGGCTGCCAGATATACTCTGGAGATGATGTGCGTGCCACCAAGAGCACAATGAAACCCAGAGTGTGCAGCTTCTGCCTTTTCTGCATGGCTGTCTTGTCACGGCGAAAATTCCGGGATTACACCATAGTTGGGGCAGATAAGCTGCGCGAAGTGGCGTAGTGCGTACAACTGAGTTTCAGTTGTGCAGCAGGAAACCGGCTTGAATACTGATTGTACGCACGACCTCACTAAAATGATGTAATCTTGGAATTTCGCCATGACTGCAACCCATCCGAGCTGCACACTCTGCTTTCCTGTACTCTTGGTGCCATAAATTGTATCGTTTTGGCCTTTATTAATATGCAACTACCTATCTTCAGCCCTTCATATCTCGTGGTGTCTTTGCGGATTTTAATAAAGTGTTGTGTGACCATCTGATATCCACCCCTGTCGATGACCGATGAAAGACATGAGAAAACCCAATTTGAAAAAATCGAATGAAGTGCCTACTACAGTCCCCCGTGATAGAGAGTGAAAAAAACACATTACAATCAATCAGACAGGGAGCAGCAGCGACGGAGCACTGACTCAGCACGATTGTAGGAAGAGTCGCTATGCAATACCATACACACCCTGCTGCTGCTGATGTCAAACACACCACTGACCTGCTCTTTCTGAAGGGACGCGTCCAGTGCCGTCAACTTCTTGATGGCCAGCGGAACTGAGTTCCTACATCGACACAACAATCGGCACATAAGAATTGACAATGGATTCAGGACTTGTCCAAATATTTCGGCTAAGACTAGACATTTCATTTGTTTCAGGGATGTGAAACTGATATACCAGAAACATCTTTGGTCTTACCACTACGACCTAGCAAATCCAGTTGATCTTAGCCAGTCAGAACTACACAATGTTTCGACATTTCTAGAACTGAGCATTATCAGGATATTCCTAAGACCAATACAGTCCAGTTGCAGCAAGTGGTTATCTTCGTATTACATGGAATACTTCCTAATGTAAGACTGAGCTGAAAGCACCTCAAGCCACAGTATCCAGTTACAGCATGCAGACACTACATGGATGCTTTGTGCCACAACTGCACTCCTCTGCCATTGCTCTACAACCGGATGCCACCGTTTTGAAATACCGCATATCGCTGTACCTGCGAGCCTAAATAGCAAACAGCACAGAGCACTGGTGCACCCTACCGTTTCTCAATCTTCTCCGTTGGTGCTGTGGCCGCAAACGTCTGCAAGAGGTATTCTACACCACCCGGCTGGGAACACACAGCAGAATAAAGAAAGTGGAGAATGGACACATTCAGCAATGGGTGCTGGAATACTCACAATATCCTGATATCCTATTGAACCACGAATCAACATGCTGCCAGCCGCTGTTTACACCACATTCATACAGCAGAAAAACGTTCTTTATAGGCCATATTTCAGGCCCAATCTCCTTGACAACGCCATAGTACGGGACCAGGCATCTAAAAAGTGGCTGAAAAAAACTTTCGTTTCCACGTCGTCCGCACAATTTGACTTCAGAAAATGAAAGCAGTGGCCTTCCTGACACAGAATCAACGAAAAAATGCTTCAAAACTGCGAATGGAAGGCCTCCATCGACTAACTTTCTGCATCTGTTCAGCCATTGCCGCTTGCCTCTTGCTCTGAGTTTCTTCTCCGCGCGAGCAGTCACGCAACGGTATGTTTTCCTCACGGGACTGTCCCGTCCATTGTACGGCGAACTGAGCATTGTCTGTGCTGCACGAAACACGCGTGCAGATGCAGGCTCACACCTCACGTGCTGAGCAGCCCACGTGGAGTGTCAAGTTTCAAAAGTGAACTCGGATGTGTCGATTCATGTACATAGTATTGTACTAGTTGCGCTTCTCCTCCGTTTTTGAATCGTGTTGTACTCTCGCGCGTAAGTTAGTTTGTTTTTGGGTGTTGAGGTTCTGGAAAGTCCATTTCACAGGCAGACTATCCCCAGCGGATAACTCGGCAAAGTCTATCTGTACCGGTTGTAGTAGCGATGTCAGGGTAAATTTCTGTTTTGAGAATCGGGCAAATATTGTAATACCATCCGATTCCTGAAGACAAGTAGAGTATACTGGCAAAGTTTGAAGCAAATCGGAGCAAATATAGTGGACTTATTCCAGTTTAGAGTGCGCGGGGTAAGCGCCGCCATTGTCGAAAAGCACCATGCCTCACTGTACATAAGCCAGATCTCACCTCGGCACAAAATCGGTCTTGACAACAGGGATCGCGGCTCATGAATAATCTTGCGCACTGTACAAAATGTATATACCGTAGCTGTACTGTTTTTTTTTGTTGTTGCTGCAAACTGTTGGAAAAATTCAAGAAGACTGTTGAAGAGTAGCCGAAGTATGAGTTGTGATTTGGCCATTCTCCGAGACAAAAACAGTTCGACAAGTAGATTATGATCCTGGTGGTGGTCCGCTTTGAACTTCATCAGTTCTAACACCAATGCATTTGAAACGTTCCCGATCATGCTAGGCAGGGGCTTATCCTGCAATAGCTGCTCCTCCTTGAGTCCAAGACTCGACAAAACATCTTCACCGCCGGTCCCTTTGCTGGACGAACACTCATGATGGCGTTGTATCCAGCAATGGAGTACCTGTCGCGAAAAATACTACAAGTCTGGTGTGCGGCGTGATACGCCGGTGAAACTTGGCAGCAAACTAAATTGGACGACGGGGAACACGATGGAACTAAAATCAAACCTGTTCAGGCAGCGCAAGAGATGAAAAAGGCGACTGAACATACGCTAACTTGTCGGCGGCCATGCTCCCAGCTCCGTAGGCGCAGCGCGCCCGCACAAACGCGGATACGAAAGTTCATCTATTTTCGTGGCAATAGTCACGACCAAGCTTGTCACTGACGTCTTCAGGTCACATTTGAATATCCCGCGTGCCAAGTACTGCACACACTAGCCGCGACTGGCATTCTGCCGTACTGGCCTTTTGTGCCATCATTTCAGCTGGTTGCTAGGGAATCCAGCGACAAGCGTGGAGGTCACGTGGCACGGCACTCTGACATCGCTAGTTGTAGAGCCAAGGCGAAAGGAGTGCATATTCGGTCAGAAATTTCAGCTTGGAAAGAAGCACAAGTATCAGAAAACTTTGCAGTGCCAGTCACACAACGTTGCCCAGAGAGTGCTAGACGCAGCTAATTTCTGGAAAGACGAGGCTATTGTAATAGCTACTAGTATTGGTTCTCTGTCTTGCCTCATAGCACGTAAAGTTCACCACCATCGGCACTGCTTCCGAGAGTACACAAGACTATTGGAGGTCAAGGATATTGGTGACGACCCTCAGCGAATTGGTGGACAGGCACCTTCGGAGAAACAAGTAGTTGCCCAGTTTCTTGAGGTTGTGCGTCAAGAACTATTTGACAAATCTGCACTGCTGACCTCTGCTGATCTCCAGTCCAGCTTCCAGACCTGCTGTAACAAGGAGAGTGGCAACTTCTGCACTCAGGTCAGAAATCGAAAACTGAAGAGCACCGTTCTGCCAGAGTTTGATGGCGTCGTTAAGTTTGTCAGGCCAGCTCGCTGCAACGCCCCTGAATTGTTGTATGCTGTTAGCTCGACTGACAACTTAATCAGACAGTTTGCACTGCTGAAGGAGGAAGTTGCAGAGGATGAGCCCCTAGTGCCCGCCGATTATTATTGCAGTGAGTCTGAGGATGAGTCTGCCGACGTGGAGAGTAGCCATGTCTGGACCAATGAGTGTGTGAGGAATGGAGAGTCTTATATCATGCAGCAAACACCCTCCGCCAATCCATCGAGCACCGTGTCAAGTCCACGAAGCAAGACCCGAGTGGTGCACGGCTGTCTCCTGAGGATAGCGCGCAATTGATTCCTGGCCAGCTCTTCAATTTTCTTGCATGGACCCTGGACAAGGATACCGAGTTCTCGACGTGCCTCTTGCCGTCTCTTGAGAATGTTCCGCAACGCTGTATCCATGCCATCTGCCAGGATCTTATGTTTTGCGGCACTGGTAACCACACTCTGAAACACATTGTGCACGGCATGGCAATCCATCACCTGTGCGGCAGTAAGCAGATAGTTACTATGTTGAATCGTTTTGGCTATTGCTGTAGCTACAGCCAGGTTCTGGAGCTTGAGACTTGCCTGACAGAGTCTTTTACACGCCATCAGCATGATCAGTTTTTCTTGCCTGCCGCCATCGGCACTCGCAAGCCGTACCATTTCGTGTGGGATAACAATGACCTTTGCGAGAAGACACTGAGCGGACTTGCGACGACGCACCGTACAAATGGTATCGTTGTCCAGCCTTCTCTGCAGGATGAATCGGTAGTCCGTGAAGCGACTTCCACCTCTCTGCCTACACTGTCAACGTCGAAGCGAAATCGCTAAGTGACAATGGTCCCGGAGATTCAGCCTGTGTTTGCCATGCCTGCAAGACAAAATCAGCCTGCCTGAATCATCATACGCCAATGCTGCTGACATCCGTTCTGGTGCTGCATTGATGGACTTTGTCTGGAAGCTCTCCCGCTTCTGCCCAGATGGACAAATCAGCAAGCATCGTGCCGTCATTGAGATTGGAGCTGCAGAGCATACCCGCGTGGACAGTATTCAATTCTCTCGCGACGAAGGACAATGTGCCTTCTAAGTCGGAAATTGGTTACTGTCCGGTGATCAATGCATCTCCAACAGAGAACCCCACTGTCTATACCCTACTATGCCGTTCCATTACTATGGCAAGACAGGCTGATCTTCCATTCACGATGGTAGCTCTGGATCAAGCAATTTATGCCAAGGCTGTCGACATTGTGTTGCAGAGACGCCAAGAATTCTGCTCTGTGGGTCTCCGAATGGGCACTCAATCAGAGTAGGGGGGCTACCCTCCTTTGGCTAGAACCCTGCACTATACGCTTACGGATAAAATAATAATGCACTTGTGCTTTCCTTCGGAATCAGAAGGGTTCTTTTCCAGAACGGCTTTGGCAAGAGGGTGAATATTTCGGACCGAGTGCGATACATTGGAAGACTCGGCAGAACTCACCTTTGTTTTGTCATCTGTCTCGGTCTTGTTGAGAGAAACAGATGCGGCCAAGCGTGATGGAATCTGATACACACAGCAGCAGCAAATGAATTCATAAGTGGAGAGTATGAGCTGAGCCTACCGAACCGCTCTCGAAACGAGACAGGCTCAGAGTGCATGAATAGATCAGGCCAGGCAGGAAACAGCAGCCTGTACAAATCGCTACACTTGCAACTTACTCGGGTTCAGGCGTGCCATATACTAGACTTTGCACTGGATGTATAAACAATTTAAACATACCATACGTCTGCACGAAATAACACCGGATAGAGTACGGCCGACGTTAGGCAACAGACGATACCTACTTGAAATTGAAAAGGGTATGCATTCTCTCCTAGCTTCCGAATTAGTCGTTCTTGAAGTTTTGTGCGCGGTGGCTGATCGTTGTTGGGTGGGTATATCTGAACTGACAGCTGTGCATAGAAAATACGTTCAAACAACACACAGACCGCAAATCAAAAAGGGTTTCCAAGAATAATAATATATGCACCCCACGTGGAGATCTCTTTTATCAGGCTGCTTCTCGACATACTTCTTGTTCACCAATGACACTCAGTGTCTGCCAACTTTTCAAAGTGATACCGATAACATAGAGGTTGATAGGCGTAGCATTAGCCGTCAACGTACTTAACCCTTTAAGAGCCACAGGAAAAATTCAAAATTCTGCATTTTTCGTGTTTCTTGGTTCATAGCTTCAGGTTTACTCACTCAATCCTCACAATCTAGGGCTTCCTGGAAAGGTCTCCGCGAGAGGAAGAGAATGAGGTCGATCATGATAACCAGCACACCGTCTATCCAGCGCTAGATCGCAGCGACAGTACGAAAAATGCCCCAAATGCGTCCAATTGCGTCCCGCTCCAGATATTTCATTTTACTCGATCGTGGAGTTCCAATTTTTTCGCTGTGTACTCTTGACAATATCAACAGTGAAACCCGTGCAAATTCGAGTAAACCAGCGTGACGAAAAGTCTCAAAATTCTCAATACTAAAGTCGCACTACGCGCTTTTGAAATTGCCGCGATCGCGGCTCAACTTACGAGTGATGTATCTCAGGAGCCGTTGCCCGCAGCGCTTCGCGGATTGTTTCTCCCGACAGGTGAGAGTTTTCTCTTCGCCCTGGATATTTCGATCACTGGATTTGAGCGAGATTGGACTGAGTTACGATCTTTTGAAGTTTTGCATTTGAATGCGTCGTTTACGACGCATTCAAGTATGGGGCGGCTCTTAAAGGGTTAATGGTTAATTGTCATGTATACTCTCCTTGTACGTTCATACCGCACATCTAGTCTTCATCTTCCAATAATGTTATTGATGGTGTGTTAGTACAGTGTATATAGACTAATACAGGTGGTATCCTGATAATTCGAATATGGCTTAATTCCATCATACCACTTAATTAGAAGTTTTTCCAGGACCGATTTCTATCAATACGATTCCCACATAAACATTTCTGATAATTCGAACCTCGAACTGGATATGTCCGGTTAATTAGAAGTCCCACAGATTCCACTTACATAGAAAACGTGTGGGATTTGTGCTGATAATTCGAAGTCAGCAAACTGTAATTCGAAGTTCACTGTACATTGTACTGGTCAGTTCAGTTTGCATGAGCAGGCTGTGCTGGTCAGTTCAATATCCGTGAAATCTGTGTCTAAGGTCCATAGCGCAACTCTGCGTGACCATGAGAGCATTTTGACATACATATTGTGCTGTGGGTTCATGTTCGGATAATTAGAATGTCCGGATAATTAGAAGTTTTTTCCTGGCATTTTGAGGTTCGAATTATCAGGATTCCACCTGTAATAGAGTAGCGCGCTGTGCATCACATGCCACGCAATCACCATGTATCTTGCAGTCAGTTATTTTTTTGTCGCGATGTGTTCCATAGCATTGAGGGAAAGTGGCTGTGACGTTTCAGCCCGTGTGCATTAGGCACTTTGAACCCGTCTGTATTGTGCGCCTGCATGAGATCTGCGCGGCTTCCTTCACAGCTCCCCATTTCTGTTGGCACTCCGGCTTTCGGTCGTGTTGTTGCGTTAGACAGAGCTAGAGGAGAATTGTGTCATTGTGCTCATGTTCGTTCTTTTAGTCGGATTATTGACTCAGTTGTCTCAACCCTATTCAATATCAAACTCTTGGAAGAGGTGACTTACATTGAGAAGTTCTTTCTTGAAGCTTGCCACATAATTGGCGTCATACACGTTGTCTCCTTTGCCGAAGCTGCATATATCAACAGAATGGAAAAGAGAACTGTGGCCATTACCAAGCCAAGTAGCTACCGAGGCCCTGATGCCACTCCAAACTCTATAGCATACTTTGCTTCAGTAAGCGAAGTGTGCTAGGCTAGAAGAACTTGCAGCCAAATTTCAGCAGCTGTAGAGAAGCTGCTTCACATAGATATTCACATTAGGGGTGAAACGAGTATCTATTTTGACCAATCGATCACTCATTCATAATATTCGATCGAGTATCCGATTATTTCGAGTATTTTATCAAAATTCAAAAGCGCTAGATTTGTGAGTTCTCGACCAATTCGGAAGAAATTATCTGTGAATATAGAACAAAAGTCGCCAACGTCTTGTACAGAGTGTAAAGTAACGATTTTCATCAGTACTTTCATATCTCAGAACGTTAACTAACGTTACTTGCTGTCGTGATCGCATCGTCGAAGTCATAAATACTGACTCAAAGGCATGCATAATGCATGCATACCAATGGACGAGCGGTACAACCAACGTTTTGGAAAAATAGAATGCCAATACTAAAAAAAAAAAAAAAAAAAAAAAAAAAAAAAAAAAAAAAAAACGATCGAGTGCAGAATTTCGAATACTCGCTCGTTTGAAATTTTCGAACGAATACTCGAATATTCGATCTAATCGTTTCACCCCTAATTCACATCATTTCGACTAATTCCGCATTTAGTTGGTATACACAGTAAAATAGCACGCACGCTCACACCTATACCCCCCCCCCCCCCCCCAACACACACACACACACACACACACACATATACTAAGTTGGTGTACACATGAATGCACGCACAGCCCAGTATGCAGCTACAGAATCAGCAGGAAGAAAGATCGGACCAACTACAGGAATAGCGAAACAAGACAGAGGATAGGACACTAAATTCAGACTGTGAGTGAAGTTTAGATGCAGTTTGTATGCCTATTATGGGGGCCTAAATGCTGCATTGTTTCCCCGGCGAACCACTTACCTAAGGCATGAACTTAGCTGACCGTACACTGGAATAATAAAACAAGAGGAAAGGGAACATCCAGCGTCATTAGAGTTGGACAAGCGGTAGACACTAAACATAGCCGATGGCTCTCCAGCGAATAACACTCCCATTTCTACAGAGTACCTGTGATCGGGCAGTGGTTTTTATAGGCTTTCTTTTAAAATACACAATACACACGGCTGTGAAAAACAAGAGCTTGGGGAGGAGGTGGTGGTATGATTCACGGCCTCACTGCTAACATCTACCCATGAACAGGTGGCTAGATTGTTTTCCGTACCTCTGTGCTACACAACCTACTTTGCAGTACATGTAGAACAATCAAAAAATTAAAAGAAAGTTTTGAATTTCTGACGGGTTGAGATGGTCAAGATTCGTCAAGATGCTGCGTTTATCAAACCAAGCAACATGGTAACCGGAATGGAATATTTCATCGTATTCTCGCCTTGGCTGTGCACATGACAAGCACATTATTGGCGTATCAGAGCAACCCAGACAACCCTGTACCAACCTTTCCTGCCCTCCGACTTCTTGATGTACTCTGGATCCACCAGTACCACGCCATCTGGATGAAAAGCAAAAAGCAAACAAAAGTTAATCCTACAAACGACATCAGAAAGATAGACATCTATCCAAAATGGATGCCCAGCAAGGGCTTGCTCAGCAGCAGAAGTGACTGGCATGTATCCAAAAAGTACCAATCAATGGTTTCCAATGTGACTGACGTCGAGGAAACTGTGCCAAACCGGTTGACCCTGTTCCGATGAAGTGCGTGGGAAACGTTCCGCAAGGCATACCGACAGCTGTATGAGAACGAAGCATGCTACATGAACGGATTAGGCAAAGCCAGACTGAGGCTACACACAAAGGCACACAACTAGAAACTAGGGACTACAAGCGTATAATACAGGAGTGGTAGGAACAATTGATGGACGCCAGGACCCCACACATGTCCAGGGTACCAGTTATGTCAGCGTAGGAATATGGGGTAGACCGCAACTAACTGGGCAAGCACTGCTTATAACGTGTGCATTCCGAGAGTCTGGAACCGGACTCGTGGTAATGCTTGGTTGCACCACAAATGCTGAAAATCAATACATTGCCACCTCTCGTTCTGCCACCGGGATGTGTCGAATGAAAAACCTGTGACACATGTGCTACAGGATATCCCAACTGCAGAACAAACACACTGGGGGACTTTCCCCTAGTTTCCCGTGCACCAAGCCTGAGAAATCCTTGCAGTAATACGTCAACGCGAGGTCCCAAACAGACACGAGTGAAATACAAGTTCGCCACCCGCTACAATACAGTCTGTATCGGCTATAGAGTGACCGGATATAAGAATATATTGGCTACAGTGATATTGGTACGAAATATCAAAAGCCTAACGTATTTTATCCAGTAAAAATATCACTATAACCAATATTATCGGATGTTATGATATATCGGATATTATGATGGCAACAAAGAATCAAAACATGCATAACACACTATATTATTATTGGCTATAGTGATAACTTTAAAATACATGTAGCAATAATATCAAAGGCCCTATTTTTTTACTTTCTTCACGTGCGATCAAGTTGCTTATTTTATAGTGATACATGTACATGTACATAACAGAATTTTTTTGGAAATGCGGGCACTGTCAACTACTAGTATGCAGCATGCTCATTTGTCAAAACGCCATGCTGGAAGACTGGTGGAAGTATTTCCTTGCCTTTCATGTGTCGATCGGAAAAAAAAGAAAAAAAATCGATCGTATCGCATATAGTGATGCATCGGTTATAGTGATAAAATCACGGAAATCAAAAGGGTATGCTATAGCCGATACAGACTGTACTACTATTCGGTTGCAGTTCATTCTGCTCAACACTGTTGTGTAGTGTACGCAAGTGTTGGTGGCCTTTCCACGATCTCAGTGCCAACTAACGACTTACCGACAATGTCCACCTTGTAGCCATCGTCAAAGAAATCACGCCGACCGACGTACGCAGTCAGCTGCAGTTCAACAACAGCAGCGACGGCGACGATGAGGGCGACAGCAACGCAGATTGTGACAACGACACAGCAATACCAGAAGCGGCAGCAGCAACATTGCAAAACATACAGCTTAATGCCAATCACAATTGAGTGCCTCGTCTCGGATGCCTACATGGATGCTCTGAGCTTTTCATATGCACTATGACCATTCTGCATTGATATAGGATTGAAACACGTTTTCCAGTAGAGTATGATAACCTACGCATGCACAAAACGATACGGGATCACACTATCTCATTTTTAAGTTTCAGCAGAAATACAGCAAACGCAGACCAAACTACACACGGCAGGACTTGTAAGGTGCAATGATCAACAGATGCCAGTCACAGCTGTCAGCAAAATTCTTCAATTTCTCTGGCACAGAACACCACATTGTTGTAGCACAAACACTGTACGAGGCAAGCAGCAGCAACACGCCAGATGAATCGACCTTACCTTGCCATTCGGGGAGCTTTTCTTGAATACTCTGTTCATTGTAAAATGTAAACGAAGACACAAACAGGCACACGAAACCAACTTGCAGCCAATCCAGAACTAGAATAATAGCTATTGTCGACAAGACATTATCACGAACCTAGGACTGCCACCATACGTGTTGTACCATGCCAAGACAAAACACAGGCCACCACCGAGTACGTTTACGACAACTAACAGAAACATACCAGACATACGCCTCTCCCCAGCACAGCGATACTCAAGACTCAATGTCACACACAGCGATTCATTGTGCCTTTGCACGTGCAGGGAAAAAAAAGCGCAGACCATCTGCCTGGGTTACCACCGGTGTGAGAATGCACTGTGGACCTACCACCACCTACGCAGCAGCAGCAACATGGGTCATGACCACAGCAGATGGTTCCTACGCAAGCATTGCTCACCCACACTGAAAACGTGGTGTCTACCCACGTGCCGTGTTTCTTCCCCAGTGTCAACAGCCCATTCATAAAACACACACGCACACACGCACACACACACATACACACACACACACACACACACACACATACCAGTCTGCACATGCACGTACAGGCTTGCCACGACACCTGCAGGCTACTGGCACGACAGACAGAAGCAATGCAAGTCCACAATTTCCGGTCCAGTCCTGTTGTGCCCCTTGGCTGCTGCCTGTACGCCTTTGACACCCCACAGGGGTGTCCCAAGGCGCTACAAGTACTAATGACAACAGCATTACACATCAAGCAGGCACAACTACAGTAAAACCTTGTCAAGGTGACCACTCGGATAAGGCGGCCACCTGTCCGAAAAGACCACTGGAACCACGACCAATACAAGGGATGCTATTTCCAGTCAAATAACCCTTGATAAGGAGACCACCTGGTAAGGGGTCGTCCGCAATTATCGAAAGTTTTTTCCAATCCGTAGTAGCTTCGAAAGTGGGTGGGTGGGTCAAGGCCAGTTACGGATTGAAAAACTTCCGAAATGACACGTGCGCGTGCCACGTGTACGTCTACGTGTAGCCCCTGTTTTCCACGCGCGGCTGCGCGCGAACTGTCTACTACAAATATTTTTGTAGTTCTGGCAGTTTCTGCGCCCCCGCGCGCGCTTCCTTGGCTGCTCCTGGGCCGGGAATCATAAAGTTCGGCGCATTCGACGGCGAGTCGACACTTTCTATTTTTGAGTTTCACTGTCTCCTTCGTCCAGAGTACTGTCTTCCATGCACTCCTTTGAAGTCCTTCCGTCTAGCGCTGGCGCTGACGACTGTTATTGACTATGTCCAGACAGGCGACGTTGTTTGGAAAGGCGGTGAAGAAGCAGCCCTTTTTCAAAACCGCTGGTGACTCTGATTATTACAGAACAATGTGTTGGGTTGTGTGTCCATCAATAATATTTTATTACGGACTGGGGGGGTGGGTGGGTGGGTGAGGAAAAATTTGAAGCTACTACGGATTGGAAAAAACTTTCGATAATTGCGGACGACCCCTAACAGAGAGCACGTTTTGAAAGTCTGATGAGCGGTGCTCTTGGACAGGGTTCACTGAACGTGTCAAGACTTTGTTTCAATCGGCGGGACACTGGTGGGCAACGTGCCTACCATAAACCGCGCAATATTCGAGTCACTGTTTTTCACGACCTCACAGAATCAGCGAGGTTACGATGGCAAATATTTGCAGATCGCTGTGGCCACACATATGCACCCACTGTTGATTTTTTGATTTCACAAACGTGAATATTCGCGTTATGCTGCTCTCGTGAAACTAGCGAACATTAATACGTTGCAAAAATTGGGCAGTTTACAGTATGTCTGTCCAGTCAGAATTCCAGCTCCAAGTCTCCTCAACTGCATACTCGTATGCATATCGACTGCATCCCCACAATCACAATGGTGAGCAAATCAAACATGGACGTGTTTGAGCGTTATCAGAACCAACTTGAATCTCAATATCTCGCAACACCGGAGTCCTCGGGAAAGTTTTGAACGCCAATGGGCAGCAGGGCTTCTTTGAACAGCATGGAGGAAAGAGGAAATTCAGAGCTGCTGCAGCTCTAACTGAGTTGTGCGTTTCCGTGATCACTAGGTAGCTGGCACTAGTACTGTAAGACATGTATATATAACGAGGAAGCAAATCTAACGTTTTAACGGATGACATTTCTTCGTTATAATAAGATCCGTTGAGGCCGTACTGCTTCATATATGCTGTGTATGGATATGGCAGAATACTGCAAGATCGTTAACATATCTTCTCGTTAACCTATGAATTTTGGACAATCGTTAAATTTGCGACTCGTTATAATAACATGTCTTACAGTAGATCAACTTCACGGCCCGGACCATAAAGTAGATAGAGCGCGAGGTGTGGCGAAGACACCATCACAGCTTATTTAGCGCGGTCTACACACGCCCCCACGTGGGATGGAATGATAATGAACATCTCACACATTTGCAAACCAAACTCAAATGTATACTGTAAATGTACAAAAATTTCGGCAGCTATTTAATTTCGGCTATATTCGGCACCGACCCAAAATGTCGAAATTAAAACGTTGATGAAATTTTCACATCAGCTTTGGTGATGTACTAGTATTAGTCCAGTGCCAAAAATAAATCGCTACCAAACTGTCGAAAATCGTGAAATGCCGAAATGTTGCAGCGCCGGAATTTTGTATAATTATTACCTGTGGTCTAGTGCAACACGGAGGGTGCAAGTTGCAGAGCTCTTGTTGTGCGGCTGGATCAGAAAGAGGTAGCCAGGGGTTGAGAGTGTGATACAGAGGGCCAGACAGGGAAACTAATCAAAAGGGTGGGGGGGGGGGGGCGACGCAGGGCTGGGGGGGGGGGGGGGGACAGAACCCAAGGTGCAAACAACGGACGATAGCAGAGGTTAGCGGCTTTGCAGGGGTAGAATGACATTGCCTAGAGAGCGAACACCACCGACCACCAACTCACATGCACTTTCCTTCCCATCACACTTCATCAGCAGTCGATGAACTACAATTGTAATGATTCTGTGCGTCTGGAATACACATCTTCACTCTATCACGTGTAGTAGTTCCCTAGCCTGAACAGAAACGAATCTGACAAGTGACATCCAGCTGCGGTCTTTCACATTGTTACGACTAGACTATCACCACAACACAATTTAGCACTACACGTCGACTCCACCCGGCGTCATTGTGGCAGGTTTACTGGAGTTCTACTTTGCACGCTGGACCCATTTCTTTCTCACTGACATCTGACAGCATCGCACATTCAGGCCACGCTCGTCGCTAGAAACGCACCACATCACTAATGCAATCATTCTTATTATGCGTTGTGTGACATGACCGTGCTGCAGTGTTATGTCGCTCGATCTAGACCAGAACTTCTAGCGCTATGCCATAGCCATGATAGGGATTAGGGCCATACCCTCGACCAACCTTCAAACAATGCTGCAACCAAAAATCATAATCCTCTGAGACAGTGAGAGCTGTAAAGACGTGTAAGTCAGTGTAACTGCTCACGACGACAGTCAGCGGACATGATTGTTACGATAGCTGCCACTCGTAGCGTAAATCACGGAATACAGAGAACCGACCAACACTAACACCGCCCCCTGGCTAGCGAATCGCTCACCGAGAGAAGATTACGAGGCACCATATCTGAATCTCAATCACAAACAGTAACAGAAAGTGTTACAGCACTACACAAGCCAAGCCAGCTGAGCCACAAGCCCGAGGCACGAAACGAAAACCTGCCGCAGCAAACAAGGCCACACATAACAGTGTCATTTTTTTGCCTAGCTATCTCCGTCTGGCACCGAGCTGCATGAATCTACCGTTTGGGGCAAACCAAAAACACAGCGAACGACACCACTTGTCTTTCCAAACAAACATGATGAGCAAACGGGTGCACGAGCCGGTAGGAACGGAAAGGCACGATCGTACCAGCAGATACAGATACAGCACAATAGTTCTGGCCTAATTTTTTTACTATGATCGTGTCGTGAGACGAAATGAAAAAAATATTATGGACCGACTGAACTAGAGATAGGAGCCGTTGGCTCACAAACCAGATCGCTTGTGCTTGCTTACCTAGTACTGTACGTCGGGCGTCCACCTTTGGCTTTGCCGAGGACGACTGGAGCTTTCTCGTCGGATTTCGCTGCTGCAGCAGCCATGGCCGAAAGAGTTTGTTTCGCCGCTCCCACCAGCACTGCGCAAAGCACTTGAACTGTCCGCTAGATGCACTGTTGTTACTGATCGTAGTAGGGATCGCGAACGAGACCCTTGCTTCCTCCAGCGGCACGAAAAGTCAAACAATTACATGCAGGACGCCAAGCTTTCTGTCACCACTGCACCGATCCAGCGTCTGCACTGCTACTAGTACTAGAAAGTAATAATTACCGTAGCTGAGCTTGTAGTGGCGTTCACTGCTACAGACTGTCTACAGATACTAGAGATGGGGTGGCGAACATCCGAGACGCAATGGACCATTAGTGGGCCAGATACACTTAGAAAGTATTAGTTAGATCGACAGCGTCAGCGAGCGGAGAGTAGGCACAATCTTTCTTTTCAACCACTTCAAATCGCTAGGTCAGTAGATGGTCGTGTAACGTAGGCTCACAGCCGTAATACTGCCAATCGTCTGGAAAAATATTCGTGTTTGGGACTGGGATCACCTAAACTAAAGGCTAAAAAAGTACTTGCTTGTGCGCATAGACCTGCAGTGCTAGCTAGCGCCTGTACACACACATGCACAGCCCGCGCGGCTTTGGTGGTGCATTTTGCAGCGCTAGTGCAGACAACTACAGTCTACACAGCGTGCAGTACATGTACTACGCAGTAGGATCAAAACGCATCTGCCCTACATACATACAATAACAGTTCTGTACACCTGGTAGATCTACACGTACTCACGTAGATCGATAGAGCGGACAGTAGTCTACAGTCAACTTCGCTTATAACGACACTCGGCGGGGCATCAAAAAGGTGTCCTTATTCGCGAAGTGTCGTGACACCCGAAGTCTCATTTTTATGTATTACAGTGGGATGGGACTTTGTTCTGGGCATGGAAATTCTGTCGTTATTCGCGAATTGTCGTTATATCCGCAGTCGTTATTAGCGAAGTAAAGTTGACTGTAGATCTACGGCAGTGCAGCCTAGCCCGGCTATGACACACGTCTTTCACGCTAATCACAGTCACTCGACTCGTCTGTACTGTAATAACATGTAAGTGTTAAGGCCGGCTGTAGACCATGGTAGACTGTGTATAGTCTGTAGCTAGTGACATTGACCACTGGTGACAGTAGCCCTGGCGATTGATTATCATGATTATGCCCTGGGTTATCACCATCAGCGGTACACACAATCATGCATTTATGCGTCAGATTATGCGCTGCAGCGCGCTGGTCGTCGATCGGCGATCGCGCATCGGATCAAAGAAGTGACTTACCTAGTACCTGTGCACTGCACGCAGCTTTCTGTACGCCCTGAGTGAGGCCTGAGGCCCGTGAGGGCGCCGGCCCCGTACCGGTCAATCGACTGGATCCGCTACAGTACAATTATGTAGATCTACATGACGTACATGTAGATCTAGACGTACATGTAGATCTACGTATATACGTAGACCTACGTATGTGCTGCACTACAGTCTACACTAGTCACTGACGGAGAGTCTTAGGGCGCGTTCGAATTGTCACTCTTTGACTTTTCGAGGAGCTTCGTTTTTCTGAAGAGGTGGCCTTATTGGCCTCTTCAGAAAAACGAAGCTCCTCGAAACTCCTCAAAACTCCTCGAAAGTCGAAACTCATCCGATGGGAAGGTGGATTAGTTTCGAAGAGTTTGGAATACCTACGTCACGTAGTACGTGGAGATATACAATGTAGATGGTCGATCTGATCGGACGTCATCATCGCCATGACAATTCCACTGAAAAACTCTAAAATGATGGAAACCGTTCTAATGCCAGTAATGGGACACTTCAACTAATCTCTTTATAAAATTTGTTAGAACAGTTGATGAAGACAATTCGAACGCGCCCTAACTCTTACTAGTTAGAGCGGAGGCGGATCTTTGTCTTTGCTTTCAATTTCATATTGAATCATAAGCATAACCACACAACTCAGAGAGTTGGTCCCGGACATCGTGGCTAAGCGAGGCTGGAGCGAACACCTGTCAGTTTTGTCTGAAATCTCCTGTGACAGTGTCGACTTGGCTGGCCACGAACCGTGGCGTGGGCGAGAAGACCTTCTGGTCGCCCAGTACAATGGCGGTGCACGCAATGAGACCAGGGAGCACTAAAAAAAAGTTTTTTTAGTACTCCCTGGTTGGAACTGAGAGTGAGAGCTAGCTGTCCTTGGACACGATTCAAGGTTTCAACAAAGTGTGTTTACTTCCTACATCGTGTACATGTACTTCGATATGTCTTCACTTCAAGCAAGTCATGATCTGTAGAAAGAAGCTTGTTGCTTCATTCGTACCTGACGATGGCAATATTGCCTGATGCTGTGATGGTTCGGTCCTGTACATGCAGTACTTCTTTGGAAATGGGTGTGTCCATCCAACTACTTTCTTTTTTTGGTGAAGCTGCAAGATGACTTGAATTCTCAAGTCATGATCTGGAGCCAGTGGAGGCCAAATCTTTCTTCCCCAACGTTGGCAACGAATAGGCCTTGACAGATTATGCTAGTGTCATAGCCCGAGAGTGAGGGCTTGTAACTTTTAACTTACTGCTGATAGCTACTGTGCGTAGAACGTGGACACACTGTGTCTTCCGGACCGTAGTTGGAACAGTTATTGTACAATATAATATACGGTGTGTGCCGGCGAGGTCACCTACCCAGTGAGACTGTAAAATGATAGGTTTTGCTGCTGTCAATGGATGAAGCGCACGACTGTGCATTTGCAGTAGAAAGTGCAATACCTGTAGTTATGAATTCGCTTTATAGTAGTAGTAGTAGTACGCTAGGTGTGGATGTGCGTGATTGCACCTGCTTGACCATTGACTGGCTATGCTTTTAATCAAGTACATGTTGCGGTCCAGACGCCGGGTCTAGGCTTGCCCCGTTCTAATACCCTTTCACACTTTGCGTATCTTATGATGACAGCCGCTTCTAGATCACGCAGACCTGTGCGTGTATGTGTGTGCGTGTGCGTGTCCGATCGCCGTTCCGCGCAGCGGACAAAGTGGCAGTTCAGCTGCATGTTTAGCAAGTACTATCGCTACTGCCGCTGCTTGCTGTTTTCTACGATGTGTTATATCATGGCATGCTGCTGCTTTTAGCGAGAGGTTCTTTCGGTGCTCTTCTCCCAAACAGTGAACATATTCTCTGCTCTGACGAGATCAGTTGGTTATGTGTGTGTTGGGTTAGGACTGGGTGAAGTTGCGTTATGCCAGCCGTGACTATACTTGTCACAAAACGTTCCGAGGGTTAGAGACGACACAGCCATGGGCGAGACTAACCGGAACGCTGTCCGAGCGAGTTATCACAAGTGGTGCTGTGACCAGAATGGCTGGCAAGAACGAGGCAACAAAGTTCACCATTCCTAGAAGAGGTGCGAAGATCTCGGCCAGGCGCTTGTAGACGGTGCAAGCGCAGTCTAAGTATATTGAAGATGTTCAATGTATCCTGCCTCACTACTGGTTGTGTTGTTGTGGGTGCGGGAACTGGCCTCCACCAGGGAATAAAGAGGTTTGTTCTCTGTTGTGCTCGATTGGCATGGCGCAGTGATGACTGAGCTGCCTTTTGTGATGAGAATTGCATGCTGCATGATGGGCATACAGTTCGTAAGGAGGGGTATGGATGTGTCGTATCTCTCTAGTCTGTTTGGTCTAGTCCTCAGGCTGGGATGCCAGCCGGAGTGATTAGGGTGAACTATTGGCGGCCTTGTGCGCGAGGAATCATGGCATGATGTTGAGAGGCATGCATGATGCGGGTTGCACTGGTCGGCTAGTCTAAATGTGTGATGAACGGGAATCCGGATGGCGCACGAGGCTACGCGAGATGTCGCGAGTCAGGCGTGGGATCGGGAAACCTGATGCGACGGTGGTCGCTTGGCATGTTCACACGGCGGTTAGGGTTACAGTGGTTGAGTACGCTGTGCCCACGTGCAATTGGGGTGTGCACTCGTAGGCGCGCGCGTGCCGTGATCGGACGGCAGCGGCGTGGCTGAGTATATCAGGCGAGCTGAGGCGAAGAGGACTGAGTTCTTCGGGATCAGTCGTCCTGCTAGCACTATTTGTCTACTTTGCTCATTCTTTTGCTGTGTTGACGATGGCTCAGCAACAGCAACAACAAGGCAGAGGTGTGAATGCGCCTGCTGCAAATGTTCATCAACCGTTAGTAGCTGGTGGTGCTGCTGCGGTGGGTGGCCCTGGTGCAGTGATGGCTGCAGCAGGGGGAGCGGTAGCTGGTGCTGGAGGAGCGCCAGTTGCTCCTGCGTTCGGGAGGCCTGCGGTGATGCCCGAGGCCTACGATGGTTCCGGAGACTGGGTGGAGTATATCCAGTACTTCGATCAGTGCGCGCAGGTGAACGGGTGGAATGACCCGCAGAAAGCGCAGTACTTAGCGGTACGCCTCAGAGGTGGGGCGCAACGCTTTTTGGCTACTATAACGGCTGCAAGACGGGCCGTATGGCAGCATGTGAGTGCGGACCTTGAGCGAAGGTTCGCACCACCCGCTAATGAGCGGCAGTTTAAGGCTCAATTCCGCACGAGGAGGCGTAAATCCGGTGAGGATTTAGCGCATCTGGCGGATGATCTGCGTCGGCTGGTGGTGCGGGCGTACCCCAACATGCCGGGTGGGTTACAGGATGAGCTGGTGAGGGACCAGTTCATCGAGGCGGTATCTCCTGTGGCTTTGAGAGTGAGGCTGCAGGAGAATCCTCCGGCGACGGTGCAGGCGGCATTAGAGATGGCGCTGCACCTGGAAAAGGTTTGGCGAAGTGTTGACTTGCCAAGCGAAGCTCCGCAGAGGCTGGTGGGCCCCTACGGAGAGAGCCAGCAAACACAGTTGGTGACGGCCGCTGTGGATGTTGCTGAGGCTCCAGCGAGAGGACAGACGGACGTCCTCGAGCGTACTTTGAGCAGCCTGGTGAGGACGCTCGACCAACTACTGGAGAGGCGTGAGGCTCCAAGTGGTCAAGGAGGGCGAGGCCGAGGAAGAACTCGGGATCAGGAGCCCGCTCGACGAGTGAAGATGTTCACTTGTTGGAACTGTGGTGAACCGGGCCACAGGGCAGCCCAATGTCCTCGTGAAGCGCAGACGGGGCGCGGAGGATACGATGGCTCGAGGAGAGGGCCTTTGGGAAACGGCCAGTGACTGGGGCGATGGCCCACGTGCCTGGTCAGACCATTTCTTTGGGTCGAGAGTGTAATCCGGCAGCACCTGATGAGCGTGCTGTCGAACAATCCATTCCTATGGTCGGATGCGACTCTGGAACGGGGATGTTGACCACGGGGACAATCGATGGGTTGTCAGTGGAGATGCTGGTAGATACTGGAGCGGCTGTAAGCTTAGTATCTGCGGATCTAGCCAGGAAGCTGGGCTACGATCCGGATCGACTCACGGCGGATGCGCCTGGGTTGAAGTTTTGTGGGGCAGATGGT